AAAGTAATTCCCACATATATGACAACTGATAATTCACATATCAAATAACACTAATGCAAACAGGTACATGTGCCGATTGTGTAACCAGCTTGTCTTTGCATGCAAAATACCAACGTCACCTAAGATCTTTGACACAGGTTCATTTAGCCGCTTGTCTTAACATCTTGTGATTCTACCAAACGTTGTATAACAATGTTGACTTTGCATGCAAAATACCAAGCTTTGACTTAATATGGAAATAGAGGCTTTATAAAAACAGCTAAATTTAACCATGTGTTAATACTCCCATTGTTTGCAATTGTATGAAATCGCTTTATTATTTTTCTCCTGGTACTAATAAAATCCAATTTTTATTATGTAATTTAGACTATTGGCATCGCAGTACACGCTTTACTCGCGAAAACTGTTTTTGTTGGCAGACAGAGAGGTGACAGTTTATTCGGGGATGATTAAGTTCAACGAAAAGGACAATTTTGTAATGTGGATGAAAACTGTGGTCTGTTCAATGTTGGTCTTATAATAACATAAATGTCTATTTCCCTTTTTTAGCACCTCCTTAAAGAGGTATATATGACAAAATTTCGCAGGATAATTGTTGTAATGAGATGTGTCATAGGCATAATTTATAGGGAGTAAATAATAACATTTCTTGCATTGTTTTTAAGGGGGAGACTATTTTTAGTAACAAAATAAGGTAAAGTCATAGTTTTAAACTTATATAGCTTAATTTTAAATATTTCTGGTCATTTATTATTCTATATTGAGTCCCACCTCATGAATTTTTTTAAAAAGAAACTATTTCAGAACAGTAATTATTAATAATTATAGTGAGATACAATTCAAAATGTCTACATATACTGGCTGCCTTTCCAATTGAGAATCCACTACAAAATTCTCTGTCATGTATATAGATGTCTCAATTGACACTTTCCTCTCTAGTCATTGGGCATGCATACATGTATGTAAATTTGCGCATTATAAATATACACTATTATTATTATTAAAGGCAATCAGCGTCCACAAGATTTTTCAACATTATGAAGGGTCATAATTCTAGTAGAAGTTATCGTAAATTATTCAAGTTATCGTAAATGTTTCAATGTGGGTGTATAAAATATAAAATTGCTGGAAGAGATTTCCTTTAAAACTCATATTAGTACTTACAGTAAATCCTTTAGGACAGTCACAAATAGCAGCATTTTCTACAACCCAACAATCAGCATTATTTAAACATGGACTTGGTGAACACACATCTACTGTAGCTAGGATATAAATTAAACCAAGAAAATATGAAAAGCAGTAAAAAATTAAGAAACTTTGACTTTTAGGCGATTTTGAAACTAACAAATATGTTTATTTATGTTCTTTATCTAATGCTTCAGAGAATTTTGATTTTGATTACAGGTACATTCTCTATTCTCCACTATTACACAAATTCAAGATGCATCTGCCAGACACACTGTCTGATAATTAAGGAGTGTCTTCTTACAAACATTGGGGGGTTGGATGGCTGAATGGTTAGCATGTGCGCGCTGTATAATAAAGTCTGTCATTGAGTCAACTGGCGTGGTTTGGATTCCCCAGTTGTACGTGACAAGGAGTAGGGCCACCTGTCCAACCACGTGGGTTTTCTCTGGGTCCTCCAATTTCCTCCCACTGCTAAAGACCACTACGCGCAAGCGAATTATGGAAATAAAATTGAACCATATGTTAGTCCCGAAATGACCTAGTTTGTGTTGAGTGGACGTTAAACCCCATTTCTCTCTCTCTCCCTTACAAGCATTAACAATACAGGTTGGCACAAAGCACTCCCTAACCTATAGAACTTGATTGGTTCATAGCTGGGTGGCATAAGGAGGATTGGAAGACATTTTACAACAATATTTACTAAGTTTTGTTTGAAACCGTTTCATAATTCCCTACATACATAAAATATTTCATTCAAAGCATTCCTTTAATTCGAGGTAATAAGCTCCTTTGTAACAGTATGATATTTCTTTATTTTCTCAGTATCTCAATACCCTGTAATTTATATTGCAGTTTTAGCCCACAGTGTAAGTCCACTTCAAAATAATACAATAATTTTTGTGATTATCAATTTTCAATGAGCAAATTTTGTTAGTCAGTTTACCATCATTATTTGTAATCAATCAATTGACAATAAATATTTCAAAACATTGAACTGCACCCAATTGCCAATCCCTATTTTAGGTTCCATGAATGTGTTAAAAGGGGAAATAATATCTTCCTCTTACTCTATGGAGTGCCCACAGCTAAACAACCTTGGCCCATAGTTACAAATTGCAACATCTTTTGTTTTCATTTCACTAAAACTTTATACAGCTTAAAACATATCTTTAAGCATAATTATCCTCATAAATATGTAAAATTGAGACTGAATTGTGCAAGATAGGCTTAATGTAGCATGTCTCTGCGACTGGAAACTGCCATAACAATTGTTATAAGGACAATAGGTAGAGTTTTTTTAGTAACAAAATCTAATAGGTTTTTTCCCTGTATACACACTATCAACTATTTTGTTTTTTCATTAAAGGGGCATTATGTAAGATTTAGATAAAGAGCTGGCCTTTCTCACTATAATATTTAAAAAATAGATAATGCCAAATTTCATTCAAATTACTTTATTTTGAGTGAAGTTATCAATGGTTGTAGTTTTGACACGATGTGTCCATTGATTGTAACAATTGTACTCTTCATTTGATTCTTAGCCTCACTTCTCCATTTTTTAATTAAATCATTAAATGGCCGAACTGTTCTAATCTACTTGAAATCGGAGCCATCCGATGGCATCGAGAGTAGATTATGGTCCTGTCATGTTAATAAATGTCTAATTAATAATTTATATAACATTTAAGGCCCAAAGAAAGAACTGCAATAGGCAGATTTAGCTCTTACATAATGTCTGTTTAAGAATATCATACATAAAGATTTTCATATAGTTTTGAAGTGTACAAGTTTTATGCTAACATGTGACATAACAAGACAAATTTCCCCCCTCCCCACCCTTTTGTGCAAGCACTACGCAAAAAAAAACCGGGTTTCTAGATTTAACCCTCCATAGCTAATGCAGGGCATCAGGAATTGGATCAGGGGCTCTGCGGCATGAATTCTGGCCATACCAACATGAAGAAAATATTCAACATATTGATTACCCTGGAGCCTGGCTAACATCGATGCAAAAGAATGATATTAGTTTGCCGTGAATCATGCCGTGAATCACCTCAAAATTTAAGGGGTGTTATAGTTCAACAGATGGTGAATTTCTGCCTATCAGAATCAAGGAAATTTCAGATTATAACAACTTGTTTATAGGCAAAACAAAACCAACATTCTATAAACAATATGTTGAAAAACAATTTATTTCAACATCTATTACATCAGGATCATCTATTATATTTGCCTTTTCAAATGCTGAGTAACTTAATTTGGACAAACTATATTGCTTAAATCAGTCTAAGCAACTCTATAACTTTATTTCAAAAATCTAAATAAGCTCAGGCTGAGCGAAATTCCTTCAAAAATTATTTTAAAAAGATTGCCGTGATTTTTGAAAGTAATCAAACTATTTAAAAAAGAATTAACAGACACCAAATAAACAGGGCATGGCATCCCGTTTTTCCTTTGAACCACTGACTAATTGGCTAAAAAAAACATCACATATGAAAGAATATGTTACATGATAACTTCTTAAATGAAAATCTTTAAACTTTAATTTACTTACAAACTAGATACTGGCAGTAGAGGCCTTCATATCTATTAGTGCATTCACAAAATATACCAAACTCATCTGTAAAACAGCTACCCCCATTTCTACATGGTGAATTGAGACAGTTTGTTATCTGAATATCACACAATCTACCTACAATTTATATATATATATATAACATAACAAAGTGAAACCTACTATATATATGATAGACAAATAAATTACTTGCATAACTAATTCTTATGGTTCTAACTTGTTATTTTATCAACTGAATAGTGACTAACAATAAAATATAAAACAACTCTCACTGGGTCACTGTATACACTGGGGTGGGGGGTTGGATGGCCGAATGGTTAGCATGTGCGCGCTGTATCATAAAGCCTGTCATTGAGCCAACTGGCATGGTTTCGAATCCCCAGTTGTACATGACAAGGAGTAGGGTCGCCTGTCAAACCTCGTGGGTTTTCTCCGGGTCCTCCGGTTTCCTCCCACTGATAAAGACCCCTACGCGCAAGCGAATTATTGAAGTAAAATTATATTAGTCCCGAAATGACCTAGTTTGTGTCAACGTCCTACTGTTCTGCTCCGACTGGGCTATAATGAAGACAGGCATACGCCAAACAGTATATTTTGAGGGAAATTTTGCCCGGGCAGCGGAACCATGGTCTACTCTTATATCAAATTTCAACTGCCAAAGGATCTATTACATGCAAGCCAATGTGTATGTAACCTGTCAAAAAATGCATTGTTTCCAATTCGTGTTTCCATAGACCAAGACAGTAATCTGCTTCCATATTAATTGTTAAATCCTCTCAGATTTAATAATGATCGTGTAACATATTTGGATAGTCAATTATTTAGGAGAGTTGTATTACGATTTAGTTTTACACATATATTGTATTAATATTATGTCCATTTAAATTTCGCGTACTGTGAACTATACAGTGTCATGTGACCAGTTTATCCAATGAGCATTTGTCAGTAGGGAAACTCGAGCTCGAGGGTGGTATGCCATATTTTAAGGTAATTTTACTATCTTCTTTTCCCGTTATTATAGTCAGTGGTTTATTATCTAATATGTATAATGATGCATGATATATCGTAGAATGTGTATAATATATTCTGTATCTGTATGTTTGAACTCTGATTAAAAGGGGCAGTGACATGTAATGTATTGTCATATTCTTACCACTGAAGTTGGTTTGCTTCTGTGTTCCCTTACTTAGGGTAAGAAGTTTACATTAGATAATTATGGATTTGTATAATGTATATAGATGAAGGATGAGTTTTGAATAGACTGCTTCGAGTATAATCTGTATATGTTTTTAAAACATTTTTTATATAAATGATATATTTGTATTTTTCAGAGATTGTTGTCTCTGTAGATCCATAATAAACTAATTAGGTACTAGTTGGTGTTTTCTTCTCGTTACATGTACACAGGACCTCGGTTTTTTGTGCAATCCGAATGACTAGACAGCTGTCCTTGTCAGGCCCTCCACCCTGCACCACTGATAGGGGGGGGGGGAAACCACATCGCAAAATCCTGATGAACTTTCTTGGCCAGTGCAGGGATCAAACACATGACCTCCAGGCTAGCGAGCTAGCGTCTTACCCACTTAGCCACCGTGGCTCCAATATCTGTGTGTAGGTACAGGTAAGCAAAAAACTTGTTTAAATTCACCATTCTGAATTTTATTCATTTCTTATAATAGGTTGTAAGACTCCATCAAGGTTTTCAAAAAGTCTCCAAAACAGAAACATTACAGTAATAACAAGAGAACCAAAAATCTCCAAATTTCAAAGCAGTTTCTCGAAATAAAAAAGCCCAAGAAATCCTAAAATCTTGAATATTGGCTTGTAGCTAGAGTGTTCATCAATAAAAAAACAGATAAATGGACAAGGGTGATGACAAAGTAGTAAGTATATAATTACCTGTGTATGGAGGTGGACAAATACATATAAAACTATCACCATTAATAGAACAATCACCTTGTACACATGGTGAACTAGCACATGGATTAAACACTGATTCACATCCATTTCCTGAAAATATTCCAAAAACATATTGATTTTATTTTATATGTATAATATTGTATTTTAATTCCAAGCAACAACAAGATCAGGCACAAGGTTTTGGGACAGGCTGTGGTGGTGTGGTAATTCAACAACTAGTGGTCCATCCTAATAAGTATGACCAGGTGGTATTTAATACAGCCATTCAACCAAATATTAGAATATTACGGAGTAGACTTACACCACAACTTGGCTCCCAAGATGGATTATCTATAGTAAGTTAACAATGGTCAGCTATGACAGAAATTAGAGATAATAGTAGTAATGAGATAATTCATCTATAAACATAACATAATCAAGGCCCATGTAGTCACTTCAGCAAATGAATGAATGGATGTCAATTAAATATTACCCTTTAACAACTATAAAATATTATTCAGTTTAAATATATAAAGTATTAATCACTGTTTATTGTTACCAAGTAACCTCTAGTACATTAGAGGAACGATTGTAGATTGTAAGTAATTGACCACAGGCAGGCAGCAGGACATACTGAAGGGAAGGTCTCTGATAAGTTATTTCTTAGATGCTGTTCCTTATTAGATTACTTAGCCTGTGGGTCAGTATTGTATATATATTATTATTGTTAAGTATTGTTACAGAATATAAGATTACACCAAGAAAACTTGATTGAACATACCACCCATTGTCGAAGGTTGGATTATAAGCAGGTCCATAAACCCCGGATGATACTAAGCATGATAACCTGAGCAATGAAGCCCAATAGTTCAAATGCAAACCTTACAATGTTTGTAGCCCTTTTCACCTGTTTGATTTCTATATTCAATTAATTATTTTTCTTTCTGTTCATGATACAATGTGCATTAAGAATTTGGGACTACTGTAATGTAATATCATAAACAAGATATATCACAAAAGCTAAAAGAACTAGCACATCATTTACACATCACTTTTGAAGCTATTTGTGGCTGTGAATAATGAAAATGTTAGCTCTAAGTAACTGTGATATATTTGTTTACCTTGTTTAACTGATTAATATCACAGCTATTTGAAGGTGATGGGCTATATTATTTTACTCGTAAAAGTAACCTGACATAAACAGTGATAAATATCATATTTTAAAAAAGAAATCTATTTGCAGGTGTCAACACTCCAACGAAGTGTGATGTATAATTTTACCTATAAAAACAGATATTGCAGATTTGCAAAAAACTTTTTAATGGTGTGAGTGCCAAGTGTTAAGTGTTCACTTTACCTGTAAAGCCAGCTGGACACAAACACTGATAGGTATCACCGTTTTCTCTACATGTGGCACCATTTAAACATGGGGCATTATCACATGGTTTTATAACTGTTTCACACCGACTACCTGCAATAGTCAAAGAGGCATCTATATTTGATTCATATACCTGTATCAATTAGACATGTATCAATTAGACATCTGGAAATCTATGAAAATATGGTTTACTTGTAAGAAAAATCATCTGTACAATTGTCATTTAATTAAAAAATATCAATTTAAAAGTAAACTAGAAATCCTAAGGAGTACTGATGTGTTTCGGTATGTCATGTCACGTCACATCACGCCTTGTCACATCAACATTCAAGTTACACCATGAATTACTGATTTAGTAACATCCAATACCTATTAAAGTGGAAAAACCTGTCAATTTGGACTCTTAATAAAACTGGAAGTTATACTTTATGACCAAACTTTTTTATATTATTGTTAGTAGACACCAGTGTCATTATACATACAAAGGAAAATCGGAAGGCCTCCGTAATTTCCACAAGTTTTCGGAAGCCGTCACAAAAAGTTTTAAAATGCCATTTTGAAGCAATCAATGTGTTCCTTACTCCTACCAAGTTTCATCTTGATACCTCAAATAGTGACGGAGATATGACATCTTGAATGTTCAAAAATGATGAAGAAAACTTTCGCAAATCAAAATTTGATCTAATATTAATCAAGCGAACTTCCGAATTTCGAAAAAACGTCAGTCAGAGCCCATATGGGATTTGTCCAAAGAATCCAAAAAGACAAATCCAAAAATGAAAACCCGAAGAAGATTCGTCGAGAAATAACCGAGATATGGACAATCTGAGATTATTTTTTGTCCCATCCGTAAAACACTTCCTGTTCGTCAAAAATGACCCAATTTATATTTAATAAATAGATGCACGGAGGCCAACCACATCTACGCTGGCAGAGTGTTTGAACCATTTACAGTTTTGGTTGCACCGAAGGTTCGAAACATGTAAAAAGAATGAAATCAAATGGGGTTTGACATCCTAATTTTCTGCACCAACTGGGATAATGAAGATGGGCATCTTGGAATTGTGACATTATATAAGAAATCAAAGTCAATCAATGCACAACAGTCGTCCAAGGAAAAGTACTTGAATTGGTGGAACCTTAGGCTTTTTTCGAATAGCATTGAGTAGCACAAAATGAGTAGTACTTGGAGAGATACAAAATATGGTCATATAAAAGTGTTGTTTTACTAACCTGTATAGTTTGCTGAACATTGACAAGAAAATGTACTGTTACCAATATTTAAGCAGTTTGCATTATTAAAACATGGGTTACTATCACATGGTTTTACAATTGATTCACATCGTGCACCAGTAAACTGTACAGAGCATACACATTTATAACTACTTCCTACTGTCTGACAAATACCCTCATTAAAACATGGAGTTAAGGCACATGGAGACTGCTGAACATCACATTTTGTCCCTGAAAATATAAAGATATTATATATGCTTCCATCTAATCCAAATTCTCATTACACAGATTATTGAGGTAAAGACCTGTGCTTTATCTATCAAATGTATGAATGACTGAGTTAATGGCTACACATGCATTATTTTTACAAATTGGTCACGACAGTGTTATTACATCAGAGGAAAATAAAAAGAATCACATTAATGATAAAATGATCAGGCTGAGACTGGAAAATTCATTGTTCAGGAGCTGGCGAAATTGTTTTTTTTTTAGAATAACACAAACTAATCAGGGGGTTGCCCCAGAATTTGACAATGACATATCAATAGAAAATCTCTATATTTTAAAAATAAAGGTTATCTTTTTAAGAAGAGTTTTAAAATCTTTGGCACTTTACAGATTGCTAACACAAGTGACTGGACATACATTCATAATAGTAAAGAACTACAATCTGATTACAATTAAATGTTAATTTAGTTTTGCACATTTGATTGTTTAGTCCCATTAATATCTAAAGATATATTTGATAAAGTACATTCTGGACCTGTGACAACATTTAAACAATTGATCTTGATTATAAAGTCAATGAAATGTCTTAATAATAAACTTTCTGTATGGCAGGTTATGATTGATAGGTTGGTCTGGTGTCAACCATTCACAAATGTCATTAGACTGAGATGAATTGACCTAAACAACTGGAAAACAAAACAAAGTGTGGACTTAATTTTAATTAGGCTGTAAGAACTGATGACATACATATCTGACATGAAGCAAATTCATTAATACAAAATAGACACTCCAGACACATCTGCTAGTTCCTAATTTTTAATTTTCAAAGACGTCTACAAACTATCTAAATATATACTTACCAGTAAATCCAGTATTACAATTACATCTTTGTTGATTATTTTCTGTTAAACATTGCCCATTAATACAGTTAGTTGTATCACAAGTTGGGATGAGGACATCACAGTTAGTACCAGTATAACCGGCTTCACAAACACAAGTATGACCTGTCACAGTATTCTCACATCTACCACGAACACAAGGATTATCAGCACATGGTAATCTTGTACTACATGTAGAACCTGTAAACTCTGGCTGACATTGACAAATAAAATTACTACCAGCATTTGTGCAGATGCCATTTTTCAAACATGGAGAACTTCCACATGGATTAACAACTTCACAATTTCTACCAGCAAAGTTTGGAAGACATGAACAAGTATAGCTTGTTCCATTCTCAACACAGGTACCAGAGTTCAAACAAGGTGCACTGGAACATGTTTGTAAAGTGGATTCACAGCGTAGACCGGTGAAATTTGAAGAACACATACAGACAAAATCGTTTCCGTTCACAAAACATCTACCAGAATTTAAGCATGGTGAATTACCACATGGATTAAAACGTTCACATCTCGGACCTGCATACATGGTGGTACAACTACAACTAAAGGATGATCCTACATTCGTACAGTTGCCGTTATTTACACAAGGTGAACTCCAACATGGTATGAAAGTTTCACATCGTTCTCCTGTGTACTGGGATGCACACTGACATGTACTACTGGTTGTTCCAACATTGGTACATTGAATTATTCAGGTTGGAACATACTGAGTTATGTTGACAAGGACCACTAGAGCATGGTAAATATGTTTCACATCGATTTCCTGTATAACTGACAGGACATACACAAGTAAAATTAGAAGTTCCCTCCCTGCACACTCCAGCATTTAAACATGGTATACTGCTACAGAATAATCTTTGTTCACATCTAGTTCCTGTGAAGCCAGTTGGACAAACACACTGGAATGTGTTTCCATCATTCAAACAGGTTCCACCATTAACACACTGCTGTGAAGAACATGGTAAAATAGATTCACAGAGGGTACCTGTAAACCCACTTAAACAAGAACAAACAAATTGAGATCCATTTGATGTGCACAGGCCTCCATTTTTACATAGATTGGAAAAGCAGGGGAGATAACTTTCGCATGTTGTTCCTGTATAAGCAGACGTACATTGACAAGTCTCACTAGTGTCCACTACTGAACATGTGCCTCCATTTTGACAATTATTAACAGAACATGCTTGTTTTATCTCACAATTATTGCCAGAATAACCAGTTGAACATGAACACTGGTAGCCAGCACTTACTACTTGACATGTACCTGCATTTAAACATGGCTGTACAGCACAAGGTTGTTCATCCTCACATCTTGGTCCAGAATGGGTTAGCGGACAAGTGCAATAGGCTTCACCAGCTCTTTGAGTACAGAGACCTCTATTTTTACATGGTGATGCTGTGCATTGATCTGCTCGAATTTCACAATGACTTCCTGAAAACACAGAAAAACAAGCCAACAGTGAGGCTGATGTCCCCTGCCAAAATCCCAAAATAAATAGATGACACATATTAATTAATCGTACATTTATTTGTTTCAAAAGTTTATCAACTGATTATCACCTATACACTAAGTTTCATCACTTTCTATCAGATAGAATCAAAGTTATCTTGTCCCAAAGCACCGACCAATGAAATTGCTTTAGCTCGAAATGTTAATCATTGAACCCAGTCAAGACATTCACCTAATGAACATCTACATCAAGTTTAAACATTCTACCTCAATTAAAAGCAGAGTTGTTATGTTCCAAAGTCTTGACCAATCAAATTGCTTATCGCTCCTTAGCCTAAGCAGAAAATTCTCACCATCGAACTTAGTCAAGGTAATGATATAGTGAATCTACATGTATATTCAGAGTTTCATCTCCCTCACTTCATTATAACTAAAGTTATTGTGCCCCAAAGCATCAACCAATCAAATTGCTTATCTCTGCTTACCCTAAGCAGAAAATTCTCATCTTCGACCTCCAACAAAGCATTGACCTAATAAACACCTACACCAAGTGTGAACATTCTAGCTCAATTAGAATGAGATTTATTGTGTTCCAAAGTCTCGACCAATCAAATTGCTTATCACTTTGCTTACCCTGAGCAGAAAATGCTCATTATCGAGTTTAGTCAAGGTATTGATGTAATGAAGCTATACACTAAGTTTCATCACTCTCACTTACTCAGTTTCATTTGACAGTCTTTTAGAAATTAGCAAGAAGTGAAATGTAGTATTTCAATATTGTGCAGTTATTGATTACATTTTTCACATTAATTTCATAAGTCTTTTAGAAATTAGCAAGAAGTGAAATGTGGTATTTCAATATTGTGCAGTTATTGATTACATTTTTCACATTAATTTCATAAGCACATACATACCTGTATACCCTGACACGCAATAACATTCATAATATCCAATAGCTAGATCTTTAGCACAAAACTCTCTTCCTCTGCTACAACAAACAGCACCATTTTTACAGGGACTTGATTCACAGGGGTCTAATACATTTTCACATCTGTTACCAGTATAATTAGGTAAACATTCACAAGTAAAATCATTAATACCATCAATACATTTACCTGGTAAAAAAATAATTATTGCCAATAATAAATTTACCTGGTGAAAATAAATATTTCATAACTTATAACATAACAACAATAATGTTGATTTCAATATGGTCTAAATTACAAGCATAACTATTACAATTGCAGATATTCTACACAAGATTTTGTTACATTTAAGATCTGATTACGGAATTCATTTAGAATTAGCACAATGATTATATCTTACATTTCAAGAAGAAAGCCCACAAAAAAAGTCATTTATATCTAATCCCCCGATACGTAACTCTAGCACACCAATAATCACATTATTTAGTTTAATAAATAGAAGTACCCTACTTTATATGGTGTATCTAAACATATGCTGACTAGAATTAATTTCTCTAGGCATTTTAGTCAACAACAGACAGTTTGAAATGATTATAGGAAGGGGAGCGATGGAATTTAAAACTGATCAACTGCTTACCATTTGGACCACATGAATTAGTCAGACATTCGTTGATATTAACATCACATAATAATCCTGTAAATCCTGGTAGACATGTACATGTAGGATTTGAACCGGGTAAGTTTGCAGGGAAACAAATTCCATAGTTCAAACACGGATCTGAAAAATTAGAAAAATAAATTTTCAAGAGAGCATAACTAAGCGCAAGTATAGACTAGCAGCATACTTGAATATATACATACAAAGTGGAAATCATTACTTCAGACAGAAGATATGTATTAACAAACGAACAGTGAGGCCAAACCGACAAAATCCCAAAGTAAATAGATGACACATATTAATTAATCGCACATTTATATTTTTCAAAAGTATCAAGCAATCAAACTGATTATCAACTATACACTAAGTTTCAACACTCTCTATCAGATAGAATCAAAGTTATCTTGTCCCAAAGAATCAACCAATGAAATTGCTTAGCTCTGCTTAGCTTTAGCTCGAAATGTTAATCATTGAACTCAGTCAAGACATTCACCTAACGAACATCTACATCAAGTTTAAACATTCTACCTCAATTAAAAGCAGAGTTGTTATGTTCCAAAGTCTTGTCCAATCAAAATGCTTATTGCTCCTTAGCCTAAGTAGAAAATTCTAGTCATCGAACTTAGTCATGGTAATGATATAATGAATCTATACTCGGAGTTTATATATAAAGCATCAACCAATCATATTGCTTATTTCTGCTTACCGTAAGCAGACAATGTTTAACATCAAACTCCATCAAGGCATTCACCTAATGAACACCTACACCAAGTTTGAACATTCTACCTCAATTAGAAGGAGAGTTATGGTGTTCCAAAGTTTCGACCAATCAAATTGCTTATCGCTCTGCTTACCCCGAGCAGAAAATGCTCATTATCGCAATTATTCAAGATACTATACACCAAGTGTCCTCACTCTCACTTAAAGATACATTCTGTAAGATTTAAGATAAAGAGCTAGCCATTCTTGCTATGATAGTTCGAAAAAAGATAGTGAATAATTTTAAAATTTCATCAAATTACTTTATTGCGAGCAAAGATATTAGCCTATGAAGGTTTGACAAGATGTGTGTAATAATTTCAACCACCGTACTCTTTGTTCGAAGCTAAGTCTCGCTCCTCCATTTTTAGGTTAAATCAAAAAAATATGGCTGAACAGTTCTAATCTATTTTATATCAGAGAGTTGATTATGGCCTGGATAAGTTAATTAATGTCTAATTAATAATTTAGATAACATTTCAGGCCTAAAGAAAGACCTGCAATAGGCAGATTTAGTCCTTGCATAATGTATACTCAGCCAAATTAAAAACTTGACACTCAGGATTTTTGGGACTAGATTTTTAATATTTGGTTTAAGGCAACTATTTTAGTGTTATGTTGTGCACAGACGACCTTGACATCAACAGAAAGCAAGAATACGTCTTGCCGAAAGTCCTTGACATTGCTAACGTTCGTGATGTCACAGTACCCCCCAAAATAAAATTCACAGACTTGGAGAACAATCGGAATAAAGTGTTTAGTAACGGTTGTGGCCTCCTCTAGCGTCTCGTACTGCCACACAACGTCTTCTTGTGGATCTCAGAACATTAGTAAACACTACCCGAGGAAGACGTCGCCACAAATCAGCACGAGCATGTTGAAGGACCCGCAACGTCAGTGGTGGATTCACTTGCTGACGAACACGTCGACCCAGTTCGTCCCAGATGTGTTCAATAGGATTAAGGTCAGGGCTAAGCGACGGCCAATCCAGGACTTGGACACCGGTATTTCTTAAAAAATTCTGGGTAGCAATTGCTGTATGGGGTCGAGCATTGTCTTGTTGAAACGTTAGTCCAGGCCCATGTCTCTGCATAAACGGAAGAAGAACAGGTTGCAAAATCTGATACCTGTACTGGACAGCATTTAAGTTCCCTTGGACAACAACGAGAGGAGAACGTCCATGTGCACAAAAAGAACCCCAAACCATGACGCTGCCGTCACCCCAAATTGGTCAACTTCTCTGACGCATACTTGAGCGTAAAGTTCACCTCGTCTGCAGTACACCCAGACCCTGCCATCGGCAAATCTCAAAGTGAATCAAGATTCGTCACTAAAGAAAACCGAATTCCACTGTCTTTCAGTAAATCTTATGTGTCTTGCGATGAAGAGGTGTCAATATTAGTCCATTATAGGGCCTCCGAGCTCGAAGACCAGCAGCCTGCAAGTGATTTCGAACAGTTTGTGCAGTTTCCCTTCCACCAAACATCTCTCTACTTGTGGAGGTTGCAGTGACAAATCTGTTTCTAAGATGATGTAATCGTATTGCTTGATCTTCCTGCAGTGAGTCACGCGTGGCGCTCCCGCCCTTGGGCGGTCGGCAACAGTTCCAGTTTGAAGCACTCTCATTCTAAGATTAATTATTGTCTGGCGTGAACAATTAAAGGCTCTTGCAACAGTGACCACAGACTGACCAGCATAGAGCCTACCTATAGCACGTAGACGTTCTACATTTGAAAGGCGCAGCATTTTCTAACAAAGATGAAAATAACAATTTTAATTTGTTTTTCCAGTTCAAGTTACGTGTGCTTGTAGAGTTTAAGCAAACTTGCATCGATTGACCTCACGAGTTTGTGTTTGCACATGTTTTACCAGAGTATTCATCTTTATATGCTCAAAAGTCACGTGATCCACTTGACTTTACAATTTTATAAAATTAAAGGCTTCTTACTACTTACTATCGTTAGAAACACTTTAAAATTTATTTGACTTACCAGAAAAAAAAATTTGTTGAAATTCATCAGTGTCAAGTTTTTAATTTGGCTGAGTATATGTTTAATTAAAACAAAGTTATCGTGTCCAAAAGAATCAAGCAATCAAATTGCTTATCTCTGCTTACCCTAAGCAGAAAATGCCCATCTTCGAACTCCATCACTGCAATGACCTAATAAACACCTACACCAAGTTTGAATATTCTAGCTCAATTAGAAGAAGAGTTATTGTATTCCAAAGTCTCGGCCAATCAAATTGCTTATCACTCTGCTTACCCTGAGCAACAAATGCTCATTATTGAACTTTGTCAATGTATTGATGTAATGAAATTATACGCCAAGTTTCATCACTATCACTTAATTAGAACTAAAGTTATCGTGTCCCAAATCATCAACCAATCAAATTGCTTATCTCTGCTTACCCTAAGCAGAAAATGTTCATCTTCAAACTCCATCAAGACATCAACCTAATAAACAACTACACCAAGTTTGAACATTGTAGCTCAATTAGAAGGACAGTTATTGTGTCCCAAAAAGTGTGACGGACAAACAGACAGACAGACGGATGAACCAATTTTATTAATAGTCCCCTGCTTTCTTCGAAAGGCGGGGGACAATCACTATTAATAAAGACTCTACGTGGTTCCAGTTATAATTGTTAATCTGACTGCTGAAGAATTTACCTGTCAGTCAAGTTTAGATGCCATAATGTTTCTATCAAATAAAGGAAAATGGGTAAATATTAAGGAATATTGTAGACAGAAACTTCAGGCTGTTTGTCTATCAGGTATGGAAAATATCGAGCAGATGTACCTTTTAATCATTATTTTTTGTGGCAATCATGAGTATTATTCTGAATGTGATTTTCCTGCATAAAATATTACCAAGAATTTATATTTTGCTGAAGCCTGTAGGCATCAAAGGGAATGGAAGCTTATTGACACTATTTTCTGAAGTTCACAATGATGCTTAGTAACCCAATTCTGGCTGGTTAGTTTCAAAATGGATTAAAAACCCTGTTGTCAACCATCAAAATAGCCATGAAAAGAGTAGCCTATGGAATAGTAACACAATAATCACTGTCTACTGGAATTAGTTGTCCTGTCTATCCCTGGACATTGGTCTACTGATGAATGTTGACTATTGAATCTATCTCACCTACTGTACATAGCTGTTGTCTTTCACATTGCTTGCCTGCTCTAGATGCCGGACAATTACAAACATACTCATTTAATCTATTCTGACATACTCCATTAAACCGACAGGGTGTTGTAGCACAATTATCTACCAGTGACTCACAAGTTGGACCTATTCAATGACAAAGAAGAAAGATTTAGAAACCAGCGGCTGCCAGGTAGGATACGCCCACATTTTGCAAGAGAAGGATAGAGAACAAGCTAAAAACAAACATAATTTTTTGTACAATCAGAGGCAATAATCCAGGAAGTTATGGCCTGAAATGTGCAAATAAAAAAAGGGACAGAGATCTTTGGGATAAAAAGATATGTTTTAAGTTTCATCAAAATCGGATAAAAATTGTGACCTCTAGAGGGTCCACAACCTTCGTATTACACACTTCTACACAATTTGCATACAAAGAGCGTCCATTTTGTCGGGCAGTTTTATTTCGATTTTCCCGAAATACCAATTCAACCTTCATTTTGGTGGAATGGTGATGTATTTAAATGGTTTTTAAAATCGGAAAAAAATTGTGACCTCTAGAGAATCCGCAAGCTAAAAATTTGATTTTTCGAACAATCAGGGGCCATAATCCAGGAAGTTATGTTCGGGTATCCACGATTATCAAAAGGAACCAAGATCTTATTGTGTAATGGTGATATATTCACACATTTTTTTTGAAATTGGATAAAATTTTTTGTTAAATCAATGGCCATAATTCAGGAAGTTACGATCCGATATGCGCGAATATCGAAAGAAACCAATATCTTTGGGTTATAAACATGTATTTCAAGTTTCATCGAAATCGGATCAAAATTGTGACCTCTAGAGGCTCCACAACCTTGATTTACCAGATGTTTACACTATTTGCATACAAGGGGCGGCCATTTTGTCCGATTTTCATACATACATTTCGAACTTAACATACATTACGGTGTAACGGTGATATATTCGAACGTTTTTTTTTTTTAAATGGAATAAGCTAAAAACGCGATTTTGCGTACAATCAGAGGCCATAATTCAGGAAGTTACGATCCGATATGCGCAAATATTGAAAGGACCGGAGATCTGTGGGTTATAAACTTGCAATTTAAGTTTCATCAAAATCAGATCAAAATTGTGGCCTCTAGAGTGTCCACAACTTTGATATACCAGATGTTTACACTATTTGCGTACGAGGGGCGACCATGATGTCCAGCAGTTTTGGTCTGATTTTCATGAAATTCAAACTCAACCACGCTTAGGGTGTAACGGTGATATATTCAAACGTTTTTTTAAATCGGATAATAATTGTAACCTCTAGAGGGACCACAAGCTAAAAACGCAATTTTTCGTACAATCAGGGGGCATAATTCAAGAAGTCATGATTCGATATGTACAAAAATAGAAAGGAACCAACATATTTGGGTTATAAACATGCATTTAAAGTTTCATCAAAATCAGATGAAAATTGTGACCTCCAGAGGGTCCACAACCCTAATACACAATATTGTGAAACTATTTGCGAACGAAGGGCGGCCATTTTGTCCGTCAGTTTCGGTTCGATTTTTACGAAATTCGAACTCAACCACCCTTAGGGTGTAACGGTGATACATTCAAACGTTTTTTTAAATCGAATAAAAATTGTGACCTCTATGGGGTCCACAAGCTAATAACGCGATTTATCGTACAATCAGGGGCCATAATTCAGGAAGTTATTGTCCGATATGTGCGAATATTTAAAGGATCCGAGATCTGTCGGTTATAAACATACATTTCAAGTTTAAACCAAATCAGATAAAAATTATAACCTCTACAGTGTTCACAAGCTAAAAACGTGATTTTTCGTACAATCAGGGGCCATAATCCATGAAGTTACAGTTCGATACATGCCAATATCGAAAGGAACCGAGATCTTAGGGTGATAAACCTATATTTCAAGTTTCGATCCGATACATGCCAATATCAAAAGCAACCAAGATCTTTTGGGGATAAACCTATATTGGATAAAAATTGTAACCTGTAGAGTGTTCACAAACAATTGTAGACGGATGGACAGGGACAACGACAATAAACGTCCACATGAAAATGTGGGCGTATAAAAAGGGGTGTGAACTGAAAAAGACACATGGGTCAAAAAATCACAATTGTATCATGGTATGCATAAATTTAGAATCTATATTCAAAGTTCCTTTAATGGCAACAACAAATTATGTGCATTTATGACCAGTGTTCACTTTTGAGTTATTCAAAAGTGGTAAAATTGACATTTTTACATAATTAATGTTGTGTTTGAAATAAGGGGTCTGTGATGACATCTCATTTAGCAACAGCTAGCCATGTATAGCCTTTTCTTGTCAATTTTTACAGTTACCAAAATATTAAACAATGTCTGACCTTTTACTAAACAAATCCAATGAATATTATACTTTTACCTGTATATCCTTGTTGACAGGAACAGTTAAAACTATTAACTAAATCAGTACATGTAGCATTATTTTTACAAGGTGTGGTAAGACATTCATTTATATTGGTTTCACATTGTCTACCTGTATAACCTGGTCTACACGTACAGTTAAAGGCATTATTTACATTCTGAAGAACAAAAATAATGGAAAAATCATTTAAAAATGTGTTTCTTTTAGCATAATTAAGTCATCATTTTTATCTCAAAAGTATATTATTACATTACATTACATCATTTATTGATATTTAATATATCAAGGAAAAATAAAATTATAGACTTAATTGCATTAAAAGACCTCAATATCTTAATATTCAACTGCTATTTGGCTATTGTGCAGTTGGGTTTTATGACCATGAAGTGACAAAAATATCAAGTTATCTTCACTAAGTTTTTGAGTTGACTTAGAGTATATGCAAATAAGCATTTTATAATGGCAGCTCTTTAGCCGTCTCTCTGTTCACCATTAAACAGAAGCAGTTGCTCCGGTGATACAGCACTGTACCGGTCCATCGGAGACCTATTCTGTGCTTCGGTCCCCGACGACTATATAAAAGGAACATTCGCGCAATCTCACTGAAGTCTGATGAGTTCAAACTGAACGAAACTAGTCGCTTCATGAGAAAAATCTGGAACGGCTACTCGCCACTCATAGATTTCTAATTTTATTACACTCACTGCGGAGTAACCTTACCAGCTAAGAATTTCTTAACTCCGGTCACCTCAAACGAGAAACCGAACCCAGAGTCAAACTTTACCTAGGGAGAAGTCGACCCTTACCGAAACAACTCAGATAGATTTTACGTCCAGAACATTACCGGAGTATGATCTGCCAATCAGAAAGTGTTTGTTCTGCCATCAGCCATTATACCGGAGTACAAAATACTCCATAAATTGAACAACAAATTTATACCGTTATCAAAATGCTCCGGAATTTGAATAGCAAATTTATCCGTTTTTGATTCAAAGTAGATCACCATCATCGTATAAACCGAAAACTATTTTGGTACTTTTATACACCTTATAAAAATATGTTCGATCAAATCCGAGTGAAAACTATTTTTAGCTCACCAAAAGGAAATTCGATCGTTTATATAAAGGTTTATGATCCCACTATTGTTCAATTTAGCAAGCTCTCCCAAGAGAAATGGCATCTATTATCCTATTCAGAAATAGCACATGCCGTATACTCTCCGAAAAAAAGGAAAAAAGCCAATTACATCATTTAGAAGGCTGATATGTGAGTAGAAATATTACGATACAAATAGCTGTGTCTTTCACGACTGATCCCTGACTGAGACATAAATGATATGTCACGTTGGATAATATTATTTGAACCATTTCAAATCGAAATGGATTCACACTTTTGCAAAGAATGTCTATATAATTTATAAGATTCAGTCCCGAAGGGTCCCAACACTCTTTATATTTATAACTAAATTTCAGTCATTGCTCTATGATTGTGGGTAGTAGATGTATTCCCATTTTACATGGCAAATCTTATGCTCACGTCCTGTTCATTATATCTTTCCTATACAATGGCAGCTCATTTTTAGCACATTCTATATACTGAACCAGTCCATATACATGCAAGTATTTTGAATTGTTTTTTGGTGGGTGGTCGAGTGGTCTAATGCATGCACTTTAAATAATTAGGTCTGTCATTGAATAAAGTGCCGTGGTTTCGATCCAATGCTAGTACCTGACAAGGAGTAGTGTTGCCTGCCAAAGGCCAGCACCCCAAAATGACTTACTTTGTATCAAGTGTACATTAAACCTCATCTTCTACTTATTCCTCCACCCCCGGCACCCAATCCAAACTACTAGATGTCATGTTTTTCTTACATGCCATGAATAGACGTTACTAATTTCTGCACAGTGAATAATAAGGGTTCTTATAACAAAATGTGTGTGTTCAATCTTCAAAGTGCTAACAAAATAAGTTTATCTGTAAGAAATTTCAAACAGATAAGTCTTTAAATGTGATTTAAATCTTGTTACTGATGGGACACATTTGAGAGATACAGATAGTGAATTTCACTTAATTGCAGCCGCAACTTCGAAGGACTTAAAACCAAATGATTTCAATTTCCATGCTGGCACAACTATGTTAAGTTGAGACCGAGATCAAAGATTTCTTGTTAGTTGGTAAAGTCTGAAAATATCATTAAAATATAACTAAATATTGCTTTTTATAATTGGCAAAGAATTGGATACATTGAAAAAACACTTACTTGACATATGCCATTATTTAGACAAGGGAGAGAACTACATGGACTTATAGCCTGATCACATCTGTCTCCTCCGTAACCTACAGTAAAACACAATGTAACACAAATTGTTAATTATTCAACTATCAAAATGTGAGGTAATTATATTGTGATCAAAATTATTAGAACAAAATCAACAAATTTTATCTTTGTTGTTTGTAATTATGTTCCATTGACTAAACTAAATCATTTGTGCTTACCTGGTATACAGCTGCAATGAATCTGGTTATTAGGCAAAGGAGTACAAACCCCTTGAACACATGGTTTAGAAGTACATTCAGTGATGGGAGATGAAGTTGTTATAGTTGACTCAGATGTTTCGATGCTAATGGTAGGAGATGATTGTGTAGTGGTTGTTTGCGTAACAGTTGTTTGTTGAGTAGTAGTAATTGTAACAATAGTCGTTGGTTGTGTAGTAGCTGCCACAGTTATAGATGGTTGTGTAGTTGCTACATCAGTTGTAGATGGCAGTGTAGTTGTTGCCTCAGTTGTAGATGGTAGGGTATTTGTTGAAAGTTGTGTTGTTGCTGACTCAGTTGTCGGTGGTTGTGTAGTTGCTGCTTCAGTTGTAGATGGTTGTGTAGTTGCTGCCACAGTTGTTGAAGGTAGTGTAATTGTTGGCACAGTTGTAGATGGTTGTGTAGTTGCTGCCACAGTTGTAGAAGGTTGTGTTGTTTCTGACTCAGTTGTAGATGGTTGTGTAGTCTTTGCAGTAGTTGTAGAAGGTTGTGTTGTTGCTGGTTCAGTTGTAGAAGGTTGTGCTGTTGCTGCCACAGTTGTAGGTGGCTGTGTTGTTGCTGGTTCAGTTGTAGAAAGTTGTGTAGTTGTTCGTTCAGTTGTAGAAGGTTGTGTAGTTGCTGACTCAGTTGTAGATGGCAGTGTAGTTATAGGTGAATGGGTGGATGTTGCCTCTGTTGAAAATGGTTGTGCAGTTGTGGACATAGTAGTTGCTTCATTTGTAGATGGTTGTGTAGTTGCTGCCTCAGAAGATGACTTGGTTGCCGATGCTTCAGTAGTTGTAGAAGGTTGTGTTGTTGCTGATTCAGTTGTAGAAGGTTGTGCTGTTGCTGCTGCAGTTGTAGGTGGTTGTGTTGTTGCTGGTTCAGTTGTAGAAAGTTGTGTAGTTGCTTGTTCAGTTGTAGAAGGTTGTGTAGTTGCTGGTTCAGTTGTAGATGGTAGTGTAGTTATAGGTGAATGGGTGGCTGTTGCCTCCGTTGAAAATGGTTGTGCAGTTGTGGACATAGTAGTTGCTTCATTTGTAGATGGTTGTGTAGTTGCTGCCTCAGAAGATGACCTGGTTGCCGATGCTTCAGTAGTTGGTAGTGGAATTTCACATGACAATCCTGTGTAGCCAGTAGCACATCCACAGATATGGTAAGCAACACTGACATTTGGCACAGCAGCAAAAAAGTAACAAGAAGCACCATTTTGGCAAGGGTTAAGTAAACAAGAATTTCCTGCAATGAAAGAAAAGGTCAGGTCATTGAATACAGAATATCTTCAAAATGGTTGACACTTGAAAGCCAACCACAAGCATCGTTAATTCTGCTACATGCATTTAATATAATGTTAAAAATGTAAAGTAAATGTTTTTCACATAAAAATGAAATTGTGCCCCAATGAAAAACATCTGCCAATCTTCATTATAATATTTCCAGTTTATAAGATGCATGCCTATATAAGATGCCAATTGAATTCGCAATTATTTTTCAACAAATACATAATGGATGAAGAAGAATGGCCCTTGATAGCAATCTGTATCTACTACATTGACATCATTACTGATCAACAAAATTGCTTGTATTGGTCTGTAGGTCTGCGTTTTGTGATGACTTTGGAACATTTTAATACACAAACATATAAGAATATCTCTTGAGATTAGGGTTAAAGTATAATTACTGGTGTAAACAGATCATAATATGGATGTGATTGAAAGTGTGTAAATTACAAGGTAGTGCAACCAAAAAAGGAACAAAATTTTAATATAATTTTAATCAGATTGCTACACCGTCTTTGATAGACATATCTCTCCCGTTACATAAAAAAGTAAAATATACCTCCCCTACAAGTAGCATCAGTCTCATCTAGCCCATTTGGACAGTCAGTAGAGTTATCACAAACCCAACTCAATAAAATACAGCTGCTTAGATTGACTGGATCTCCACAAAATACCTGTGTGAAAGGTTCAACAAAATCAACACAGTTTTCTTGAAGGGCTGTAAAAGTGAAGAAATAATCACATCAAAAAACATTGTTGTATGATACTTTCCTTTACTTTATGTAATAAATCTGGACATTGACAAAACTAAATATGCACAGTAATACTTTCTTAGGAACATAAACAACAGATAATTAATCCATTCCAGTTATTGCAATATCAATTTCAAAGCCAGTGTCCAGCTGAATTAGAGGGTAGTGCTTTAAGTGGTCCAATAAAATGGTGTACAACCTCCCAGAATCTGGATCATCAGGAAAATTTTAGTTTTTCACTTTAGGACTAAGTCATGTCATCAAAATTTTGTATGCTTCTGTTTCACTTGTTGCTTTTGTGTTTGATGACTGATAGTTACCAACTTAAAATGTCATCACATCATCATCAAATCAGGTGTAAGACTTTTGTAGAATTTTTGCTCTTTAAGTTAAGGATAGCATTATATTGTATTAATTAATATCTCTAGCAAGTTAGTAGATTCACATATTTATACTTAAATCAAGTTAGCGAAGGAGTGGCATATTGTTACATAAAAAAGAGTTATAATTTGGTAAACATTAGCTGGTTCTGTGGAAATAAGAATAACATGTATTACACGTGATAAGAAAATTACGATTGCATCATTTGGCTTATTTAACCAATCTCTCTAATTATTTACATCATATTTGACCAATTAGATAATTGAAGGTCCAAAACCCAAAGCTACAAAACTATCATACTTGTGAGAATTCGTCAGACAGCAGACAGATTCTGGAAGGAAAAAGATGTAGCAATTTCTATCAGCAGACTCACTGTTTGTGAGAGAGAGAGAAATGGGGTTTAACGCCCACTCGACACAAACTATGTCTTTTCGGGACTAACATATGTTTTTTAAATTTTATTTACATAATTCGCTTGTGCGTAGGGGTCTTTAGCAGTGTGAGGAAACCGGAGGACCCGGAGAAAACCCACGAGGTTGGACAGGCGACCCTACTCCTTGCCACGTACAACCGGGGATTCGAAACCACGCCAGTCAACTCAATGACAGACTTTATGATACAGCGCGCGCACGCTAGCCATTCAGCCATCCAACCCCCTTGCTGTTTGTTAAACATACAATATTTTGGGGTTGACAACGTGGAATGTCAGAGTGGCAATTAAATTCTAGACGATCAAGGGCTGTTCTAAAATATGTAGCAGAGAAAAGAAAGTATGCGTCACACGTTGGATGTGGGGCGTTGTCTCCATGTATTTTCCACTGCATAGCACTAGGCATGGTGCTACACAGGGGTGTAAACAAAAATTTGAATACACTAGCCTAGCTGGGCTAGAAGTCTACTGTCAGACACTAGCCCGGCATGGATTACCACTACTAGGCACTAGTCCATAGTTGAACAAGGTATAAGCTTTAAAGTAGCTATGTCTCTAACTCAATATCATCCAAAGTCTTCGACATTGAAAACACAAATTATTGGTCAATTTAAATCAACACTGATGTTGTGATCATACCGGGAAAAGATGGGCTTCTGATATCTAATATTTAAGACAAAATAAACATTTTACCATTGGTACATGAATCGTGTACCATAATGCGTTTCAGTGCCATTTGTAACAAGGGACTTGAAGAACGAGGCTAGACATATTCCACAAGTCATTCTCATCTGGAGAGCATGCCCAATAAATACTGCCGGTGTAGACTGGAATAACCAGAGGCTAGAGATTACCATTCGATTGAGACATCTGCGACTATTTCGCTGAACATAACTGATTAGAGTAAAAACGGAAACAATTGAATGTAAAGCAGTTTATATACATTATTATATTCGTTGCGACCCATTTGTGTCCATTTCTAGGTCCCAAATATTAGCAATTTAGCTCCTTTAATATTATACTGCATGTAAAAATAAAACTTGATAAATGTAATAATTGAAGAAGAGTATGTAGAAATGCTAAAGTCTGTTCAAAATTCTCCTCCCTTACACACAGTCATACTATATGAACATCAGGGATGATATAATATTTTTAAAAAGCATGTGTTCTGAATACAAAAAATAATGTGCACCTCGCTCTTTTTCATATTTAATTCCTGTCGGTATTCAAATTTATGTCAATAATATTCCTACAAAATTACGTGTTTTTGTAACATGATAGAATGAAAGTGACCGATCCATACCTGCTTCAAATCCACGTTAGTAATATTCCTCCAAAATTATGTCTATTCGATTATACAGCAGAAAATGAAAGCATTATTCGGAACATCGTTCGTTTATACAGCAGAAAATGAAAGCATAGTTCGTGATCTCGAAACATTGTTTGTCTTCTTTATAAAACGGTATTTCAAAATTGCATCAGCATAGCATCGACAAAAATGAAATGAAATGAAATGGTGTTTAACGTCCTACTAGGCTTATGAAGATGGGCATATGCCATACAGTGTGCACGCCAATATATACACAGGATCTCGATTTTTCGTCCCATTCGAAAGACAAGACAGCTGTCCTTGTCAGGCCCTCACCACTGACAAGGGGAAATAACGTCGGAAAATCCCAATAAACTTTCTTGGCCGATGCAGAGCTCAAAAACGCGACCTCCAGGCTAACGAGCCAGCATCTTACTCACTTAGCCACAGTGTCACCTCCATAGCATCGACACCTGTATGCAATACAGGTATGGTCTCTATGTTCTATATTGTTATTTGCCCACGTGACATGTAGAAAGCATCAAGAACTCCCGTGCAAGTGCCATTTTAGCCACAAAGCTGTTTGTTAAATGGAGAAAAAATTAAACTGATGTGTATTAGCTTGGATTGGAGAAAATAAAAGTGGGACATTTTACAGTTTATTTAGCTATATCACTAATTTAATTCACAAACAATAAAACCAGCGGCTGCCAGGCAGGATACGCCCACATTTTGCAAGAGATGGATGGAGAACAAGCTAAAAACAAACAGGATTTTTTGTACAATCAGGGGCAATAATCCAGAAAGTTATGGTAATATCAAAAGGGACTGAGATCTTTGGGATATAAAGATATGTTTTAAGTTTCATCAGAATCGGATAAAAATTGTGACCTCTAGAGGGTCCACAACCTTCGTATTGCATACTTTAACATGCTATACACTATTTGCTTACAAGGGCTGGCCATTTTGTCCGGCAGTTTTGGCCTGATTTTCACAAAAATCGAACTCAATAAACATTACCTTGTAACGGTGATATATTCGAATGTTTTTTTAAATCGGATAATAATTGTGACCTCTAGAGGGACAACAAGCTAAACACATGATTTTTCATCATACAATCAAGGGCCATAATTTAGGAAGTTACTATCCGATATGCCCGAATATCGACATGAACCAAGATCTTTGGGTTATAAACTTACATTTCAAGTTTCATCAAAATCAGAAGAAAATTGTGACCTCTAGAGGATCCACAACATTGATATACCATATTTTTACGCTATTTGAGTAGAAGGGGTGGCTATTTTGTCTGTCAGTTTTGATCTGATTTTTACAAAATTCAAACTCAACCATCCTTAGGGTGTATTGGTGATATATATTCAAACGTTTTGTTAAATAGGATAATAATTATCACCGCTATAGGGTCCACAAGCTAAAAATGCGATTTTTCGTAAAATCAGGGGCCATAATTCAGGAAGTTACAGTCCAATATACGCAAATATCGAAGGAAACCGAGATCTTTGGATTATAAACTTACATTTCAAGTTTCATCAAAATCAGAAGAAAGTTTTGGGCCGATTTTCACGAAATTCGAACTCAACCATCCTTAGAGTGTAATGGTACTAAAACAATTTTTTAAATGGGATAAAAATTATGACCTCTATAGGGTCCACAAGCTAAAAACTGATTTTTCGTACAATCAGGGGCCATAATTCAGGAAGTTGCGGTCCGATATGCGAAATAACCAAAGGAACCAATATCTTTGGGTTATAAACTTACATTTCAAGTTTCAACAAAAACTGATAAAAATTATGACCTCTATAGGATCGACAAGCTAAAAACACGATTTAAAGCTGCAATTTCATATTTTTAAGTTATATTTTTAAAATTTATTAAAATAAAGCCTTAAAATAGATGGTATTCATAAACCGTCCTACCTTGTTAAATAGTAATCCATATAAGTCACTATTTCCAGCTGGGAAATTGGCAAAAATATCATTTTCAACTTCAAATTCCAACGTTTGAAGGTAGCTAATGCATGGAGCCAATAGGAAAACAAGGGAGGTAATTGTGTTATTATTTCCTGTGTCAATGATTTTTAAGGGTGGGAAATAATGCCCATGGTCGTATAATAGTGAGTTGATGATTTATTGAGCAAAAGACATAGAGATAATTATGTTTTGACTTTCTTAGAGAATATGAAATTATCGCTTTAACATACAATCTGGGGCCATAATCTACGAAGTTACGGTCTGATATACATGCCAATATCGAAAGGAACCGAGATCTCAGGGAAATAAACCTATATTTCAAGTTTCGTTGAAATCGGATAAAAATTGTGACCTGTAGAGTGTCCACAATCAATTGTGGACGGACAGACAGGAGCGACGACAATATACGTCCACATGAAAATGTGGCCGTATAAAAAATCAGCAGTGAAAGGGCACTAGTCATGGACTAATACGGTAAAATAGGTCATTAGCCTGTAAGATATTTAGGTAGCACCGGGTGTCGGGCTAGTGGATTTTTACTCCCCTGCATCAAATCATTAAAAGTATGAATGTATTGTTATGCTACTTACCCTTGGGCCTGATTTGTGAGTTGCTTGATCTCACCCAGACAATTAGTAACAATATCACACACTTTCTCAACATTTTTTTATTTTCTTCTTCACATTATGCAAAGGGTATCATTAAATGTTCTCAAACAAATATCCTGAAAAATAAAACAAATACAGACAGATAAAAATAAAATGCAGTGTTTTATATCAATTTTATATTTTGCACCCAAAAAAATTACTTGTTTAAGCAGCATTTATAAGTAACTGGCCAATTGTAAAACATGGCACAGTTATTACATAGAATAAAATCTATTTGAATATAAATACATAAGAGCTGGAACCCTTGTGAAACCTCATCTGTAATTAACCTAAATATGTAAATGTAATTAAAATACAGATTTTTCCATCCGAATCTTAGTACTTTTGGTATATAAATTTTATAAACCTGAGAGTTGAATAATTTAGAAACTTTTTTCAAAAACTTTTATATTTCTGTATGTATATATATTTTTAACTATAAACAATTAATAAAAACCTTGGCGGAATGTGATAAATCTATTAGTTTTTATGAATCGGTTTTAAATATTTTATATCTTGAGAGCAGCTTTATTTAGTTTTTGTTAATAAGTGATTACTAGCACTTTCGCTTATTTTACAAATAATCGACATATGTAGTTCTTTTTTCAAAATCTTTTATATTTTTGTGTATTTAATACCTAATTTTAAGTGTAGTTATCTTTAAATTTTCGTACAGGCCAATATATAACCGGTATGTATAGACATACAACACAACATCGGCCAGTGCTATAGGGCCTAATGATTATGTTTGAACTGAACAAATACAATTGAAACATAAATAATCTGATGCATTAATTCTTCTATGTAACTCTAGGTATCAATTAATTCTAAATTTATACATAATAAATTATTATTGTAAAGCTTGCCTTCAAAATTAAGGGACATTTCTCTGTACCGGTAATTGGTAGCCTATATTCTTGAAAGACCATAATTCATTAATTGTCAGGTGCCCACGTGCTATAGCTGAATGGCATATTCTAATATCTAATGCCACTTTTAGTTTTTGACTAGTCAGTTTGCACGAAGATACGTGCATTGTAATCTGATCTGGTGAGTCAAATAATTCTTAATCGATAATATATTGATTTTTAAAGTGGTCATATCCACAGACAGATGCAAAAGCCTTGGCCGGATTATCCATTCACTCATTCAGTAATGGTGACCATTGACTTTGATTTTTATTATTATAGGGCTTTATATAGCTATATGACATTTGGAACAAATGTCCTTGTTGGGAAAATTTTCATGTAAAAACTGCATTTGAAGTTATTTTGTTGTGTGGTGTAGGTTCAATTTTTGTACAGCCGGTAATAAATTTTAATGGGTTGTAAACACGAACACGTGTTTACGTTTGTTGACATGTGCGACCAAGTAATTGTCCCGATTATCCAGCCAAATTCATAACACAAGACTCCAACTCTTCTGTGTTAAAGGAGATTTAATCATCAAAGATAACCTCATATTCAATTTTCACTGTTCGAATTTTAGTCCACAGTTTTTGTATGGGTTGAATAAGAAAGTAAGTAGACGGTGAGAAATGGCAGTACATTGTAGCCTACAGCTACCCCAGTTCCTTTAGGAACTGTCTATATGAAAAATAAACGAACCATAGTTCTTAAAACATACTGACAGACATAAAGAAAAGATGCCATATATACACAGTCTAAGAGTAGATACCCATCCGCTCAGAAAGTACGAACTACGAGCTTTGAATAGGCTCATCTATTCGACCCTGTGTCTCGAAAGGAGAAATATTTCAAGAAACTGGATTTTCTTTTAAGTCCAAGTGCTAGGTCTCAAATTGCAAACTACACTAGCTGGGCAAATCAATTTTATATGAGAAAAAAAAAGGTATTGCGGCATAGTACGTTGACCCGGCTCCTTTTGACTTCCACCACTAACCCTAACCCTAAACTAAGTAGCGGGATCAACCTACTGCGCTGGCTATTGCCTGATTATTGGTAAGGTGATAATGATAATAGTCAGAGCTGCCAAGATCTATCCGTTTTTTTTTTATTCATATAGTATAGACGTAAACAAACCATTCCCCACTTTATCTAAATTCCTAATTTATTGAAAAATCTCGTTTCCAAAACTGATATCTTGCTCCGTTCACAGACCAGTAAATCTCTTTTCCTTCATAAATGCAAAACGGGATCCACGAAACATACTTTTCATTATTCTGCATGTCTTTATGGAACAATCTGCCTTTTGATATAAAGATGTGTAAAAATGTTGAAAATTTTAAGATTAAACTGAAAACTCATTTATATTGAGCACTGAAGAAACCATAATATTCAACTGATGATCGACATACTTATTATTTTTCGTGTATTTAACTTGCAACTGCATTCTATTTTATTTTGTGTGTAATTATAGTGTTCTTCCTATATTCTACAAGATAATGTATATGTTTTGTAGTTTAGGAGTGACTTCCCAAACTTCCCACTTTAAATTAATGCTATTGCATTTCAAATGATTTTGAATTTATCCTGATATTACATGTATATATGTCTTTGTAGCTTAATTAGGAGGGACTTATGGAAGATTATTTTTTTTTGCAAACTAAATATGTTGCCTCATTAAATAAAGTTTTTATTATTGTTATTATTATTGAAAGAAAGTCATATATGAAATCATTTCTTGTTACCCGAAAATAGCTAATTGACTTAATTAAAGTGGCATTATAATTAGGTGAGGTAAAATTAGATAATATAAAGAGCTGACAGTTCTCGCTATAATAGTTAAAAAATAGATAATGGAAAGAGAATATGCTGAAAATTTTAGTCAAATTACTTCACTCTGAGCCTATATAGATATCGGGGATACAATTATAGCCTAGCCTTGATTATCATTACTACCGTTGTTACGATAATAAACAAAGTCTTTATTACCGGTATTCATTTTTATGGTAACTGCATTAACCATAAAACGCAGTCATCCAATAACATTTCAGGCCTAAAGAAAGACCTGCAATAGGCAAATGTAGCTCTTGCATAATGTATGTTTAAAGGAGCTAAACCTCTAACTCAATATTTACAATATTCGAAATTAAAAAAAAACAAAAAACAATTAGGCTCCTTCAATTAGAATTCAATATTGGTCCATTTAGATCAATATTGATGTTGTTGGTAGCTTGTCGTGAAAATATGGGATCTTAATTAATATCCATTATTTAAGACATAATTAACATTTTATAATCGGTACATGAACTGTGTATTTTATGGTTTTGAGCGCCATTTTTAAAGAAAACATATCCAGGGCGATCATATTACATCCACTCAAACTTTTACAGAAATACTAATTGCGTGACAAATGAGGCTATCAACACGAATACAATGTAAACAATACTGTATGGAGACGAAGAATACTTTCACCATTTTTAATACCTTAAATCACTGTCAAAAGGTGATCCCAGATTCAACGAAGGGCTGTCATTTTGCTGTACCTGGGATAGATTTGATTGAACGGGAAGAATACACACACTCCCTCGAAAGCTCAAGTATCAGAAGCCAATCCAGCAATGGGCAGGACCATTGCTTCAGGAATATGAGAGGAGACTAGACTAGGTGGGTTGTATGTATATAACCTATCTCCTAATATTTCAGTACAGATGCTTTTCGGTCATGGAAATATATTGAATAAGGAAAAACTGTTAAGAACTGTCATTGAGTCAGCTGGCGGGGTTTCGATTCCTCGGTTGTACGTGACTAGGAGTAGGGTCGCCTGTCCAACCTTGTGGGTTTTCTCTGTGTCCTCCGGTTTTCTTCCACTATTAAAGACCCCTACGCAGTACTGTAGTACTACCGGACTTCTTTATTGGTTGTGTTTGTGATCGTAAATAACACTACAGTAATACTGGTTTCCCAACTTTATTACTAAGTTGTACTGACTTTTCAGGTTCCTCGTTCTCAATGGTAATGACTGGTAAGAATTTCTGGGTGAGCTCTAATCTAGCTCTCCTCTACACCCTAATTTATACCCCCTACTTTTTCCAGGTCTTCAATAACCTTGACGTGAATTTCCACGCCATATAAGGAATAAAACTCTTTATTTCCCACTAATAAGATAGGAAACATTACCTATTTTTGGTCAACCGACCATAGGTCAATAAACAGCTAGAATTTGATGACTATTTTGACAATGATTATAATTTAACTAAAACATCACTGTTTTTTACGAACAACTATAACCATGTTCATTTAGTACTTATGATTTGACTTTATAGACAAAATTGAAGAGACAATTTTATAAAGAGCCAAAATTGTCTCAAGGGCCATAGTGCTACAGTACGTGCAAGCGAATTATTGAAATAAAATTGAACCATGTGTTAGTCTCGAATTCACCTAGTTTGTGTCATGTGGATGTTAAACCCCATTTCTCTCTCTCTCTATCAGAGTTTCTAAAACTTTTTCAAAACTTGCTGGTATCTGTTGGTTAAACATAAATAAGAATTAATCTGTTATTGATCATACAGGGTCTAGTTTGGTCAATGGTGGCATGATCCAATACAGTTTGACATAGGTTTAGCCTATAGGCCTACTGTTAATTTTGCACTGTGTATTTTGGGATAAATGAAATGAAATGAAATGGGATTTAACGTCCTACTGTTCTGCTCCGACTGGGCTAATGAAGATGGGCATACGCCATACAGTGTGCTATGAGGGAAATTTTGCCCAGGCAGCAGCACTGTGGCCTACTCTTATATTGAATTTCAACTGCCAAGGGATCTTTACGTGCAAGCCAATGTATTCACGGGAACTCAGTTTTCATCCCATCCGAATGACTAGACTGTTGTCCTGCACCACTGACAAGGGAAAACCATGTCGCAAAATCGACGATGAACTTTCTCGGCCAGTGCAGGGATCAAACGCACGACCTCTTGGCTAGCGAGCCAGGGTGTTACACACTTAGCCACCGTGGCTCTTGGGATAAATGCATTAAAGATGATGGATTTGAAGGTTTCAAATATAGACTGCAACTCTTAATGATGCAACCTCCAGGTGCCATCAAGTACAGTATAGTCAATCAGATCCATATAGATTTTGTCTTATGGCGCTTTTACTAGAATAAATTACATTTTATACTAACTTTCACATTTAAATTTAATTACATGATCAGATGAAAACACCATGTCATCCAGTACAGTTGTTGGTTTTTTTTTGAATAGTTACATGTAAGAGTTGTAATGAATCGTATTGAGGTGCTCTAGGTTTTGTTGAATTGTTAATCAACACACGGCAGCCTTAAGTTATATGTTATTTGATCAACTTTCGGTGTAGATAAGTTTATATTATAGAATATTTATAAGAAATAGGTGTGACTTGACCTATCTCAATTTTGTTCGAGAAAATGTGCAAAATAAATATTATACTGTATTTGTATTATTAAAAAGTGTATTTTGTAGTTTAACACTGTGACAACGGTATTGTGGAGGAATGGAAATTGCAATTTATAAAACTAAAATACTTATTTTGAACTGCTGACATCAGTTTGTACAGTGAACATTAAAATAATATTGGCAACGTTATCCTTCCATATATGTTACACATGTCGGAAATCAGTAAATTATATTAATTTATATCCCCCAAAATATTAGTTCAGCTCTGACGTTCAGAAGTGAACTACCAACTACCAAAATATACTCTTCAAAAAAAAAGTAGGGGATATTCAGAAACAATACAAAACTGCAGAAATGCACTGCTATTTTTATTAGAGGTAACCAGTGTATGTTAATAACAGGCCAATTGCCTACACATGAACATACACAGTTCATCTGACAGCCCCACTTCACTCGCAAAGAGATACACCATCAAAAGTGAAATGGACGTTTTTGATTTATGTCTTAATAATGAGTAATTGCTCTACCAATCCTCAGACATTCACCAATTCGCCGTGGCATGCTCCTAATCAACTGCCCAGTCATGATTTGGGGCAATCTGACCCACTCCTCTTGCAGTGCCACGGCCAATTCTTGCAGTGTTGTTTTTATTAGAGGTAACCAGTGTATGTTAATAACAGGCCAATTGCCTACACATGAACATAAACAATTCATATGGGCGGCTCATCTGACAACCCCATTTCACTCGCAAAGAGATACACCGTCAAAAGTGAAAATGCTCCTAATCAACCGTCCAGTCACGATTTGGGGCAATCTGACCCACTCCTCTTGCAGTGCCACGGCCAATTCTTGCAGTGTTGTTGGTTGACACTAAGCAGAGGTACACTAAACAGTAAATCTTATGCAAGAACCGATAGGAAAGCAAACATGGATAAATAAACCAGCACGCGGCAGTTTTTATCAACCCTTCTTTGAAGTGTCAAATTTGACAATGAACCCTCCCACGTGTATGGCATTATTGCGTGTCGCAATTGCAGCTCAGTGGTTCTGTTGGGGCCATAAGTTTTTCATCTGTGAACATGGGTGTGGATTTAGGGAGGGAAGAGGGAGATGGGCCCCCCCCTAAGAATCGGAAGGAGGGGACGAATAGGTCTTGGTCCCCCCCCATGATTTTGACCGCAAGGACAGATTTTCAGGTTTATATCCACATGAATGTCCCGTTTTGAAGGCTATCCAACTACTGCCGTGGGTCTCACCACTGTAATTCCGCTTCACGATATCTTCCTTCTTAATTGTAGGTAGTCAATTTTACCATATCGTCATTATATTACCCCTAGTTACAGCTTTCATCGAAATAACACTGGTAAACTGCTCGTAATTATTATTTTGGTTTGGTAATGAAAGGTTCCAGGGTTCGTCTGTCCCCCCAAAAGTTATGACAAATCCACGCCCTTGTCTGTGAACATACTCTCAAAGCATGTCAAGTGTCCATAACTATTTATCATATCACAACCTGCCTAGGTATTTGCATTTCAATATCCCCTACTTTTTTGAAAAGTATATATTTATGATAAATACAGAACTTTATTTTAACATTAATTTCATTTAGAAACAATTTCTACTAATGATTTAATTCTAAAAAAACCCCAAAACTTACAGTTTTAACAGAAGAATGTTTTGTGATATTAGACTAGAGAATATTTATAAGAAATAGGTGTAACTTGACCTACCTGAATTTTGTAAGTAAAAAGATAGGTTTATGACACATCAGAAACCAGTAATTTTTAGTCTTAGTACTGTTTCATTGCCATGTTAATCCGTAGATTAGTTCTCTATATACCGGTACTCATGAATACATAGAATTGTTTGTAAATAAAAATTGAAAGGTAGTATATATTATTCATGTACTTGTACACCGTGAGTTATGATATCATAAGCTAACCTTTCTATCTTAAATACACAATAGAGGTCTTGCTTGACTAGTCATATATTGAATTGAATTTTCATATGTATTTTATCAGGGACAGACTTCAATATAAACCTGTTTGCATGATTACCAGTGAACAAGAGCTAATGTTTCTCAAATCCAGATATATATTTCCCATGATGTACAGTCAGGCCCAGCAAGGAAAAGTTGTACCACTAGATTTGTTATTAGCACGATTTAAATCGGCAAATATAGGAGCAGCCACTTGTTCTCACACAAAAACAACACAGACAACAATAAGACCTTATGTGACACCTTCTTGTCAATTGTGTCAGCAAGAAAAACCTGAAGTACAGCTAGAACACAATGCTTACTATGAGAAATACAAAACTAAACTTCAAGATTTGGCAAAGTAAGTGTTAAGAAATATTATAATCATTGAATGCAACAGCTTTTTATACGCCCACATGGAAATGTGGTTGTATATTGCCGTCACCCCTGTCCGTCCGTCCGTCCATCGTCCACAATTTCTTGTGAATACTCTACAGACTACATTTATCATCTGATTGTTTTGAAATTGATATATGTTGTTTGCATTAGTGAGATGAAGAAGCCTATTTAATTTCAATAACTTCCGTTAATTTCTACTGGAGTTATGGCCCTTGTTTCACTTTGTTGCACCTTGTGAACGACAAAAGTTATCGACCGATCTGTATGAAATTTATATGCATCATTTAAATTAGTAAAACAAAGAAACCTATTGAATTTCAGCAATTTCCGTTAATTACATCTAGAGTTATGGCCCTTGTTTCACTTTGTTGAATCTTGTGAACGCTCTAATGACAAAAGTTATCAACCGATCTGTATGAAATTGATATGCATCATTTAAATTAGTGAAATGAGGAAGCCTATTGAATTTCAGCAATTTCTGTTAATTTCTTCTGGAGTTATGGCCCTTTTTTCACTTTGTTGCACCTTGTGAACGCTCTAACAACAAAAGTTATCAACCGATCTGTATGAAATTTATATACATCATTTAAATTAGTAAAAAAAAGAAGCCTATTGAATTTCAGCAATTTCCATTAATTACATCTAGAGTTATGGCCCTTGTTTCACTTTGTTGAATCTTGTGAATGCTCTAATGACAACAGTTATCATCCGATCTGTTTGAAATTGATATGCATCATATAAATTAGTGAAGCCTATTGAATTTCAGCAATTTCCGTTAATTACGCCGTGAGTTATGGCCCTTGTTTCACTTTGTTGTACGTTGTAAATGCTCTAACGACAAAAGTTATTATCCGATCTGTATGAAATTTATATGTATCATTTAAATTAGTAAAACGAACAAGCCTATTCAGTTTCAGCAAATTTCCATTAATTACATCTAGAGTTATGGCCCTTGATTTACTTTGTTGAACGTTCGAACGACAAAAGTTATCATCCGATCTGTATGAAATTTATATGCATTATTTGAATTAGTAAAACGAAAAAGCCTGTCGAATTTGAACAATTTCTCTAGATTACTTCCAGAGTTACGGCCCTTGTTTTAGTTTTTAGAACCTTGTGAACCCTCAAACGACGAAAATTATAATGCCATCTGTATGAAATTGTCTATTAAATTCCCCTAATTACTTACAAAAGAATAAATATGTGACAACCCTTGTCGACTACTCGGACGATTTAGTGCTGTGGGCGTATGTTTTGTTGCCTGGCAACCTATCTTTTGGAGTGGTTGTGGCACTAGTCCTGGGTGCATCCCTCTTCTTTTTTTATACGCCCACATTTTCATGTGGACGTATTATGCCGTCGCCCCTGTCCATATGGACGTCCGTCCGTCCACAATTTGTTTGTGGACACTCTACAGGTCACAATATTTATCCGATTTTGACGAAGCTTAAAATATAGGTCTATCTCCCAGAGATCTCGGTTCCTTTCGTTATTGGCATGTATCAGACCATAACTTCATGATTGTACGATAAATCAAATTTTTAGCTTGTGGACACACTAGAGGTCACAATTTTGATCTGATTTTGATGAAACTTGAAATGCATGTTTAGAACCCCTAGATCTTGGTTCTTTTTTGATATTCGCGCATATTAGATCGTAACTTCCTGAATTATGGCCCCTGATTGTAAGAAAAATCGTGTTTTTAGCTTGTGGTCGAATGGTTAGAACGTGTGCGCTGTCATTGAGTCAACTGGCATGGTTTCGATTCCTCGATTGTGCGTGACAAGGATTAGGGTCGTCTGTCCAACCTCGGGGGTTTTCTGCGGGTCCTCCAGTTTCTTCCCACTGTTAAAGACTTCTACGCGCAAGCGAATTATTGAAATAAAATTAAACAAAATGTTAGTCCCGAAATGATCTAGTTTGTGTCGAGTGGACGTTAAACCCCATTTCTCTCTCTCTCTCTCTTTCCTTTAGAGGTCACAATTTTTATCCGATTTACACACTAAGATCTTGGTTTCTTTTGATAATCGCGCATATCCGAACGTAACTTCCTAGATTATGGCCCCTGATTGTTCGAAAAATCGCATTTTAAGTTTACAGATTCTCTAGAGGTCACAATTTTTTTTCCGATTTTAAAAAACGTTTAAATATATCACCATTCCACCATAATGAAAGTTGAATTCGAATTTCAGGAAAGTTGAAATGAAACTGCCCAACAAAATGGCCGCTCAGTGTACGCAAATTCTGTAAGAGTATGTGGACCCTCTAGAGGTCACAATTTTTATCCGATTTTGATGAAACTTAAAACATATCTTTATATCCCAAAGATTTCAGTCCCTTTTGATATTAACACATTTCAGACCATAACTTTCTGGATTATTGCCCCTGAGTGTACAAAAAATCGCATTTGTTTATAGCTTGAACTCCTTCCATCTCTTACAAAATGTGGGCTATCCTCCTGCCTGGCAGCCGCAGGTTTATGATTTTATGGTTATACACATCACAGGGTATGCTTTCTCTTTCTAGAACACCTAATACCACTTTGAGGAGTTCACATAGCTAACAAAATTTACGGCATTTTAGATAATTGTTTTTATATGCCCACCTTGAAATGTGGTCGTATATTGTCGTCGGTCCGGCGTCTACAATTGCTTGTGGACGCTCTAGAGGCTAAAGTTAATATTTGATTGATTTTAAATTTATTCACAGTGTTTAAGGTCATGAGACGGAGAATCCTATTGATTTTCAGTGATTTCCGATAATTACTGCCAGACTTATGGCCCTTGATCACTTCAAAATATCTTGTGGACGTTCTCGAGGCCAAAGTTAGTATCCGAGTGACTTTAAATTTATACACAGTGTTTAAGGTCATGAGATGAAGAAGCCTATTAATATTTAGTAATTTCCGAAAATATCTTGTGGATGCTCTAGAGGCTAAAGATAATATCTGATTGACTTTAAATTTATACACAGTGTTTAAGGTCATGAGACGAAGAAGCCTATTGATTTTCAGCGATTTCGGATAATTACTGTCAGAGTTATGGCCCTTGATCACTTCAAAAAAATCTTGTGGATGCGCTAGAGGCTTAAGTTAATATCCGATTGACTTTAAATTTATACACAGTGTTTGAGGTCATGAGACGAAAAATCCAATTGATTTTCAATGATTTCTGATAATTACTGCCAAAGGTATGGCCCTTAATCACCTTGAAAAGTCTTGTGACGCTTATGTTATCAGTTATCATCCAATTAACTTCATATTGATACACAGAGTTTAAGGTCTTGAGACGAAAAAGTATATTAATTTTCAATGAATTTTGATAACTTGAACTGCTAAATCCATGATATTAAATGTTTCGTATACTAAACGTTAGCATGGGGCAAAACTTTATAAAGACAAAACAAATTCTAATGATTTTCTGATAATTACTTAATGAGTTGTTACTCTTAATCAGATTTTAGTGTATAATAAAAGTTTCATTACTGAAAAAAGTTAAAAAATGCGACGACTCTTGTTGACTGCCCGGACGATTTAGCTGCTGTGGGCGTATGTTTCGTTGCCTGGCAACCTATCTTTGTTCATGGCTGTACCATGATATAGATCATTTAATTTATTTATTGTGTTATATCTTCAAGAAAATCCCCAGAAGAATTCAATGCTAAATTACAAAAGATAGCCCAAGTAAAAGAAGATATAAAAATAGAACATAAAAAAGATTTAAGTACACCACCTACTATCAAAAGTCAAAAAGGAATGATATCATGGCCACCTAAGGTTGGTTGAAATATGAATTAAAATTCGTTTTTTATACTCCCACATTGAAATGTGGTCGTATATTGTTGTCGCTCCCGGCCGGCCGGTCCGGCGTCCACAAGCTCTATAGGCTAAATTTAATATCCGATTGACTTTAAATTTATACACATTGTTTAGGGTCATGAGACGAAGAAGCCTATTGATTTTCAGTGATTTTCGATAATTACTGTCTGAGTTATGGCCCTTGATCACTTCAAAAAATCTTGTGGACGCTCTAGAGGCTAAAGTTAATATCCGATTGACTTTAAATGTATACACAGTGTTTAAGGTCATGAGAAGAAGAAGCCTAGTGATTTTCAGCAATTTCCAATAATTACTACCAGAGTTATGGCCCTTGATCACTTTGAAAATTCTTGTGGACGCTCTAGAGGTCAAAGTTAATATCCGATTGACTTTAAATTTATATACTGTGTTGAAGACCATGAGACGAAGAAGCCTAGTGATTTTCAGCGATTTCCGATAATTTTTGCCAGAGTTATGGCCCTTAATATCCGATTGACTTTAAATTTATACTCAGTGTTTAAGATCTTGAGACGAACAAGTATATTGATTTTCAAGAATGTTGAATGCCCAGACGATATAGCTGCTGTGGGCGTGTGTTTCGTTGCCTGGCAACCTATCTTTTAATAAAACATGCATGTTTAAAAGTACCGATCCCAAGGTTGCCTGCCTAACTAAACTAATTCGTTTTTTCCGTCTTTTTCTGTCTCCCTTTAATTATAAAGACTTATTGAAATAATGTTAGTCCTATTTTATTTCAGAAGTTGGATGATATTATGAAATTAGATTTAATCAAGGACAAAACATCAACAGAAATTGAACAGGTAAATATTATGGGTTCTATTTCGGTAGCAATCAGGACCAATTGTCTAAAAAAATTGACAAGAAATAGATTTGTGGGTTTCCCGTAGACCAGGTGTATCTTAATTCTTGAAACCTAAAATACATGCTTAAATAATTGTTATTGTTCAGCATAAGCAGAAGATTAGAATTATCAAACCTTTCATTCCCAATTTTCATAATTGACATCATAATTCCAAAATGATTTATGACATCATACAAGTGTATGGCCATGTCCTGAAAATTGTGACTTTTTACTTTGATTGTTAAAACACAGACCATAAGAGGTTTGTAGCAACAGCACAAAAATAACAAGGTTGTTGCCATATTTCGACATGAGGGTAATAAGATTTTAGTTTGAATCATCTTTGTAAAAGAAATCTTTGTCAACATTTCACATACCTGTATTGCACTATTTTCAGATATGGGTTGAACATTTTGTTCAGAAAGATTGTGTGTTTGGAGTATTGAAGGTAGATAAATTCATATTTTTAACCCTTTAAATAGGCCTTCTGCCACGGGAATTTTTACTGTCTCTTCCCTTTCAAAGACCAAACTACTTTGAGGAAAGTGTTTCAATTGGAAAAAGTGAAAGCAAGTGTAATTTGTTCAGATTTGTGATCTTGAGAAATGAGAAACTTGCGCAATGTGAAAATTATTTAATCAATAAAATATATACAGAGGTTTACAGGCACATTCAAAACTGGTGAAGGCGACAAATTTGACTCTTATGTTTTCAGTTTGTCCCACCTATGAATTTAATAATATGTTCAGGAAGCCAACACAATAACCAAATGATAAATGACAAACAATAGACAGACCTAGGGAGTCAGTTCCCACTCATGTCTGCAGATTGTCAGTACATTTTTATGCGGTTGGTTTGGTATTTCAATTGAATTTATGCCTTTATCTTAATAGGGTTGGTTTGATTTTTCAATTTATGCTTTTATCTTTTATCAACAGGAGCCCTATTTAAAATTTAATGAATTGATAGAAAAATCTAAAAAGTACCCTAATGTAAGTACATTTATAAGGGATGTCGGTTTCTAGAAAAAGATCTTTGTAGATGTACATATTGGTATATCCATATACCACAGTAATCCTGCATAATTAACATGTGATCTAGAAAGATCTAAAATGGAAAAATGTGGGCTATACATGTATTTCTTTAACAGAACATTAAAAGAATATACAGTGGATTTTCACCCGTTATAGAAATTAGTATATTGAGCTGTATCATTATTAAAACATAAATGTAGCCGACATTTTATTTCAGTTTATTTATCCTCTGCCAAAACAAGATGGTTATGAATTTTATTTATCAGAATTTAAAGGAACTGAAGTGTATTTCACATCATTAATACAATATCAGGTACATTTCTCTATAACCATATATATATATATATAGCCTGGTGAACATGTAAGACATGAATTTCTCAATTTGATAAACAAAATACATAAACAAAGGTTGGATTTTCATGGTAAAATATTTAGATACCTATATGTACATATTTCATTGAATGTGGTCCATTACGATAAATTTACTTGGTTTATTATCTATTTTAGAGACATACAGAAAATGCTCCACCATGTCTCTCTCTGGCCCACTTTACAGAATTTCAGGTTGATAAAGGTATGTTATATACTTGGGCACACATAGTGCGGGAACATACTACCAAAAAAAACCCAAGCCAACAGTGAGGCTGATGTCCCCCGCCGAAATCCCAAAATAAATAGATGACACATATTATTTAATCGCACATTTATTTTTTTCAAAAGTATCGATCAATCAAACTATACACTAAGTTACATCACTCTCTATAAGATAGAATCAAGATTATCTTGTCCCAAAGCTTCGACCAATGAAATTGATTAGCTCTGCTTAGCTTCAGCTTGAAATGTTAATCATTGAACTCAGTCAAGACATTCACCTAATGAACATCTATATCAAGTTTAAACATTCTACATCAATTAAAAGCAGAGTTTTTATGTTCCAAAGTCTTGACCAATCAAATTGCTAATCGCTCCTTAGCCTAAGCAGAAAATTCTCACCATCGAACTTAGTCAAGGTAATGATAATGAATCTATATTCTGAGTTTCATCAATTTCACTTCATTATAACGTGAGTTATCGTGCCCCAAAGCAACAACCATTCAGTTTGCGTATCTCTGCATACCGTAAGCAGACAATGTTCATCACTGAACTCCATCAAGGCATTCACCTAATCAACGCCTACACCAAGTTTGAACATTCTCTCTCAATTAGAAGGAGAGTTATTGTGTTCCAAAGTCTCGACCAATCAAATTATTTATCGCTCTGCTTACCCTCAGCAGAAAATGTTCATTATCCAACTTAGTCATGGTATTGATGTAATAAAGCTATACACAAAGTGCCCTCATTTTCACTTAATTAGAACTAAAGTTATCGTGTCCCAAAGCATCAACCAATCAAATTGCTTATCTCTGCTTACCCTAAGCAGAAAATTCTCATCTTCGAACTCCATCAAGGCATTCACCCAATCAACGCCTATACCAAGTTTAAACATTCTACCTCAATTTAAAGGAGTTATTGTGTTCCAAAGTCTTGACCAATCAATTTGCTTATCTCTGCTTACCCTAAGCAGAAAATGCTCTTCTTCGAACTCCATCAAGGCATTGACCTAATAAACACCTACACCAAGTTTGAACATTCTAGCTCAATTAGGAGAGTTATCGTGTTCCAAAGTCTCGGCCAACCAAATTGCTTATCGCTCTGCTTACCCCGAGCAGAAAATGCTCTTTATCAAACTTAGTCAAGGTATTGATGTAATGAAACTATACACCAAGTTTCATCACTCTCACTTAATTAGAACTAAAGTTATCGTGTCCAAAAGCATCAACCAATCAAATTGCTTATCTCTGCTTACCCTATGCAGAAAATGCTCATCTTCGAACTCCATAAAGGCATTGACCTAATAAACACCTACACCAAGTTTGAACATTCTAGCTCAATTAGAAAGAGAGTTATTGTGTCCCAAAAAGTGTGATGGACGGACGGACGGAAATATGTCACCGTCTGTGATATAAGCATTAGTATTGTACAGTCTTTCAGAACAGCTTTTACTGATTATTGACAGTTTTGACAGTCAGTGTAAGAATAGTAAAAATATTTCACAGACTCTTTTAAAAAGTTGTTGACTTTAATACTGGTGCTCATTCTATAATAGGGGGGGGGGGGGAGGATGACTGAATGGTTAGCACGTGCACGCTGTACCATAAAGTCTGTCATTGAGTCAACTGGCGTGGTTTCGATTCCTCGGTTGTATGTGACAAGGAGTAGGGTCATCTGTCCAACCTCGTGGGTTTTCTCTGGATCCTCCCACAGCTAAAGACCCCTACGAGCAAGCAAATTATTGAAATAAAATTAAACCATGTTAGTCCCAAAATGACCTAGTTTGTGTCGAGTGGACGTTAATCCTCATTTCTCTCTGCCTCTCATTCTATAATAACGCCAAGTTGTTTTTTTTTACATCTATTGAAGTTGTATCCGGAGGAGAGCAGACCACAGAATATCTTACATAACCAAGGCCTTTAATCAAGTTGAATGAGGCCATTTTGCTTATTGTTGGTATGCTGCCTCATGAAATCACTGTTCTGTTTGAATTTTATGAATCTGAAATGTGTTTTATTGTAGAAATTGTTTGAATATTGTAGGTATTGTATTGATGGCTGGAGTTTATGATGATCAAGTTTTGGTAAGTTGTCACTAAATATATAGTTTCTAAACATAATATCTGATCATAAGATTTGACAATTTTTTGTATACTCACAGATGCTTTTCACACAAAAAAAATGCTTATATTTGATTCCAAGGTAATAAACTAAATTTTCTTCTAATTATTGTGTCTGTAGATATAGGAACTTGAATGAAATTTTTTTTTTCTTTTTAAATATTTTCTGTTATAGTATATTGCTAAATTGGTTAGACTTGGAGCTTGTGTTAATTCTTTGTTTCAGAGTAAAAAAGAAGCATTAAATCTGGTGCGTCAAATGAGTCAGTATTATGGAAACCGTTCTCCTGAACACTTTCGTTTTGTTCAATTATTTAATGAGAAACCAGAAGAATTTGACTATTTAAAATTAATTAGTGAATATAAAATGATGCAAACAATGGTAGAATCAGAATTACCTGTCTAATGATGCAATCCATACAGATTATGAATATTATTGATGTGAACGCATTAAAATAGTACAGCAAAACTAAATGAAATAAAACTGGGAAATTGATTTTTAATCAAGTAGAAAAATAACCAGTTTTTGATGTGTTTTATTATGCATTGGTGGGGAATCCACATTTTCATATACATGTAGGCAGTTTATAAATAAAACACACTCTCTTTTCCTTCAGAATTTTGTTTACAATTTCAACAAAGAATAGATTTCAATTATAAGCTTTCCTTCGCCCATGATGATAAATCACAGGAAAACAAAAAAGTCACTTCAGTTGATACAGAAAAGTTCATCACTGAATCATACTGTTGACAGAATCCAAAGCATTAGTTTTATGATCAGCAGGATTAGCTCTAGCTTCGTATGTACAAATAGTAACTTCATGTCGGCGAGCCTGAAATGCAATTAAGACAGAAGTTACTGTATTAAACCTATAACATAACTCATCAGTGACTGCAACAAACTTATAACTCATAAGTTACTGTAACAAACCCATATCTCATCAGTTACTGTTGATACTGTAATAAACCTATAACTCATCAGTTCCTATAACAAAACCTATTTAATATTCAATCAACTTTATTACACAGTGTTTACGGTCATGAGACGAAGAATCCTATTGATTTTCAACGATTTCCGACCATTACTACCAGAGTTATGGCCCTTGATCACTTTGAAAAATCTTGTGGATGCTCTAGAGGCTAAAATTAATACTCAATCGACTTTATTACACAGTGTTTAAGGTCATGAGATGAAGAATCCTATTGATTTTCAACAATTTCCGACCATTATTGCCCGAGTTATGGCCCTTGATGACTTTGAAAAGTTTTCTGGACACAGGACGAACGAGTATATTGATTTTCAATGATTTTTGATGTATACTAATGATTATCTGATAATTACTTCATGAGTTGTTGCTCTTAATCAGATTTTAGTGTAATTATTATAAATGTTTCATTACCGACAAAAGAATAAATATGTGACAACTCTTGTTGACTGTCTGAACGATTTAGCTGCTGTGGGCGTATGTTTAGCTGTCTGGCAACCTATCTTTTCTACAGTGATAACAGATGCCAATTGTAAGAATAAGATTTAAAAATATTGAATAAATTATACCTCTGTAAAGTCTCCTTTCAGTCCAATGTAGTACACACTGGTTAGGTCCTCCCCAAAGTTACTTGGGAAATGAATAGATAAATGTTCTACTTGGTTAAATCTGGCAGCCCTGAAAGTGTACATACAGTATAGGTAGTTATTATAAAATCAATTTCATTAATCATCCCACAGTTTTATTGCTTCACAAAAAATCTGAAAAAAACCTTTTACATACCATGTACTTAATTTGTTCACACACAATTTCAAATGTGCCAACTCGTATTGAAACGATAGCAGAACAAAAGTTCATCTTTACTAGTTTGATTACTTATGCATATTATTAACTGAAACGGATTAATGTGAAAGAAGAATACAATCGCTAGAAAGGATATACACGAAATAATAAAGAATACATTCGGTATTGCTTAAAATAATGAGTAGGCTTTCTGCCTTACTTTATATAAATCACAGGGATGCAATGTGCTACTTCTGATCATCCAAGGCCAACCCTGCTCTTAACACTTTGGGCGTACTCGATTGAACGTTCCGGAATTGAATTATCTCAATCCCAAAAATGGTGGCAATCGAGTGAAAATGGGTACTTCGGGCTACAACGCATGCGTCGACTGGATATATAAATATCTCATCCAACCATGCAGCCGAAACCTGTTCGTCGTGTTTAATTACGTCACAATTCTACTCACACCACCTCCGTCGTCGGGACTGACAGAACTGAATTCCGTGTTACTCGATTGCAATTCTGTCAATTCTGCACGTTCTGGACTGTGAATCGAGCATCCCCTTTAACACGGTAAAGGGGGATAACTCCAGAACTGAAATGAAATGCTGAATTTTGATCAAAATCGGATCAAAATTGTGACCTCTACAGGGTCCACAACCTTGATATACCAGATGTTATACACTATTTGCGTACAAGGGGCGGCCATTTTGTCCGGCAGTTTTGGTCCGATCTTCACGAAATTCGAGCTCCACCATCCTTAGGGTGTAACGGTTATATATTGAAACGTTTTTTTAAATCAGATAAAAATTATGACCTCTACAGGGTCCACAAGCTAAAAGCTAAAACGTGATTTTTTGTACAATCAGGGGCCATAATCCATGAAGTTACGGTCCGATACATGCCAATATCAAAAGGAACCGAGATCTTAGGGAGATAAAATTATATTTCAATTTTCGTTGAAATTGGATAAAAATTGTGATCTGTAGAGTGTCCACAAACAAGGACGGACAGGGGCAACGACAATATACGTCCACATGAAAACAGTATTGTTTGCAGTGTAGCCGTTTTTGATAGCCTTGTTTGTCACGCATTCAGTTTTTCTGCAATATTTCGCTATGCACTGGTTAATTGGCCGTAATGAATTTTGTGAATCATGACGTAACGTTATGTAAACAAAATTGGAACTTTGTTTAAACCCGAATGATATTGTTACGCAGTTATATATTGGTTGTTAATCGGACTATTGACCAGTCATAATTTGGAACAGAAAATTGCTTTCATTATGGCAGTGTTGAGTGGGATTAGGTCTAATCAAAAAAAAAAATATATGTTTACATCCCAAAGACCTCATTTCCTTTCGATACTGGTGCATATCGGACCTCAACTTTCTGGACCATGGTTCCTGATTGTTCGAAAAATTGTGTTTTTATCTTGTTCTCTGTCCATCTCTTTCAAAATATGGGCATATCTTGCATGGCAACCATTTGTTGGACTTGTGCTCCTTTTAGAGATTCAATTTTCACAATATTGTAGTTTGCAAGGGATTAAAATATATCAATTGATGATCAGAGAATTTAATAAATGGTACTAAACATATGTTAAAACATACTTTGTTGGATATTCAATAACTCCTTCGGGATCTGGAAAAATTTCAAATTCTTGTTCAGCTTCTGCACTTACATCATCAAAGGTCATTTTAGGGCGATTTTTAAATCTATACCACAGAAAAAAGAAAGAGTTCAAGGACTTAAATGGAATGAAAATGGTCAATTTGTTAAAAAATATTTCTATTTTATCTTGTGTAGATGGTATGTACTCAAAATGTCTGCAAAATAATGCATGAATACTGCACAACAAAATGCAGATCAATAAACACAGCAACGAAAGCATACCTAAGTGTATATGTAACATTGAAATGGAAAGTGAAAAAATAAACCAAAAAAATAAACGGGCTATTAAATCAGATATTTACTGAGAAGTATTTCTGAATGTAATATGTTACCAAACACGTATATCGGTATACAAATATAATAAAGTATACTTACAATCTCATCTTATTGGGATGAAAACCACCTGGTCCACCTATTACTATTATACCTTTTAATTTCACATTTCCAGTAAACCTGGGAGGAAAATAAAAATTAAGAATGCAAGTAAGAACAGTCATGTTTATTTCATGGTATTATTTGGCATTCCACACAGCTGCAATTTCTGTTACTACCCCTTTAATAACATTTATTTAAGCCCATAGGTCATTTAAGCAGCAATTTTTTGCTACAAGGAATTTTTATTTACTACACAATAATAATGTTACTTTAACAAACAATATAATCCTTTGAGATTTATTGAAACATTCAATACATATATAGTATATAACTTTTTATACGTCCACATTGTCGTCGCTCCTGTCCGACCGGATGTCTGTCCACAATTGTTTGTCGAAGCTCTACAGGTCACAATTCTTATCCGATATAGGTTTATCCCCAAAAGATCTTGGTTGCTTTTGATATTGGCGTGTATCGGAGCGAAACTTCATGGATTATGGCCCCTGATTGTGTTATGTGGGTTTAATCCCACTGGGGGTGTCACTATTTCTCAATCTTTAACTCTCAATAAAGAAAACACCATTTAATGATCCACATGTTTATTCTTCCCCAAGGGCAGATCATTCATACAAAGTAGAAACATCAATAAGTCTTTTTATAAATCAAAGGCAAAGACAGTTAAAGGGAAGTAACTCTTCCAAGCTTAACTACGATTCAGACCACAATTAACTACTTATGTAACTAGCCTTATCACTATATAACATCCCTCCCTCCTAAGTCAAAAACACAGTTTTTGGAAAAACTAGTTTGACAATACATATCATCTATGTTTGTATAAGTGCTTAAAAATACTAATGTGTAACATATATTACAAGGCATGAAACTTTGAACAAATCAAAGACATCATAAAAAAATGAGTAAACAAATCAGAATAGGTTTATTCAAATGCTCCAAAACCCCCAAAAGCATGTAGTATATATTACCAAGAATAGATTGCTCTGAAATATGCTGTATAGGTGGGTCTATGAATAAACAAGATTCAGAGATGTTAAAAAAACACTTATGTTATAATCCTCAAATGAATGTAAAACAATAATTATTACAACAAGGTTTGATATTTCTTTAGGCTACCAGTTACTTGTAGTTTATTATCATTGATAAGTCCATTGGCTACATTAAACAAAACAGGAGATGAGATAACTGGTATCCAGGAAGAAGTTTGACCTTTCTTGACATTAGAGGTATTTATCAAAACTTGCAATGAACCACATTTGAACCTAGCTTTATGCAGTTCCATAGAAGACACATTAGACATTTCCTGTAACATCTTACATTGTTCTGATAACTGATAGTGTGATAACTTATCTACATAAGCAATATTATGATTATTTGTACTATTTGGGAGATAATGACAAATATTAATAGGATTTGTAGACCTATTAGAAACAATATTACTCTCATCAAATCTAGGTAAGATAACATCACATTCATCCGTAATGAAACATTGATTAGTTTCAGTTAAGACATTAAGATTGTCATTGTTAGGAATATTACCTAACTCTTTTTGAAGTTGATCAATGTGGGTAATTTTTGTCTCAAAACATGGTTTTAACCGATTAATCGAATAGACGTCCTGTAGGACCTTACCATCCAATGTAGAGAGAACGTAATGGGTTCGAGCAAGAATTTGATGCACACCAATCAGCTTTGATTTTACGTGAATGTGAAGTACGGTTTGAGTACATAAACTAACTGGCCTTATCTGTAAATAGGATTCTTACTGAGGGTGTGTGCAATACTGATATTCTGAGATTCCTGTTGACATCTTTGTAATTCAAGCATAGTCTTAGAAATATGATCAAACTTGTCCTTTAAATGGGAAACATACTCGGAATATGAACGACAAACTCTATCGAATTGTCAACGAAGATGGGTAAGGTTTTTGGGCTTCTTACCAAATACCAACTCGTAAGGGCAAAAGTCACCTAACTGTGGTGAAACAAAAGAATTGTAAGCATAGCAACAGGGAGACACATATCTGACCCAATCAGTTCCATACTGATTTAAGTTAACCTTGAGAAAATCAGAGATTGATATAAGGTGGCGTTCTGCCAGAAGACTACCATGATTTGCAACACTAATTACTTTTTGACTAATACCAAGTGTTGTACAAAGAGAGGTAACCAATTTTCCGATGAAACTTGCAGCTATATCTGTTACTATGACAGATGGGGGACCAAAGAGACAGACTACTTTCTGGATTAAAGCTTCACACACTGTTTCGGCGTCAACTGACTTAGTTGGGACGCAAATGATGAAGCGAGTAATCTCATCACAGATAACTAGAAGATGCTTAAAACCAGAGATGGATGCGGGCATGCTTTTGAAATCAATACTAAGTTTGTCAAATCATTGTATTCTTCAGGTATCCTAGGATGAAATGTTCTGGTTTTATCTGTCTTGGATTTGAATTTCTGGCTAGTAGAACATGTATTAATGTACTGTGCGATCCTCTGAAACATGTTGGGAAAGTAGAAGAGCTTTCTCATAGTCAAATAAGTCCGAACTATTCCCTGATGATTACACAACTGACTATCATGATACTGATGTATCAAATTTGTGCACATTGACTCAGGAATACAAGTTGAAGAGTAAAGCGATCATCCTTGGGTAGGAGAAGACGGAATAAAATATGCTCTGCTAAAATGTACTCTTCTGCTTGAAGTTTGAGACGTTTCGCAGCTTTTCGATCACTGGGCAATATATTGTGAGACAAATAATCATAGATAGGCTTAAATTGGGGAGAAGATGCTTGTTCAAGCCGAAGCTTATTCTGATCGAATGTCAAATTATAGTCTCTGATGATTTTACGCTTAATAACATTGTACAACTTATCCAATTCAGCTTGTTTTGGGAAATGATTAGTGACCAGCCGTTCACAATTATGGATGAGGGGTTTGGGAGGAATACAGAGATCAATGGGAGTATCACCATCTATAACAATATCTACTGATTTATCGACCAGACGAGATTCAGGTATAGAATCATTAGAGGAAGATACTTGTGTGTCGGCGAGAACTGGTGGTGGTTTAGGTGGGACAGCATTCTGGCTTGGTTGGCGTATATAGGGAAGGGGAATGGAAGAGTTCTGTTGAGATTTTGACTGGTGAGTTCTAGAATTCCTTGACTGTGAAGAGATATTATTGGAAGACACAATGGGAGAAGGGATTTCAGTTGAAGTACTAGAAGTTGGTTGACTAACTGTAGTAGTGCGTGTGGAAGGTTTGGGGAAGAGTTCGGGAATGGCAATTTGCTTCTGTTTTGCATATTGACGTGTAACCGGGCGACTTGCTGACTGAGTAACAGGAAATGCGAGCTCAGAAAAGGTAAAAGCAGTGGGCACAACTTGATCAATTTCATCATCTGTATCAGTTGAACTCCTTGATAAGAAATCTGCTAAGACTAATTCAGTTCCCTTTTTATAGAAGATTTTGAATGAATATTGGGATAGTTTGACAATTAACTTAGTGAGACGTTGAGAACAAGGCTCTTTCTTGGAGTACAGAAGTTGAACTATTGCAGAGTGGTCAACATAAGCAGTAACTCAACTCCTTTGAGTAAGTACTGGAAATTTGTGATGTTTATGAGAAGACCAAACATTTCCAACTCGGTAACACTGTAATTCTTACATGCCGGAGGTAACTTCTTAGAATAATAACCCAATATGCGCTCCTTGCCATTTATGATTTGTGTAATGTACGATCCAGTAGCTGATCGAGATGTATCGCTATAGAGACTCAAGGGACCATTTGCAGTTGGGAGGTACAAAACAGGTGGGTTAGTAAGAAGATATTTTACATCTTGAAAAGCCTTTTCATGTTCTTCGGTCCATGAAAATTTAGATCTCTTGGAAGAAATCTGATGAAAGGGCTGCATAACTTCTTGTAGCCTTGGCAGAAAGTTTGAGACATAGTTAACGGCTCCTATAAACCTACGAACTTCTTTACTAGACTTAGGACGAACAAGATGTTGAATTGCCTGGCAACGATTTGCCAATGGTTGGAGGGTAACAAGTCCTTCGTTATTAATCTTAATTAAATGACCCATGTGCTTGAAAGACAGCCTTTAAGTGACTACTGTGTGACTGGACATCCTTACTAAATACAATGATATCGTCGTGATGAGCAATACAGTAATGACGGCTGTCAGGTACTTGAGAGAGAATCCTATCAATTTCGGCTTGAAAAATAGCAGGGGATACACTTAAGCCATGTGTTAAGCGTTTGAAGTAAAAGTGGCGACCTCCGTAATAGGACGATATACCCGTGTATTGTTGAGCATTCTGGGAAAGGGGCATAGAAAAGAAAGCAGACTTAAGGTCAAGGCAGCTGATAACTGTGGGTTTAGCATGACCAATTCTTTGCAAGGTAGATGATAATAAAGGGAATGGATGGTTATACCTCTTAATGCGCTTATTTAAGTGACGAAAGTCAACTACAACACGTTTATCTGTAGTTCCCTTTTTAGGGAGAATTAAAACAGGAGAGGTGTACGATTGGTGACCCTCGGCGATGATACCCAATTTTACTAATTTATTAAGTTCAGCATCGATAACCTCTTTATCAGATTCAGTGGTATGATATGGATGAATATAAAATGAACGAGAGTCATTAACATTAATGTCAACTTCAATGTTAGAACAATGGCCAATCTCACCATAAAGACTGAATGCTTCTCTGCTTTGGGATAGTTGACTATGAAAATCTTTCTTCTCATTAGGTGACAAAATAGAATTATCATACAAGTTAATTTGCTGTTGTAAAATCTCATCTTCTGATAACTGCAATAAAGGATCACCCTTCTTAAGATGGGAATATTGTTCTGCACGTTGAACAAAATCTGACGAATCACACACAAAAACAGTACCTGTGTTGAAATAGAACAAAGGATGAGATTGCCTAAGGTGAAGAGTTTTACTACCAGGCTTTGATATGGGAACAACAGTTCTGTTACGCTGTAAAGTAGCGAGTATAAATGATGAACATTTGTTATCTGATCTCTTCTGTAGGAGGACCTCACGATTCCTATATAGACCTGGGACATGACCATATAAGGCAACATAGCGTGTATGACCTGGCTTAATGTACACATTGTGTGTTGGGAAAAAGTTGACTCTTTTAGGCTTACACCGAAATACATTATCCTCAAAATGTAAGGAACCTTGTAACTCTGATAAGGTATCCTGACCAAAAATAAGATCAATGCCCACTAAATTTGGGGCAATATAAACCTTTAAACGAAACGAATAACCTGGAATAAAGACTTGTATAAACATGAAAGTTGAACAACTTAACATTTGACCATTACCCATACGAAATTCCAAACATTTTTCTAACTTATGTACGGGTAAACTTGACAAATAAGGAGAAGAATTAACAACGGATTGTGAAATAAGTGATTTAGAAGCACCACTATCAAATAAAATAAGGACAGATTTTCTATCTGATAAACTACCCTTACAGTAATTAAAGGGACTTAACTGAAGAATGACATCCAAGTTAATGTCCTTTGAAACATGTGTGGCTAGATGATTGAGTTGGGGGAATATTTGTGGAGCATTATTATCAAATATTCCCCTATTCAAAAATCCTTGCGAGAACTATGTGTGCGTTGATCTGAGCGTTTTGGCCTAGATGATCCACCAGGTTGTCGAAAACCCTGTCTGTCAACAGCAGAAGGCTGCGACTGAAAATCTGACGTATAAGGTGACTGATAACTAGTAGGGTTGAAAGAGTGTGACAAATGTCTACGCCTACTCATAAGATCATCTTGCCGAGCAAAACAGGATCTCCATGTTTGACTAGATGATTGAGTTGGGGGAATATTTGTGGAGCATTATTATCAAATATTCCCCTATTCAAAAATCCTTGCGAGAACTATGTGTGCGTTGATCTGAGCGTTTTGGCCTAGATGATCCACCAGGTTGTCGAAAACCCTGTCTGTCAACAGCAGAAGGCTGCGACTGAAAATCTGACGTATAAGGTGACTGATAACTAGTAGGGTTAAAAGAGTGTGACAAATGTCTACGCCTACTCATAAGATCATCTTGCCGAGCAAAACAGGATCTCCATGTGTGACCCGGATTGAGGCAATAATCGCAAAATATAACACGCCTCGACTGACGTATATCTCTAAAGGGTGGCTGTGAATTGCCCAACCTAGAATTTGAGGGACTTTTAGGTCGTTGAACTTGGAAAGGTGAATGAGATGTGTCTCTGCTGGAATCAGAATGTGCTGGGGTTCTCCTTTGGGGACTATGGGAATTCTGGGATTGCAATCGTAAACTGGACAAATTCTCAGACAAATTAAAGGAAACCTCTTTAACAGCAGTAGTTGGTGATGAATTACTACCCACATCAAAATAGCGTTGAGCTTGAACCGCAAGTGCTTGTGCAGTTGTGTCATCTGAACTTGCCATAATAACAGCCTGTTTACAGTTGGTTGGTAAAATAGATATAAATTTATCCCTAACTTGTGACAAATTATAACCTAACTGATTGGCTAATTTCTTGATTTTATCTAAATTGTCACTAGGTGACAATGAACAATCATATTGAATATTGGAATATTGGCTATACAATCCAAGTTTAGTTTTAGTTGAGGAATACTTGTCAATGAACTGGTCTTTCAAACTAGCGTAAGAATCAAATTCAATGTCCTCTATCCAAATACGAGCCTTGCCCTTGAGCGATTGCTTAAACAGTTGTGATATGTGCTCAAATTCTTCATCGTCAATAGCAATATCTTGATGGTTGAGGTAATCCTCAAAGCTAAGAATGTGGGCTCTTGCAGTATCCCTATCAATAACAGACCCATCGAACCGATCAATCATTTTCTCCATTGCAGATAATAAGAAGAGAAATATTAGGCCAAACAATAACATTTAAAGTTACGGTACCTAGGACTTTACACACACTGACACTGATCAATTTCTGGTAATAAAAGAATAGGCCTACACATAAATCATAAAACTTAAACCTGAAAAGAAATTTTGAATAGTAACATGCAATTGATTCCTACAAGAAAACAAATATTACATATCAAGAAGTTGACAATATAATTTTGTACAAATTGACTAAATATTACTTAACAGTTCTGTAAATTAAATTAATAGTTTTATAAAACACAGAATATAAAACTAATGTTGTTATAAAAGCTAAAATGGATGAAAATGTCACTGCACTCCTTTCGAAACAGCACATGTAACAGGAATCGCTAGAGAGTTGAAAATGAATCAAATCTCACTGGACACAGCACACATTCAATGATTTTAAAAACTGGAAGTTGAAATTGTTCAGCTTGTAAATAAGATCTGATCTGAGCTCATCTACACAAAAGTTTGTAATCATTTTCATTCGTCATCATTCATATTACTGCATCTTTGCTTTAATGTTTATTCATCATCATATTACTGCATGACAGGCTAAATTAGGTCTAACTGATTCTTGGCAGTGTTCATGTCTAGATCTAGGCTAATAATTGAATGAAGTGGAATACTACAAACGAACTAGGCCTATGATGAATTAGGATACCTCACCAAAATTTCACAATGAAACTGATAAAAATGTTCTTGAACAAAGTCAAACTGCAACCACAAATAGGCACAATAATTGTCTTTTCACACAATGACAATGCGAATATTCACAGTGATAGGCCTAAGCAGCCTGAAGAGTTAAAGCTGGGCTTGACTCAAACCAGGCGAGTTTGGCTGGCTCAAAATAAAAATCAAATCCAATTCAATCGAAGAAAAGTCATGCCATCCACTCAAATTCAATGACTATAAAGTTACTTCAGGGAAAGATCTGGCGTCTCCACCATGTTATGTGGGTTTAATCCCACTGGGGGTGTCACTATTTCTCAATCTTTAACTCTCAATAAAGAAAACACCAATCAATGATCCACATGTTTATTCTTCCCCAAGGGCAGATCATTCATACAAAGTAGAAACATCATTAAGTCTTTTTATAAATCAAAGGCAAAGACAGTTAAAGGGAAGTAACTCTTCCAAGCTTAACTAAGATTCAGACCACAATTAACTACTTATGTAACTAGCCTTATCACTATATAACAATTGTACAAAAAAAAAGGTTTTTAGATTATGGACTCTATAGAGGCCACAATTTTAAACCGATTTTGATGAAACTTGAAATGCATGTTTATAACCGACAGATCTTGGTTCCTTTCAATATTTGCACATATCAGATCGTAACTTCCTGAATAATTTATGGCCCCTGATTTTACGAAAAATAAGTCTCATTTATAACGTCATAGGTGCCCCACCCCGCTTAATGCAATAATTTTTGTTTAGTTTATAAATCATTGTGTAAACAAGCCAACAGTGAGGCTGATGTTCCCCAGCCGAAATCTCATAAAAAAAAATAGATGACACATATTAATTAATTGCACTTTATCTTTTTCAAAAGTACCAAGCAATCAAACTGATTATCAACTATACACTAAGTTTCATCACTCTCTATGAGATAGTATCAAAGTCAAAGAAACTGCTTGGCTCTGCTTAGCTTTAGCGGGAAATGTTAATCATTGAACTCAGTCAAGACATTCACTTAATGAACATCAACATCAAGTTTAAACATTCTACCTCAATTAATAGCAGAGTTGTTATGTTCCAAAATCTTAACCAATCAAATTGCTTATCGCTCCTTAGCCTAAGCAGAAAATTCTCATCAAACTTAGTTGAGGTAATGATATAATGAATCTATACTCGGAGTTTTATAGCTCTCACTTAATTATGATCAAAGTTATCGTGCTCCAAAGCAACAACTAATCAAATTGCTTATCTGTGCTTACCCTAAGCAGAAAATGCTCATCTTTGAACTTAATCAAGGCATCAACCTAATAAACACTTACACCAAGTTGGAACATTCTAGCTCAATTAGAAGGAGAGTTATTGTGTCCCAAAGTCTCGACCAATCAAAATGTTTAGCGCTCTGCTTACCTTACCCTGAGCAGAAAATGTTCAATATCAAACTTAGTCAAGGTATTGATGTAATGAAACTATACACCAAGTTTCATCACTCTCACTTAATCAGAACTAAAGTTATTGTGTCCCAAAGCATCAACCAATCCAATTGCTTATCTCTGCGTACTTTAAGCAGAAAATGCCCATCTTCGAACACCATCAAGGCATCAACCTGCACATTCTAGCTCAATTAGAAGGAGAGTTATTGTATCCCAAAAAGTGTGACAGACAGACTGATGGTCTGACGGACAGACAGTCAGTCCCCTGCTTTCTTCAAAAGGCGAGGGACAAAAAATAGTTGAATTTGGTGTAGTAACATTTTTATAATGTTTTTTGTTTACCCGGAAAATTAGTGAAAAGTTGCAGAAATCGACATACGAGATTTGGATGGCACATCGAAGATATAGGTACAACTTATTTCAATAAATCACTAGCCCGTAAGGGCCTTTAACAGTGGGAGGAAACTGGAGTACCTGGAGAAAACCCATGAGGTTAGGCACTTAATTGACTCAAAGACAGACTTTATGAGCTAAAGTGCACACATTAGACCATTCAGACACCCAACCACCTTCATTGTTGTAGAAGTAAGCCGACTGTTTAATTGCGTGAATAGTTCAGGTTGACAAATTTGAATACCCTTCTTTTATCAAAGGCCATAGCATATGACATATGACTCTTATATTTCCCGTTCACTGAAGAAATATTTCAGTTTTCAGATTTTTGGGGAGGTATAAATAACTTAATAATCCTTGAAATAACATATAACAAGTCAGTTCCAAAATCAAATTTTAATGTTAAAAATGAAATCTTACGGTATATTGAATAAGAGTTCTTCATCTACATCACTTTCCACAAACTGAAATATATAATTTATAAAATAACTTCTGATAAATATTGATAGCAATTTGCTAAACTGTCCATTTAGATGCCATAAAGTAAGAGACAAAAACGATTTAGCAAAGGGTTTCTCTTTAAACACATATTTTCTCTCATATTTTAGAAGAAATACTGTTAATGTTGAAAAAACGATTTAGCAAAGGGTTTCTCTTCAAACACATATTTTCTCTCATATTTTAGAAGAAATACTGTTAATGTTGTATAAATTTGCAGATATTGAAAATGTTACAATTAGCTACCCAAGAGAGGCCTTTATGTGAAGCACATTTAAGACCACTCAACCACCCTCTATCTGAAACAAACATAAACATATAAATTGCTCGCATTTTCACATTTTTCTTCGGCAGACTTTAAAAACCTTCTTAAAATCCAACTTAAAGTGTAGTTAAAGAAGCTAAATTGCTAACATTTGGGACCTAGAAATTGACACAAATGGGTCGCAAAGCAAAAAATAATGTAATGTAAATGTCTCAATCGAATGGCAATCTCTATCTAGCATCTGGTTAATCGATAGTATTTATTGCAAATGCTCTCCAGATAAGAATATGATGATGTCACCATTTAACATGACTTGTAGATTATGTCTAGCCGCATTCTTTGAATCCCTTGTTACAAATGACACAAAATGTTTATTTTGTCTTAAATATTGGATATCAGAAGCCCATCTTTTCCCGGTAAGATCACGACATCAATGTTGATTTAAATTGACAAATAATACATGTTTTCTGTGTCCAAGACTTTGGATGATATTGAGTTAGAGACTTAGCTACTTTAAAGCCATGTGAATTGATTAATTAAGTATGTGCAACAAAGATATATCATGGATATTAATAGTCTAAACAATAACATTTATTTTCTGTGCACATCCAAATTGGCTAACTTTGATAGGTAACCACTGTTACCATGACTTTAGTCTCTGATATGGAGCTATCATAAACTGGATTATTCAGTCTAGCCTAATACCTAATTGGGCTTAATAATACAGCGATGTGTTAAGGAATTTGATCAGTAGGAAGCCCAAGGTGGAGTGAAGTTTGTAGTGAGGTCTGGCTAGAATTTGATCAAATCAGAAGCTCTGGCAGATCGGAAACATTCTGCTCATTTATTAGGAACAGGATTAGAGTGGATCAGTTAGTCCAAAACAGCGGCAATGCTTCACACGATTGTTTGTTTGACTTTATTTTGATGAAGGTAGAATAAAAAAAATGTACCACCACACACCCACCCTGAATCCGGCGCTATTGCACTTTCGTACCTCTACCAGTTCCCGTGGTCGTAGGCACTTGAAATTTTCAGAGGATGTTAAGGGGGGCTAGCAATGACCACACACCAAATTTCAGCCTAATCGATAAATAACTTTTTATTTTACCGACCTTTTAATTTCTAACGAGAGAGAACTTCATCCGTTTGACGCCATTTGCTTTGTTTACTAATTAGACTTGAATAACAAGACACTAAGACGGAAACCGACTCGAATAACAAGACACTTAGACGGAAACCGACACACTGCACTAGCTGCCTAACACTGCAGTTCATAAAAATTAATATAATTTTCGTATACTTTAATTTTTGCGCGAAGCCACCATTTTCTATAAAATACTATTTGGTGTTGATCAGTGGATTGGCCTTTAGGTGTGAATATTGCCGTGACCTTGATTTTGACCTTGAGGCCAAACTTCCCATCCATATCGGGGCCTTTGCGTTTATGCTTGCCGTGGCCTTATTTCCTACTGTATTATCAAAGTTAATGTTCGAGGTGAAAGCAGAGATGACGTCCTTCAGAAAAGATAATTGGGTTAAAGTCGTAGGTCAAGGTCATGTTACAGAAAACTAAACTCAAACTTTTCAAAGTCATTTTTGGGACATTTGAACTTGACTTACGACCTTGACCCCGTAACCATTTTCGAAGGCTATCACATTGGCTTGAATCATGAACGTTTACCTTGGTCCTATCGCACACTGCTCGGTCAGAAAACGGTCAAACGCAGAGGGTCCGTGTCCGAAAGGAAGTCAATGGGCGTGGTCAATGTGAAAGGTCGTGGTGACCTCCAGTACTCACCGTTAACCATCCGTAACCTTGACTCTGACCTTGAGTCCAAACGTCCCATCCATCTAGGGCCCTTTGCGTTTATGCTTGCCGTGGCCTTATTTCTAACTGTATTATCAAAGTTAATGTTCGAGGTGAAAGCAGAGACGACGTCCTCCAGAAAAGATAATTGGGTCAAAGTCGTAGGTCAAGGTCATCTTACAGAAAACTAAACTCGGACTTTTCAAAGTCAGTTTTGGGACATTTGACCTTGACTTACGACCTTGACCTTGTAACCATTTTCGAAGGCTATCACCTTGACTTGAACCATCGACGTTTACTTTGGTCCTGTCGCACACTGTTCGGTCAGAAAAGGGTCAAACGCAAAGGGCCCGTGTCCGAAAGGAAGTCAATGGGCGTGGTCAATGTGAAAGGTCGTGGTGACCTCCACTAGTCACCTTTAACCATCTGTGACCTTGACTTTGACCTTGAGTCCAAACTTCCTATCCATCTCGGGCCCTTTTCGTTTATGCTTGCCGTGACCCTATTTCTTACTGTATTATCAAAGTTAATGCTTGAGGTGAAAGCAGAGACAACGTCCTTCAGAAAAGTTAAAAGGTCAAAGTCGTAGGTCAAGGTCATGTTACAGAAAACTGAACTCAAACTTTTCAAAGTCAGTTTTGGGACATTTGACCTTGACTTACGACCTTAAACCCGTAACCATTTTCGAAGGCTATCAACTTGGCTTGAATCATGGGCGTTTACCTTGGTCCTGTCGCACACTGCTCGATCAGAAAACGGTCAAACGCAGAGGGGCCCGTGCCCGAAAGGAAGTCAAGGGCGTGGTCAATGTGAAAGTTCGTGGTGACCTCCACTAGTCACCTTTAACCATCCGTGACCTCGACTTCGACCTTGAGTCCAAACTTCCCATCCATCTCGGGCCCTTTTCGTTTATGCTAGCGGTGACCCTATTTCTTACTGTATTATCAAAGTTAATGCTTGAGGTGAAAGCAGAGACAACGTCCTTCAGAAAAGATAAATGGGTCAAAGTCGTAGGTCAAGGTCATGTTACAGAAAACTGAACTCAAACTTTTCAAAGTCAGTTTTGGGACATTTGACCTTGACTTACGACCTTGATCCCATAACCATTTTCAAAGCCCATAATCTTGGCTTGAACCATCGACGTTTACCCTGGCCCTGTCGCACACTGCTCGGTCAGAAAACGGTCAAACGCAGAGGGGCCCGTGTCCGAAAGAACGTCAAAGGGCGTGGTCAATGTGAAAGTTCGTGGTGACCTCCACTAGTCACCTTTAACCATCCGTGACCTTGACTTCGACCTTGAGTTCAAACTTCCCATCAATCTCGGGCCCTTTTCGTTTATGCTTGCCGTGACCCTATTTCTTACTGTATTATCAAAGTTAATGCTTGAGGTGAAATCAAAGACAACGTCCCTCAGAAAAGATAATTGGGTCAAATTCGTAGGTCAAGGTCATGTTATAGAAAACTGAACTCAAACTTTTCAAGGTCAGTTTTGGGACATTTGACCTTGACTTACGAGCTTGACCCGTAACCATTTTCAAAGCCCATCATCTTGGCTTGAACCATCGACGTTTACCCTGGCCCTGTCCCAAAAATGAAATAAGGTCACGGCACGCATAAACGCAAAGGGTCCGAGATGGATGGGAAGTTCGGACTCTAGGTCAGGGTCAAGGTCACGGATGGTTAACGGTGACTAGTGGAGGTCACTACGACCTTTCACATTGACTACGCCCATTGACTTCCTTTCGGACACGGGCCCCTCTCCGTTTGACCCTTTTCTGACCGAGCAGTGTGTGACAGAACCAAGGTAAACGTCCATGATTCAAGCCATGGTGATAGCCTTCGAAAATGGTTACGGGGTCAAGGTCGTAAGTCAAGGTCAAATGTCCAAAAAATGACTTTGAAAAGTTTGAGTTTAGTTTTCTGTAACATGACCTTGACCTACGACTTTGACCCAATCATCTTTTCCGAAGGACGTCGTCTCTGCTTTCACCTCGAACATTAACTTTGAAAATACAGTAAGAAATAAGGCCACGGCAATCATAAACGCAAAGGCCCTGATATGGATGGGAAGTTAAGACTCAAGGTCACGGCAATATTCACACCTAAAGGCCAATCCACTGATCAACACCAAATAGTATTTTATAGAACATGGTGGCTTCGCGCAAAAATTAAAGTATACGAAAATTATATTAATTTTTATGAACTGCAGAGATAGGCAGCTAGTGCAGTGTGTCGGTTTCCGTCTTAGTGTCTTGTTATTCGAGTCTAAATAGTAAACAAAGCAAATGGCGTCAAACAGATAAAGTTCTCTCTCGTTAGAAATTAAAAGGTCGGTAAAATAAAAAGTTATTGATCGATTCGGCTGAAATTTGGTGTGTGGTCATTGCTAGTCCCCCGTAACATCCTCTAATAATTTCAAGTTCCTACGACCACAGGAACTGGTAGAGGTACGAAAGTGCAATAGCGCCCTGAATCCTCCCTATGTCACACGCTGATATCATATTAGGGCTAGAATAAAAAATCCTGCAATGGTATTGTTGTTGCCATGTTCAGTTGATCCAATTATAGTACCTTCTCTTTATCTAATCGTTGATCCCATGGTTTAAAAACTGTTTTTCCAGAACCATCCAAAGATTCATTCAGACATTCTACATTGAATGTGTCAATTTTTTTATACAAACTATATTCCGCTGCTCTCTCAGCGTCCGACACAGGGGGGTGTGAGTGACCTTTACCACAATCATGACTATGTCCATGTCCTGACATTGTTCTTTTATCCTGTTATTTTTTCTTTTTTGAAAAAAAAACTGATTTTATAGAAAACTTTTCCACCACGTGAGTTTGTTGTTTGTTGACATTTTACAATGACGTTTCTATCACCCAGTCTCAAAATTGCCACTTTCTTGGGATTATTAGGGGCGTCGAGACATCGTGGCCATCTTTAATGGACTGGCGATTCTCCCGGTATCCTTTGATGGTGAGGCTATCTTTTAAAAAGTAGGATAAGCCACAATACATCCGCTGTCCGCCTCAAGTTAATTTCTTTGGCTTGGTAAGGCTATGTTATAAGGAAACTGCCCTTACGCCTCCTGCTTCCTAACAGACTTTAACTCCGCCAACGCGGGTCGCAAGCCCGGGTGCAACAGCTTAAGTGCATGTATCAGTTCTCTTGAAATTAACCAAGGTACGAAACGGCTCATGATGTGGGGTACGAAACAGTTAGGTTACGAAACAGCTTGCATTCTTACAATCGCCCTAGAGACTGGGAATCCACGACAATCAATCGATGCTCTACTTTTATTTTGATAATTTTCTGAAAGGGATTTATTATAATTACTGAAATATTTTCCTGTCGTAGAATACAGAACTTCACTGACATGAGGTTGTATTATTATTTACATGTACAGTGATTTTCAATGACGTAGAAGATATATATCTAAGGGAGGTAATTCGTTTTGACTTCCGTTTGAGGTTGGGTTGCAAAATGTCGCGTCGAAGTAAAAGAAAATTTTAATATTATCATATTTTTGCAAATAACAAAATACAGGAGCATAGACATGTCTCGACACCGGAATGTTCGTAGTATGAACTACGAAGGTAAAAAGTTACATTAAAGTATAAATGGGCTAGTCGATCAAATCCGAGAGATAAAAGTCATTATTGACATTATTTGTAGTTTGTATTGAATTGTTTTCCTGCTGTTGAAGGTTGAAGTAAAGAAAAATGCAAAGGGGTTTTAATGTCATCACTTGTGTTGGATGCAGCTGGTGTTGTTTTCTTCTTGTCTGCATTAAAAACAGTCCAGCTTTTGGGGTGCTTCACTTTTAGATCCAGTAGTAGGGCCTACTACTGATCGAACGCTGCCCTCTTCTATCACACACCTCTCCCGTTTTAATTCTCCCTAAAATGGGAATTGCAGATAAATGTGTTGTAGTTGACTTTTGTCACTTAAATAAGGGCATTAAGAGGTATAACCATCCATTCCCTTTATTATCATCTACCTTGCAAAGAACTGGTTATGCTTCACACAAAGTTATCAGCTGCCTTGGCCTTAAGTCCGCTTTCTTTTCTATGCCCCTTTCCCACAATGTTCAACAATACACAGGTATATCTTCCTATCACGGAGGTTGCCACTTTTTCTTCAAGCGCTTGGCACAAGACTTAAGTGTGTCCCCTGTTATTTTTCAAGCCGAAATTGATAGGATTCTTTCTCAAGTACCTGACAGTCGTCATTACTGTATTGCACATCATAACGATGTCCAGCCACACAATAATCACTTACTGATAATGGACTGAAGATTTATCCTCGTAAATTTTCGTTCTTCAGAAATCAAGTTGTGTACATGGGTCATTTAATTAAGATTAATAACGAAGGACTTGTTACCCTCTCCAACCATTGGCAAATCGTTGTCAGGCAATTCAACATCTTGTTCGTCCTAAGTCTAGTAAAGAAGTTCGTAGGTTTATAGGAGCTGTGAACCTTCTCAAACTTTCTGCCAAGGTAACAAGATGTTATGCAGCCCCTTCATCAGATTTCCTCCAAGAGATCTAAATTTTCATGGACCGAAAAACATGAAAAGGCTTTTCAAGATGTAAACTATCTTCTTACTAACCCACCTCTTTTGTACCTCCTGACTGCAAACGGTCCTTTGAGTCTCTATATAGCTATACATCTCGATCAGCTACTGGATCGTACATGCTTATGTTGACCACTCTGCAATAGTTCAACTTCTGTACTCCAAGAAAGAGCCTTGTTCTCAACGTTTCACTTAGTTAATTGTCAAACTATCCTAATGTTCATTCCAAATCTATACTAATATTTGTGACTGTCGTTTGTCTGTTTGTCTGTCTGTCTGTTCCCCGAGTCTGAAATTTGGGGTATGGGGGTAGCTCGGACCGGGGAGTAACATAGGCCAGGTGGTGTTAGTCTACCACTTCTGGTTTCGGGGTTATGACCCCCGAGCGAAGCCGGGCATTCTTCTAGTTTTCTATAAAAAGGGAACTGAATTAGCAGATTTCTTATCAAGGAGTTTGACTGATACAGACGATGAAATTGATCAAGTTGTACCCACTGCTTTTACCCTTTCTAAGCTTGCATTTCCTGTTACTCGGTCAGCAAGTTGCCCGGTTACACGTCAATATGCAAAACAGAAGCAAATCGCGATTCCTGAACTCTTCCCCAAACCTTCCACACGAACTACTACAGTTAGTCAACCAACTTCTAGTACTTCAACTGAAATCCCTTCTCCCATTGTGTCTTCCACTAATATCTCTTCACAGTCAAGGAATTCCAGAACTCACCAGTCAAAATCTCAACAGAACTCCTCCATTCCCCTTCCCTATATACGCCAAACAATCCAGAATGTTGTCCCACCTAAACCACCTCCAGTTCTCGCCGACACACAAGTATTATCTTCCTCCATAGATTTTATACCTGAATCTTGTCTGGTCGATAAATCAGTAGACAATGTTACAGATGGTGATACTCCCATTGATCTCTGTATTCCTCAGAAACCCCTCTTCCATAATTGTGAATGGCTGGTCACTAAATATTTCCAAAAACATGCTGAATTGGATAAGTTGTACAATGTTATTAAGCGTAAAATCATCAGAGACTATAATTTGACATTCGATCAGAATAAGCTTTGGCTTAAACAGGCATATTCTCCCCAATTTAAGCCTATCTATGATTATTTGTCGCTCAATATATTACCCAGTGATCGTAAAGCTGTGAAACGTCCCAAAAGAGTATTTTTTAGCAGAGCATATTTTATTTCATCTTCTTCTACCTGCTTCTGTTTTGCATATTGACGTGTAACCGGGCGACTTGCTGACCGAGTAACAGGAAATGCAAGCTCAGAAAGGGTAAAAGCAGTGGGTACAACTTGATCAATTTCATCGTCTGTATCAGTCGAACTCCTTGATAAGAAATCTGCTAATTCAGTTCTGTTTTTATAGAAGATTTGGAATGAATATTAGGATAGTTTGACAAGTTGTGAAATCATCAGGGAATAGTTCGTATTTATTTTACTATGAGAAAGCTATTCTACTTTCCCAACATGTTTCAGAGGATCGCGCAGTACATTAATACATGTTCTACTTGCCAGAAATTCAAATCCAAGACAGATAAAACCAGAATATTTCATCCTAGGATACCTGAAGAATACAATGTTTTTGACAAACTTGGTATTGATTTCAAAAGCATGCCTGCATCCATCTCTGGTTTTAAGCATCTTTTAGTTACCTGTGATGAGATTACTCCCTTCATCATTCGTGTCCCAACTAAGTCAGTTCACACCAAAACAGTGTGTGAAGCTTTAATCCAGAAAGTAGTCTGTCTCTTTGGCCCCCCATCTGTCATAGTAACAGATGCAAGTGCAAGTTTCATCGGAAAGTTGGTTACCTCTCTTTGTACAACACTTAATATTAGTCAAAAAGTAATTAGTGTTGCCAATCATGGTAGTCTTCTGTCAGAACGTCACATTAGATCAATCTCTGATTTTCACAAGGTTAACTTAAATCGGTATGAACTGATTGGGTCAGATATGTCTCTCCCTGTTGCTAATGCTATGCTTACAATTCTTTGTTTCGCCACAGATTTTTGCCTTTACGAGTTGGTATTTGGTAAGAAGCCCAAAAACCTTACCCATCTTCGTTGGCAATTCGATGGAGTTTGTCGTTCATATTCTGAGTATGTTTCCCATTTAAAGTACAAGTTGGATCAGATTTCTAAGACTATGTTTGAATTAGAAAAATGTCAACAGGAATCTCTGAATATCAGTATTGCACAGTAAGAATCCTATTTAGGGATTGGGCCAGTTAGTTTATGTACTCAAACCATCATCATCAAGCCTTACTTCAAATTCACATAAAATCAAAGCAGATTGGTGTGGTCCTTTGGTTGTGCATCAAATTCTCTCTACGTTGGATGGTTAGGTTCTACAGGACATCTATTCAATTAATTGTTTAAAACCATGATTTGTTAGGTCTTCTAAATCTGAGACAAAAATTATCCACATTAATCAACTTTAAAAAGAGTAGGTAATATATCACACAAGCGATATCTGCTGTAGAATGTATTATTAGGTGATAAATCTTATTAACAAAAATTCACCATATGTTTGGCGCAATATAGCCCAGTTGGAGCTGACATGCCATAAAACCACATTTCATTTCATTTCATTTATTAACAAAAATTAAAGTGCTAGCTTATTTTAGACTGCTCAATGCCCCTAATAGTCATGTGAAGCCCAATCCTTTGTATGAAGCTTATCCTTAATTTTCATGCAGGCTTATATTTCATATATTGTCTAAATATTGCATTTATCACTTTAGAGATGAACCAGCTCTATATAAAAAAAATACTGATACTAATATCAGAGCAGGTAATTTAATCGTCCGCATTCTAAAGTATTGTATTGAAATACATGATAAACATTTATAAGCTTAATTACATAACATTTTCACTTTTATTTTTTGAACAGAATATTATGATGAAGATGATGATTATAGTCAGTCTGTTGAAGATAATTATTGTATTTCACCGGGAACAGGTATGATTATATATAGATGTGTGGGGAATAAAGTGTTCATTAGTTTTTGTCTGAAAATTTTTCACTCATAGCACACTGCTGTCTTCATTAGCCCAGTCAGAACAAAACAGTAGGATGTTAAACCCCATTTCATTTCATTAATTTTGTTGATTCCAATCTAACCTCAGCAATCCTCTTTTCTCAGACATTGCAGCTCCTGGAGCTATTTCACATGAGGGTGGTTAGTAATCTGCTAGGGATAAGGATAGTAGATTTAGGTCTTAAGGTGTATAAAGGGACATATTTAAATTGTATTGCAGTCCATGTATGGAAGGGTATCGCTGCCAATATTAAATGCTCTGCGACAATGTCGTTTCCATTGATTATATGTAAAAAGTACAATGTACAAAGTCCTAATACCGATATTAATAAAGTCAAAATACATCTAAGGCAAGAGTTAAATGTAAAACGTCAAATGTTAAGTGTTAAATGACAAATGTTTTGTGGGAAAATGCTTTTTTTGACGTGTCTACATTTTACATTTCTCTCATTACATTTTACATTTGCGCTCTGCCACATCCCATTTGTCCTTCACGCTTTCTACATAGCAACTTTCGCACAGCATCAACTTGCATATGCAAATGTAGGATATCATGTGACTTATTAACATATATGCAAGTTGATGCTGTGCGAAACATGCTATGTAGAATGCGTGAAGGACTAATGGGATGTGGCAGAGTGAAAATGTAATGAGAAAAATGTAAAATGTAGACACGTCAAAAAAAGTATTTTTCCACAAAACATTTGTCATTTAACACTTAACATTTGACGTTTTACATTTAACTCTTGCCTTAGAGGTATTTTGACTTTATCATTACCGGCATAATTATGACTATGTACATTGTACTTTTTACATATAATCAATAGAAAAGACATTGTAGCAGAGCATTTAATATTGGCAGCGATACCCTTCCATATCCATGTACTAACTAACGCAGCAGGACTTTTGAATACTATTAAACTATATAGTTTAATCATTAAACAAAGTGTATATTACAGTTTATTGTGAAACAGCATTATGCATATAAAATTCGATGTCCAATTATTCAATTAACTTGGTGGGAGAGCCAAATTTTAACGACTATATGTTACGCACACCATGACCATAATGACGCTGCAACTCAATGACGTGGTGAATAGTAGAAGCCATTTATACATTGTAAAAAATTACAAAATAAAAAATACTGCATTTTACTACATTGAAAAAGTGCAAATCCTCCTTTATAATATACTCACCTACTAAACGAATAGTTTGAAATTTAAAGATGATATGTGAAATCTGACAAAGATCGCTTTAAAGTTTAAACTTAAAGGCACTAGTTGAGATACTGCTGACCGATGTCTCTTGTTATTTGCCATCATGTAGTCAATGATATCTTATAGACAATTCCAATCCAGGGTACAAGGTAACCTGGTTGTCCTTTTTGAGATTATAACAATAATAGCCTATGATTGTCCGATGTACTTAAATTGAGCAATAATTGATTTGAAATATACAGAATAAACCCAAGCAAACATAGGTCTACTGCCATCGTCCAACATTACACAATGAGTGATGGGCAAAACATAGTGTGCTTTACCTTACTAACTACTTGGGGATTATAAACTAGAAAACAATATAATGCAACAGCAAACAGTAGAAATACTGTAAGATTTTACATTTCTGGTCTGAATGGAATATATATCTATCTTACATTGGAAGGATGTATGTGTCTGAATGGAATATATATCTATCTTACATAGGAAGGATGTATGTCCCTAAAATCCATGTTCTAGAACTCAAAATTTGCTACTTAGAAACCGGGCACTGGAAGATAAATATGCAAGTTACCATGTCTGAAATAATAATAAGGGCCTCAGGGGTATAGAAAGTAACATATTTAATGACAACTTTCACAAGGTTCATTGACAGTTGACACTATATATTAACAATACGGCAGATCATTGTAAAAAAAGTAGTCCTATATAAATAGTAATATTACATATTCTTGTATAAATCTTGAAAGAAAATACTTTGAAAGCGTACATTTGTTGACTTTTTGGTAGGGATTATTGGTACGTCGTAGGCATTGCCAATTTATTAGTTAAATTTTATTTTTTCAGTTGCTCAGTTTACATTTAACCGAGATAAAGATGTGCATCATTTAGCATCATACATGGGTGATGACATACCTGAAGAAGGTGAAGAGAGTGATGCTTCACATTTAAATGACTCAGCCAGAAATATTCGTAAAACTTTGTCAGATGTTGACCAAGGTATATTTCTTAATCTATTGTATGTCTTATTGTAGACTTTCTTGTAAACAATTTTTCTGTCTGAATCACACATCTATTTGGAATACTGCCTCTTTGTCAAAAAGTGTTCCTTTTCATTTATACAATTTCTAAAATAAATGTTATCTGCATCAATTGTGTGATTAAATGACTAAAATATATATATATAAATAAAGACCTAAAACTTGCTTACTTGTAACTCAGATATTTATCTTTAAAATTTTCAAATTTATTTATATGAATTATTCGGTTACCAGGATGAGACAAACTATCTGGTCAGATACCGTATAATCAAAATATTTACAATCCAGCAGGATTCACTGTCTGGTGCACCTTTCAAATCAACTGATTGTCAAATGATCATCCGCTGAGTCATGCAGAATCAGGGTGAACTGAAAAACTGGTATTGTGAATATTTGCATCTGATTTTGAGAGTTGTTCCTGTTTGTCATGAACTTGGCCATTTATGGATTTTAGTTACATACAGATTTAATGCAAATGTTGTTGAGAGGACAATAATTGGTTAATTTCATTTTCTATGTTTTTTTCTTAGGAAAATTAAATAGCTGTTTAGATGAAATTAGAAATATATTAGGTGATACTAGCACTGAGCAAGTTATGTCAGAATGTGTCTTAAAGCATAATTTCAACACAGAGAAAGCTCTCAATGAATTACTATCACAAGCAGGTTTGATACTTTTTTATGTCAGAATTTAATTTTTGTCACAAAGTTAAATATCAGTTAAGAAATTAACCGCCAATTTATTATTATATAACATAAATTGTTTGATAAATTAGAGTTATTTATCTAGGTACACCATAAGTCAAAACTACTGGGTTTTTTTAGCTCCTTTTCCTGTTACCCAAAAAAAACAGTTCATGGACTGGTACAGCTTCCTTTTTTACAGAAAGACTACAGGTGTTAAGGACACATTCGCAAATAAAACTCTTTGGAGTACAGTTAATAATTATGTATTGCATGACCTACTAAATCACTAAAATAAAATTGGTATTCATTTGAAGACTTTTTTAAAATTTAGAATTAGCATAGATATGATGTATGGTTTAATTTTTCTATTCAGAGGCACCAAAACCACAAAGACAGCCCAGAGAAAATAGAAGAAATAGATCACAAGGTAATTACGCTCATCTGTTTGGATGATTTCAGTTTTAAAATGATATATTGTAAAATAAAGAATTAAATCAAGAAATGCATCCCATCATCAGTTGCATTATTTCCAACACACATTTCCTTTACAAATAAAGTACACATTACAGAGTAGTTACGAGTACCCAATAAATCAACCTCCTTACTCACCAAGCCACAATGATAATATTGATGTGATTATCTGACTTAGCTTGAAATAGGATTCGTTCTTTTACAATAAGATTCACAAATTATGAAATCTGTAGTATTTTAAGCGAAATTTTTATTAAGAAAAAGTATTATTGTACAGATTATTCATAATGTCTAATGTGTTGCCCTTTCTTTGTATTTTTTTCATGTTTGTCCTTTGGTAAAATTTGAACATATGATTTGTGATATGGTACAATTGAATTGATTGGTAACTTTTGGCGTCTGTAAGGTAAGGAGATGATGAAGAGTTAATTGTTACTAAAACTGACATTCTATCAAATTTAACTTCAAGTTTTGATGAACTTGATTTAAGTCCTCCCCAAAATTCCATTCCTAATACCATTGCCATCAATCGTCCGTCTGCCTGTTCTAAAACCCCCCCTCAAAAGAGCATTGACTCTCTGTCCCTAGTCCTATCACAGATGGCAAAACAACCTAACAAAATTGTGCACTCTAAATCAAAGCAATCAAGACAGCCTGGTAAAATAACTGGTGCTAACATGGCAGACATACCTTTGTTACAAAAATATAGTGAAAAGAATGGTAGAGATTGCATAGTTCAATCTGGAGATGGTTATGGGTTAATGGGGACTGAGAAGATTTCACTCTCGCAACTGGCTTCACAGAATAAAGTTACGCCATCAGGCCTCAAATCTTTAGCAGGGGAAACACATCATACAAACAATGTAACTGGTAGATTGACGTTATCAGAATTAGCAAATCAGCATAAATCTTCTACTCAGACTTTTGGTATTTCAAAACCTAATGCTGGATTGTCTCTGGCACATAAACACAAAAAAAGTGGACTTGATTTAAATTTAGCTTCGAAACAAAAGTTGTCATCAACTGCTTATACAAACCATGAGTTGTCAGGAATGGCAGGATTGGTCAAATCATTACAAAATCCTGATTTCACTCTATCTACTCAACATTCCTCTCCAGATCAAAAAATTCTTAGTATATCATTGACTGATTTGGCCAAAAATAACCAATCAAAATCCAGTACACATAAAAACAACCAATTATCAGAGAAACCAGCAGATTTATCACAAATACTGTCATTTAAATCATCACAATCAAACGATATATCTTTAGCATCGCTAACTGTTAAGAAACCATCTAAAGTGAAGAAATCGGACTCAAATATGGATGCCAGAAAGCCGTTACACAGACAGTCACCAGAAACCTTTTTTGAAAAGACTGATAATGCCACAGAAAACTTGTTCTTTGAAAATAACCCTTTAACTTTTCAACTAGATTCTAGCCTCATGAAAAATTTGTCTGGAATTGGTAAAGTGATCTGCATGACATATACTCCGAAAAAAGGCAAAACCTCTGACGTGACCAACCATTCTCGTTTGTTGTTCAGTTACACTCAACAAGCAAAAAACCAAGTCAAAAAACTATTGCCAAATGTACATCAGATCACCCCCTTTCATTTTTCTACTCCTTCACCTGATGATATTGTTAAAGAAAGACAAAGGGCAGCATTTAGATAGTAACATTTTGCTGTTGGTAGTATATAAATTACTATCAATTAAAACTGTGTAAGATATTCATTGGTTTGAAATGAACAACAAAATAAAATCCTCATGGCAGCTAAAATCTATAAGGTCTACAATATTGCATTGAGATTTTGGTACTACAATGTACGTAGTAATATTTTTGAATTTCCAGGTACATTGTTTGTAATGTACAATTGAAAAGTTGTGTATTTTTTAATGGCTTCAGTTGAGATCACATGTTACGATTTTTATTGTCAGTCACCTTCCACCATTGTCTGTCATCTGTCCACAATTGCTCAGGAAAACTGTACAGGTCCGAGTTCTTCAGAAACATTTTTAAATGTGTGGAAATTATTCATTGTGTCATAAGGAAAACCTCTATTGAAATTCAGAGTCGAGCGATTGCAAATATCAGACTTATCCACTCATTTACTTTTAAGTTCATGAAATCTTGTGACTATGATACAGGACATAATTCTCTATCAAGTTCGGCATTCTGCGACATTCCTTTTGTAATTATCTCCTTTTCCAAGAGAACCTTGTGAACAAGATAAATGCTACAGTTTTTAAGAAACTTGGTGTGTAGAATTTGCATCATGAGATGGCAAACCCCATTGATTTTCAGCTTTCTGCGAATGTCCGTTTTGAGTTATGCCCTTTTCTGAAAATCTTGTGAATGCGATAGAGGTTGCTGTTTGTAACAGATTTTGTTCAAATTTGGTGTAAAGCATTACGACTGTATGTGAGCTTATTGTTTTCCAGCTGGAGGATGAATCCTATTGATTGTTAAATTTGATGTGAAACATTGGAATCAAAGAGAATAAACCCTGTTGAATTTCAGCATTCCTCGACTTTCTGTTCCAAAGATACTATGTGTCGGCGAAAATGATATAGAGATCCGATTTCTTGAAGGCATGCTTATCAAATTTGGTCAACCAAGTTTTCCTTTCGGATAAGCTGTTGTCTATGGCTATCATTTTTTTTTAGTCATAAATAAATACTATGTTTATATATTTTGATAATTAATAAAATTATATATCTAGGTTAAATTTTTGAATTAAAATATTTTCCTTACTATTTTCGGATCATTAATTACAAGTCACACAAGGTCCATGCATCTTTGATTGTTGCTGTTTCAGAATAAGTCAAGCAAAATTATGTCCCTGACATGAATTTGCAGATGTGCACAAAATTAAATCCCTTGTCGAGTAATTGTTTTCTTGAATTAAACAAGCTAACCTTTAATCTTACCCTGACAAAGGTATTTCAGTTTGTAGGTATGTTATAGGATATAAAATAACCTAATCCTGAATCCTGGTATTAAGCTTGTTTTACAGATCATGCTGACAATTATAACACTTAAAGGTTTATACATGGACTTCATTCTCTTCATGCAATGAAGATATGTTCTTTCTGTCTAAAGAGATCTCTTCTTTCAGACCCAAGAACGACAATTATTTACTTTTAGATAAATCATTACTTCAGGAATTGAAAGAATGACTATTGACGAAGAATTTGTTTGCAATGTGGCACATCCCCACAAATAACATAGTATTTAACAACTTTAGATGTGGATCACTGAATGACCTTCCTATATGCATGTACTTGAATGTAGACCAAGATTGATTACTAGAACAAAACAATACGGCCATAAATCCATCACCTGTTCTTAAAGAAATAACATTGATTTCTGAAACACCAGTGAATCATTTTACATCCTGCTGTTAAACTTTTAATACCTAATTTACACCTGCATACCAAAAAGGACTTATTCAGTGACAACAAATTCAAAGAAGTACCAGTACTCCTTCATAAAATGAGCTACAACTTTTAAAAACACTGTTGCGGTGACATGTTTCTGTATGACTGCATTGTCCAAATGGAATAAACTCTTATAGGAATTTACAAAAGCCGATTATGTGTCATTTATCAACTCCCAAATAAATTGCATACCTTTTTATCCTTGAATAAATTATATATTAGCATTTTAAATGGGCTGACTATATAAATCAATTATTATTCAGAATATTTTTCCAGAATTTGATTGTTAATGTTTTTTTTAAAAAATTCTCATTGAAAGAGTAGCAGCCTATTCTTTTTGTGATAGAATTGGTTAAACAGATTCCAAATACAATCACAAAATTAATCAAAACTAGCTGTTACATTGCTCCTGTTTGCTCGCTACACTTTATTATTTTTTTTAGTGTTTACCGAGATTCTATCCGGGTTATCACCCATATTGTTAACATTTTTTTATGTTCTAACTGATGACGTCAACTGGCAGATGACCACTGTCAAGATAGATCACTTTATTTCTTTTACATCTTTCTTGTAAATTATTTTTATTTTCATTGGACGCTTACGACTGGCTCCCAGATCCATTCCCTTGATTTGATATTTGTTTTATTTCTTGCATTGTCCATGGTTTGTCTTGTCGGTTTGTTTTGTGTGTAGTGCGGTCCTCCAGAATTTTATTAAAGAATTGTAATTGGAATCTGTTTAACAAATTATGTACACTGTATGGATGCTGGGATTGTCCTTTAAGCATAAGTAAAAAGTAAGGTAAATTAAATTATGGTAGAATTATAACTATTAAGGAAATGGTAAGTATACTACGATATATCTTTTACTACTTAAACTACATTAAACCTGTTAGAACAAACATATATTTAAAAAAATATGTTTTGATTTACTGGTTACTGTGAATTTACATTAAATGGTTCATATGTACCTATTTTCAAAATATAGCGAAAGGAAAGGATGTCGGAAGTCTGGAAATAATGTACATCCAGTACAAAGTTGAAAATATCTGAACAACCTAAATTGTGTTTTCTTTTAGTTGTATACAGATTATCAAACTGAAAATGACTCAGTTGTAAAATATTTTAATAGGCAACATAGATTTTGAATACCGTATTCTTTATATTTCAGAGGCTAGTGCCAGTGGTATTATTAAACCAACAGTTATTCTAAAGAATCCCCCTAATGCTAATGTGACCAAACAAATAGATGGCAATGTTAGTCAGATTAAAAATTTGACTGTGATTCCAAAAAAGGAGCCTATTGTAGGTTTTAATCCTGTAGTTTCGGACAGTAAAGATAGTTTAGTTCCTGATAATTCTAGTGTCTCATTAACTTCTAAAAGTAGTGAATCTTTAAATGGTGCCACAGACAGTGTATCAGGAGATTCTTTAGTTTCTAATTCTAATGCTTTATTAACGCCTAAACGTGTGGCAAGTGATTACAGACCTCCATTACCTAAATCTAGTTCTAAGTAAGTTTACTTTTCACATATCTTTATTTACTGAAATAAAGTGACATGAACAAAATTCTTAATGCTATATGAATATTCATTTCCTTAAGAGCAGCATTATTAATGTATTTAATAATAAAGAAACATTGTTAATAATTTGTTTATAAATAATCAAGTGCTTATTATATTAAAGATGCATTATGTAAGAGCTAAATCTGCTTTTTGTAGGTTTTTATTTTGGCCTCAACAGTTATTTAAACTATTATTTAGACATTTATTCATATGACAAGCCCAAATAATCAACTCTCTAGAACATGGTCACCATTTAATGAATTAATTTAAAAATGGCAAAGTGAATCTAATAGTAAGTGCAGGGGGACTGCACCACTGCGCTGTACAGTCTCGGGCCTGTAGTGACACAAACTTCACTCAAATTTGAAAACAATCAGGAATATAACCCAGAGAAACCATTGTGTAATGCCAGCATGAGTCATGATCTGCTGTATGTTACAAGAAATATGAATGTAAGCACATTGAAGTAAAATTTAACTATACAAGTAACCACATCGGTGAAATGTATAAAAAAAAACAGGTAGTCTAAAACTAAATGCTCTAAGTCAATTAAGAAACGTTTTAGTATTCAATAGAATCGAGGCATATTGAATACAGTTAGGGCACATGTTCCATCCATCACAAAAACAGAGCAAAAAATAAACAATACTGAATACAGAGAAGCAATTGAGAAAATGTAGACTGTCTCGAAAGACAGCTGACTGAATGACGTGACAAAAAAAAAGGCGTTAGGTTGCCAATGATGTAAAAATTTAGAATGTGACAAAACACCACAATAAAAAAGGGCGACAATCCAGATAAATTAACGCCAAAAGGTTAATAAACTATCAATTTAGTAACTAATTGGAATTATTAAGTTATGCAATTGCACAAAATATAATATGTAATACCCCACACAAGAAATGCAAAACAGGTATGCTGAAGAAATCGTACTATGTAAGTGTATTTATAAAGGCATAAAATAAGGGCGATAATCCAGATAGGATTAGGTAACTACAGAAAATTTAAAATAAATATTAAATTGGATCATTATTCAATATGTAGTCGGTTATATACTTATAAGAAATGTCTAACTTGGTATGTTGAAATGGAAGTTTCGAAATTTCTTTTAAAATGCGTAATTATGTACCACCTTTGGCAGTGTACTTAAAATAAAGAGATTTTATTCGGGAAAGAAATAGTTCTTTATCGTTACATATTGTCAAAAATCGTAATGCCTGTGAATAGAAAACACTATATAGCGTGGTATCTGGTATGTTACCATAAATTGATAAGTATTTTACTACTTCAAATCAAATTTGTCCGTTTTGTCAAAAATTCGATATTAGTTTTATTGTTAATTATATTAAAGTCCTGGTCAAGACAGACGCATTTATAGTGCCGGAATTTTCCTTTTTTAATATTAGTTCTGGGGGATATATTTCACTTTTATATTTTTTGAAATTTCCGTTATCATTGATGGGTGTTATGTCATCAATGTATCGGAAGGTATAGTTTAGACTTTTAGCTACTTTGTAATCTGTTTTTCGTTTATGATCCTGAAAGTAGAATTCATATTTACCGGTATATAAATGTGCATTTGCCATAAATGGGGCGGTATCAGTTCCCATTGGTAAACCAATAGTTTGCTGTATTATCTGATCCCCAACCTCAAATATGGCATTGTCAATGAGTAAATGTATGATGTTTTGAAACTTTTCTTTATCAAAAACTATAGTGTTGCCATTACGACGTTTTATAATCCATTTATTTTTATCAATTATGAAAAAACTATTAATTCCAGTATAGCTATGACGTGTTCTGCACCAAATGGCATGTTGGTTTTGGCATAATTTAAGTCCTTTGGTAATAGTTTTAGCTAAAGATTTTGTTTCGCAGATACTGGAGGATATTATATATCTGAATTTTACTGGGTTTTTATGGAATTTAGGTATAGAATAAATGTAAGGTAGTGCATCTATTTTGACAATGTCTTTAATATCATTGCTCCTGTTGAAAGTATATTGATTATGTAAAATATCTAGTTTAGTTAAATCCGTAATGCATTTATAAGTGTCATTTTTGTTATTGGGCCAAAGTCCAATTAGATAGTATTTTTTACAGGTAAAAGCAATATTGTTGCTAGCCTTATCGACAGGCATTAAAACAAATCTCTCTTGAAGAGTACTGAGTAGCAAAACATTCAACTGCAGATGTGTTATTTAGGACCTCGGGTGGGGGGGGGGGCATCTTGGGTTTGGTTTTATATATTTGATTCTCTTTGACAAGAGATCAAACACAGTGTTTTTCCATTCTCCAAAAGATTCTAAAGGTGCACAAAATTTATCAGACCAAGCTGCTATAGTCTATACATTTCCTGATTTGAGATTATTATGTAACTTTTTGAAATTAGTTTTACTTGGTTGTTCTCGAAATTGTGGTCCAAAGAGGAAAAGGTTTTTTAGATTTTTATCTTCAACAATATCGAAGTTTCCCGTCAGTATATGATCATGAAACTTGTCTTTAAAAAGAGAGTTGGCGCATTCACATGTGGTATTATCGTAATTGTCAATAAATTCTTGTACGTTAAGGTTTTCAATAGTGTCATGGTAGTTAAATATTTTATTACGAATTGTAGGTAAAAAATTTGTATACGACTGTAGGTGAAATTTTAGGAATAGTATCTGGTATGGATTTAATTACTGATTGGTCTCTAAAGATTCTATTTAATCCAATTTCTTGTATATGTTTATCTGTAAAAAGGATTTTACACAAAACATTAGGTTTTTTCTTACGCACTTTATGAGGTTGTATTGAATGCTTAGGTGAAAATTTACTATTTATCAAATCGGTTATAATAACAACATAATACTGAGGAAGAAAACGTTCATTAAGTTGATTAGAATAGATGATATCCTGTATGAGGACACCAAGTTTCTTAGCTGTTGATTTTTTCAAAGTGTGTACAATTTGTATGGCTAAGTTGAGTACACAAGCTGCACAGGACAATTTATCAGAAGTATGGCATTGCCATACAGAATACAATTCATTCAAAATAATTTCCAGGTCTGTTTGAAATTTCGATTTTTTTATAGAACATTTTTTTATTTTGAAAATTAACAAGTATACAATAATAAACAATCTATGCCACATCTTGTCAAAACTTCAAACTTCTCTCAGAATAAAGTAATTTGAATGAAATTTCCATTTTGCATTATCTATTTTTGAACCATTATAGCAATAATGGTCAACTCTTTATCTAAATCTTACATAATGCATCAAATTTACCTTATGACCTTTAAAGTTAGTAGGTCAACATGTCTGAATACAAATGCAATTATTGTTCTTGATTAGTATGATATTTGGTATAATGACATACCTATAAAATGGAAAAGTCCATCATAATGGAATTTTTGCATTATCCCTCTTCGATTATGTGTTTCATTTTTGTTTCATTTTCCAGATCTAAACCGAAGTTTAATGTAATGGATGAATATAAAAAACGAAAAGGAGAAAAAGAACTAATAAATATGGTTGTGATAGGTAACATATTTATATTTATATTAATATTCATAATGATTATGGCCTTTGATCAATTTGAAAAGGGGGGTTGGATGGACGAATGGTTAGCGCGTGCGCGTTATGTCATAAGGTCTGTCATTGAGTTACTGGCCTGGATTTCGATTCCCCAGTTGTACGTGACAAGGAATAGGGTCGCCTGTCCAAGGGTTTTCTCTGGGTCCTCCGATTTCCTCCCACCGCTAAAGACCTGTACGCGCAAGCAAATTATTGAAATAAAATTGCACCATGTGTTAGTCCCGAAATGATCTAGTTTGTGTCGAGTGGACCTTAAACAAACCCTCTCTCTCTCTCTCCTCTCTCTCTCTCTAAATTTTCGTCCAATTGACTTGATATTTATTCGAAGTGTTTATGTTAATGAGACTAAGAAATTGATTGATTTTAGAGCTGATTACTTATGAATGTTTTGAATAATTAATTTCAGGACTATAAAGAAATAGAAACCAATCAAAGTTTAATTTTTCTGATAATTACTTTATGGGTTGTTACTCTTCATAGTGGTTTGTCAATGCCTCCACTACCTACAAAAGAATAGATATACAACAACTTTTGTGGAGTGCTTAATGACTTAGCTGCTGTGGGTTTATATTTTGTTGCCTGGCAAACCCTTTTTTGTTATTAATCAAGTACCGGTAGGAGTTAATGCTTGAGAAGTTGATCTATCTCGTGATAGGTGCTCCTGTGGTAAGCCAGAGATTGGTGTTACCCTTGATTTGGACATGGTCAAAACTAGTATGTCCATACACATCTGTTGCACATCCCACTTAAGTTTCTAAATTTGAGAAAAGTCATGTACAATAAAGTGCTTTATAAATTATTCTTTCAGGCCATGTAGATGCTGGTAAAAGTACTTTAATGGGTCATTTACTGTTTCAACTAGGCTTTGTTAATAAAAGAACAATGCATAAATATGAACAAGAATCTAAAAAAGTAGGAAAAGGATCGTTTGTTTACGCTTGGGTGTTAGATGAAACAGAAGAAGAAAGGTAAAATGGATAGAAAACGTTGAGAGAATACTCTTCGAAACCTCTCCCAAATAATTAGTAATTGTTCTTCCATAAGTTACAAAATGCCTCTAAAGGATTAAAATGGAAGTTGAAATCTATTTATATAGCTTTGAAAATTTGACAAACTAAACAAAAGAAAGTAAATACCAAAGGAGCTACTGTATAAAATAACCTTAAATTGTCATGTGAGAAATGTTAATATAATATTGTGATCTTTCAGATCACGAGGTGTAACTATGGATGTAGCTCAAACAAGATTTGAAACCCCGAAAAAAATAGTCACCTTGCTTGATGCTCCTGGACATAAAGATTTTATACCTAATATGATAACAGGTCGGTCGATTATTTATAGTGTTACCTTTTGCATTAATTTGGTTGTTTAAGGAACCCTTTATGGAATAAATTGGAATTCTGTTGTATAGTGTTGTCATATCATATTTCTGAATAATTCCAACTCAAGCCACTTTAATGTAGAAGATGATTTAATGCCCCCTTTTTATCAAAGTATTGTTATTGTGAATAATTTAATTCTTGTTTGTTTTATTAGGTGCTGCTCAGGCTGATGTAGCTGTATTAGTAATTAATGCTACAAGAGGAGAGTTTGAAACAGGTTTTGATACCGGTGGACAAACTAGAGAACATGCTTTATTATCTAGATCACTAGGTAAACAATTACATATAAGTCATATTAATACTTTCTTTAATTGATACTGGATCTTTAGTTGCATTCTCCATTATCCAGGACAAATGGGTGTGGAAAGGGTTGTGTCAGAAGTAATCTGGCTGGTGTTGAGTGGACAATAAACCAGACCTGTCAACCCCTCAGAGCTGAAATGCAGTAGGGTAGTGTAAAAAATGCAGTAGAAACCATGATTTGGCAGTAGATTTCCAAAAACGCGTAAATTCGCACTTCCAAGGGTAATTAATTTAGAAATGATACGCTGAACTGCAGGCCCAACAATACAAAAATTGCATTAAACGGGTAAGAGATAAAATATACACAAGCAATGGTACCATATCTAAAATTATTTATGTAATTAAAGCAAAATTGAATATGTAGTCTACAGAAAGAAATAATTATTAACGTAAAAAATAATTAAAATTACCAGTACCACTTTTCTTTTGTTTAACTTAGCATGATTTTAAAAAATATCCTTGTGACGTGTTCCCCATTCCGAGAGTTTTTGTCAATATTATTTCATGTAAGATAATTGGTGTGCTTATTAGATTCTATAGTATTTCTACATTAGGAGTGGGGGGTTGGATGGCTGAATGGTTAGCGTGTGCACACTGTATCACGCTGAGTCAACTGGTGTGGTTTCGAATCCCCGGTTGTACGTGACAAGGAGTAGGGTCGCCTGTCCAACCACATGGGTTTTCTCCGGGTCCTCCGGTTTCCTCCCACTGCTAAAGACCCCTACGCGCAAGTGAATTATTGAAATAAAATTTAAAACCACATGTTAGTCCCAAAATGACCTAGTTTGTGTCGAGTGGACGTTAAACTCCATTTCTCTCTCTCTCTCTCTCTCTCTCTCTCTCTCTCTACATTAGGAATAGAGGGGGGTGGGGGAGGGCGTAAAAAATTAATTTTGCATAACGACTAAATATTGGTATCAACCCCCATGGCGATTATCCTCTCAATGTACGGAATTTTTTTCTCCTGTGATTGTGTAAATCTGCTTTTACATTTATTTGAGAGTGTTCCATGTAAGTCAGAATCGGCGAGACGTATTCCCATCTTGAAATTAAATTTCCAGGTTGTGTTGCATTAGAAGTATTGTATTAGATGCTGTACGTACAAGCACAAACGAAAATGTCAGCCATTGCTGCCGTAAATTGGTCGCTATTTGTTTAGTTTATCGCTATGCATTTTAAGAGTATTTGGAATACGTGAAGTTTACTCTAAAATAGATTGAAAAGAATTTGAGAACAAATCTCTTAGCTAAATTACACCTTACAATATCTCAAATCGATGCTGATAACCCAAAGTCGCGATCTTTATTGTTTACATGCAAAGAGTTGCTTCCCTTAGTTCCATAGTTTTGGCGAGAAAATTAAAAAAAAACTCTTTGTTTGAAAATGCGGTAGAAATCTATTACCGCGCAGTAGAGCAGTACATGAGGCCTTTTCGTGGCACTTTACCGCGTGATGCGGTAGGGTTGACAGGTCTGCAATAAACCCCATTTTGCCCTCACCCTACACCTGACAAAAAGTGATATCTAACCTTGTGCACATTGTGAAACGATTTCATAAATGACCTTGTTGTGTTTAGGAGACATTAAAAAGTATTTCTCTCCTTGATTTAAATGGAACAATGCTCTGTTAAAGAATTAATTTTTTGGTTCTGAAATAAATCTCTGTGTCTTAAAATGTTCTTAATATATTTAATGTATATTTGTATTATTTATGTAGGTGTTTCTCAGATAATAGTGGCTGTTAATAAAATGGATACTGTAGACTGGAGTCAAGAAAGATATAAACATATAATAAATACTATTGGACAGTTTTTAAAACAAGCTGGTTTCCGGGATAAAGATGTTTCCTTTATACCGTGTAGTGGTCTTGTTGGTATTAATTTAGCAAAGACAATAGATGAACCTAAATTATCATCATGGTATGATGGTCCAACATTAATATCTCAGATAGGTAGGTTCTTTATATTCACTCACTTTATGGAACACAATAAATCTGTTTCTAAAGCTAAAATGTTCATAAAGTGACTAATTTTGTAAGTAGTTTTGTATGTATTAAAGTGAATTGTTTTATGTATTAAAGTGAATTGTTTTATGTATTAAAGTGATTGTTTTGTAGCTATTAAAGTGAATAGGAATAAACTATTGCCTAATCCAATGTGGACTTATTTATACTAATGTGTATTTTTTTTTTTTAATTTCAGATCAGTTTAAATGTCTAGATCGTCCCATTGATAAACCATTTAGATTAAATGTTGCAGATATATTTAAAAGTGTTAGTGGTGGTTTCACCGTGTCTGGACGTGTTTGTGCAGGACATGTACAGGCTGGGGACAGAGTACTAGTTTTACCACATGGTTCACTAGCTAATGTTAAATGTAAGTTTACTATGATACACTGTTTCATCACATAATGTTTAAAGTAACTAGAATTATAGCGGGAGGAAGTTTGACTGGTCCTCTGTTGATTTTTGCAGGTGATTTTGGTATGTTCAGAATATGTGACATTGACTTTTTATTTCATACATTTCAGTTGTTTTAATAGATGAAGGTCCTACTAATGTAGCCTTTGCTGGTGATCATGTTACTCTATCTTTAATTGGTGTAGAAATGGCTCATGTTAATATTGGTATGTGTCCTTTTTCTTTTACATTGAATTAAATGACTAGTATGTGACTCAGTTCCTCTCATCTAAAGCACTGATATGTCATCTTTGAATCTGAAAATTTGCATGACAGGCTCATCAGTTTTCAGTGCGTTACCTGGTTGTTGTATATTACAAATTTAACATAGATACAATATACATGATATTATATGGAGATATTGATTTGATAAAAGATACATTATGGGAGATAAGATAAAGAGATGGCAGTTCTTGCTATAATAGTTAAAAACTAGATAGTGTAAAGGTAATTTGCTGAAAATTTCAGTCAAATTGATCCACTATGAGCCGAGAAAGAAGCGGGTGAAATTTTTGCATAGTCTCGGGCATCATTACTAAAATCATTAATATAAACAGCATAGTCTCGATTATCCACTTTTATTGATTTAATTATCAATAGCCGAAAGCGGCATATAGGAATCTAATCCAGCCAACATCGGAGGCTAACCTTGACATCGAGAGTTTATTATGGTCTGGATAAGTTAATTAATGTCTAATTGATAATTTAGATAACATTTCAGGCCTAAAGAAAGACTTGTAATAAGCAGATTTTGCTCTTGCATAATGCATGTTTAAGTTATTTACATATGAATGAGTAATCTGGTTTCCTCCACCGCTAAAGAATCCTGTGGATGTGAAATTCATTATTGTTGTCAACTAAGTTTCTTATCTGTGATATAAGATTAAAACAATTTAATATTAATTATAAATAATAATTTGTTGTATTGTAGGCAGTATGCTGTGTGATCCTCTTACACCATCCAAATGTGCTACAAAAATTTCAGCAAAAATTGTGATTTTTAACCTTGAGGTCCCAATTACGCGTGGATATCCAGTAAGTTTCTTGTAAACTCTTAACAGTCTTTATATGAACAAAATCTTGTACTCATCATAAAAAAATCTTACACTAAAAGACATGTTGTATTTATCTTGAAGCTGTCAGTGCTGCAGGATAGAGGGTCAGGCAAGGAAAAGCGTCTAACCATTCAGATTAAAGTCATGTGTATACCAATGGAAGCATGTCAAAGATCACACCCAATATTTTCATTTTTTTCCCATGTCAGTGAAAGAAACACTGTATTATGTGATTTCAGAGGTCAGAGTGCACATATATACTCTTCAAAAAAAAAGTAGGGGATATTGAAATGCAAATACCTATGCAGGTTGTGATATGATAAATAGTCACAGACACTTGACATGGTTTGAGAGTATGTTCACAGATGAAGAACTTATCGCCCCAACAGAACCACTGAGCTGCATGTGTGGCATGCAATAGCGCCATACACGTGGGAGGGGTTCATTGTCAAATTTGACACTTCAAGGAAGGGTTGATGAAAACTGCCGCTAGCTGGTTTATCCTATCTATATTTGCTTTCCTATCGGTTCTTGCATAAGATTTACTGTTAGCGTATCTTTGCTTTAGTGTGTTACATTTAATTTGATCGGGAGACGTGTTCGTCGACGTCAACTTCAACCTACAACACTGCGAGAATTGGCCGTGGCACTGCAAGAGGAGTGGGTCAGATTGCCCTAAATCGTGATTGGACCGTTGATTAAGAGCATGCCACGACAAATTGCTGAATGTCTGAGGATTGGTGGAGCAATTACTCATTATTAAGACAAAAATCAAAAACGTCCATTTTCACTATTGACAGTGTATCTCTTTGCGAGTGATGAACTGTTTATGTTCACGTGTAGGCAATTGGCCTATTATTAACATATACTGGTTACCTCTAATAAAAACAGCAGTGCATTTCCGCAGTTTTGTATTGTTTCTGAATATCCCCTACTTTTTTTGAAGAGTATATTACTAAAAGTATCTCTTCATATACTTTTGATTTATTTCTTTATTTATCAGGTTGTGTTCCACTATCAGTCTATAAATGAACCCGCCATAATAAAAAAGTTGGTTAGCCATTTAAATAAAAGTACTGGAGAAGTCATAAAAAATAAACCGAAGTAAGTAAAATAATTTATTTTTGTACTCCTATATATTTCTTGCGATATATGTGCCAGGGCCCGATTAAGATAGCAATGGCCCTGTAGCATAATGTCATAAAGGGGACCTAAATTTAAAAATACACATAAATAGTTAAAATACTTAATTGTGTATGCAAATACCTACATAATTTAGTTATGCGTTGTATATGTATAGGATATTAACCTACCCGAGGTTGATATGATAGAGAACATATGTGTGAAGCCCAAGTGTTCTCTATCATATCAATCCGAGAGAGAGAAGGTTTATATCCGACATATACAACGTCATAGTTTTAATCATCCTTAAATTAAATGGACTCTACCATTAAAAGTCAACAATGATTGGATAATTGCTCGATAGTAAATATAGGTTCAATTGAATTGAAAGCAAACACAAAATGGATAGTAATACGTTATCAGACGAATAATCAATTCGTTTAAGCCAACAGATTGACAGTGGAAAAGATGTGAATGCAAATTCCGACAAGGATCTACTAGTTGCTAGCCAAAGGCTGAAGAAAATTTGGATCAAAAGGCAATCTTTTCTGATAATACTGACATTGAACCGTGAAGGTTTTCGGTATGTTCTGAGAAGGATTTTGACCGAGTGTTAAGTGGACTGTACCCAAAAATACTTTACCAAGGAACTCTTGGGCTATAAATACTTTCAAGTCTTGGAGTGTGTGGAGATTTAATCGAAATGTGGACGAAAAGAAAACCGATCTAAATATGCTGATAAGTACTCCGTCTATTTCGGTGCTGAATGCTACAAACTGTACCATAAAAAATTTTAATTGTCAAAAGAATAAAAATTTATTTCTGTGTTCTTTGTATTATTTCAACGTGGGGGGTTGGATGGCTGAATGGTTAGCATGTACGGGCTGTATCATAAAGTCTGTCATTGGGTCAACTGGCAGGGTTTCGATTCCCTGGTTGTACGTGACAAGCCGTAGGGTCGCCTGTCTAACCTCGTGGGTTTTCTCTGGGTCCTCCGGTTTCCTCCCACTGCTAAAGACCCCTACGCGCAAGCGAATTATGGAAATAAAATTGAACCATATGTTAGTCCCGAAATGACCTAGTTTGTGTCGAGTGGACGTTAAACCCCATATATCAACCTGAGATGACGTCATGACAGATTGATATGAACCGAATATATCAACCTATGATGACGTCATGACAGGTAAATATGAGATATAACTGCTATACACATCAAAGAAAAAACTACCGCCAGTTGTATGTGTGTGTATCAGTGATGGGATTTCAAAAATTTTCTTGTCAGACATTTTTTCTTGAAAATAAAGGGGCATAACTCTTATCGTTATTTAAGCAGGCGTTTTCAAACCACAATTAAGAAGCATGTGTCAACAAAATATTCAAATTCATATGTAATTTAAAATGGGTGCACCTCGTTATTTTTCATGTTTAATTCCTGTACGGTATTCAAACTTATGTCAATAATATTGCTACAAAATTATGTGACATCGTAATACCATAGAATGAAAGCGTGCCTACTATTGCTGATCCCTACCTGTTTCAAATTCATCCAAAATTAGGGTATTTTTTTGGTCATAAGTTGATACATTTTTCAGCAGAAGTCCGGCATTCGTGTTATACTCCATTTCGAGTTATAATATATACGAAAGGTTGTGGACCCTATAGAGGTCACATTTTTGATCCAATTTCAATGAAACTTGAAATACATCTTTATAACCCAAAGATATTGTTTCCTTTCGATATTAGTACATATCGGATCGTAACTTCCTGAATGAACAACAAATCACGTTTTTAGCTTGTGGTCCCTGTTGAGGTCACAATTTTTATCCGATTTAAAAAAAAAACGTTTGAATATATCACCATTACACACTAAGATCTTGGTTCCTTTTGATAATCGTGGATACCAGAACTTAACTTCCTGGATTATGGCCCTTGATTGTTTGAAAAATCGCATTTTGATATTTGCACATTTCAGACCATAACTTTCTGGATTATTGCCTCAGATTGTACAAAAAAGCGTGTTTTTAGCTTGTTCTCTATCCATCTCTTGCAAAATGTGGCCATATCCTGCCTGGCAGCCGCTGGTTGTTCTTAGCTGTTCTCTATCTATCTCTTGCAAAATGTGGGCATATCCTGCCTGGCAGCTGCTGGTTTGGAAAAAGTATGAAAATGTAGGTACACTATATCTCTGATAATAATAAAGATAAATGTCTCAATTTCGAACTGCTTATTCTTTAATGATAACCCTAAGACCAAGCAGATAGTTTTTCTCTATAATTTTTATAGTTTCTTGGAAAATGATGTTTAAAACATTTGCCTCACTACAATATTTTCTCTTTGGAGTAATATTTTGATAACTTTTGAAATATGAATGATAATTCAGATTGCTTTCTGTCTGATTCTGTGATCTATATTAGTCTATATACCCTGCAAATCTGGTGAAGATATCTTAATTAGTTACAGAGCTATAGCGTACTTACATTTTTCATAATTTTTCCCCCCAAAATGAGTTACCCTGGCAACAACTTTTTTTTAATGTTAATTTTCCCTTGTTTAATACATTTTCTAACTAATTGTACTATTTTCAATTCAATAGCTTTAACGTTTCAGAACAAAACTTTTCGGTTAGCCTCCCCCCTTAATCCGGCACTACCATTGTCCAAAAACTCATTAAACAGGGAAATCTGTCTCGAGTCAATTGATCTAGTTTCAATCCCAGGATTAGGGTCTAACCTTAAAGTTTTCCTCCAACCGCTAAAACCACCTATGCACTAGTAAATTATTGAAATGAAAGCGTACCAGATGTAATTCACAAAATAACCCAGTTCATTTATTGGACAATTAACCATATTTCTCATTATGGGGTGGTAATAAATGGAAGTGGTATCTGACTGGGATGTATTTCTAGCCTCAGTGGTGAATTTTTTCATGTTGAGATCATAGAAAAATCACACTGAGATAATAGTCCAGATCGACCAAATTATTTTTTTTAACATAAAAATGTGATTGACCATATTGCGTTTCACTTGTCAAGTAATTTGTTCTGTTTTAAATTGTAGATGTATTGGTAAAAATACTAGTGCTGTTGTAGAAATAGAGTTTGAAAGATCTACATGTGTAGAATTATATAAGGAATTTAAAGATTTAGGAAGATTTATGTTGAGAAATAATGGTCACACAATTGCGGCAGGTGTAGTTGAAGAGGTAATTTCTGTCTATTCTTACCCGTATGATAGAAATCTTCAGTACTGGTACTGGATTTGGAAGAATGTTGCTTCATTTCTCAATAAAAGATAAACCATCGTGTAATCCTTAGTGTTCGCAGGCCCTGTTGGGCGTTGTTGTTCTTCTTGGTGTTTAACGTCTGTTTCCACTGAGGGTGATATCGCAGACAAGTTGTCATATTTTCATTTTTATTAGCGCACCTGCAGTGGTCTCTCCTGTGTTAGGAAACCGGAGTAAACTCACGAGGTTCAGAAGTTGCCCCTATCTCCAAGCCACATACGCTTACACCAGGGATCAAAACCATGACCTCCATCCCAACCTCCCTGCTTGTATCGTCTGCTGTCCATCCAAGCAAATTACAAATCAATGCTTTGTTTGTATTCTAACTCTACAAATCAGTTGATATTTATGTATAAAAAGTGTTTTCATATTAACTTTTCATACTTTGAAGGAACTTTTAATTTGTTGGATAGGAAGTGAATATGAATACAAAATTTCATGAATAACAATTGTCTGATTTATAGTTTTAGAGCAGAAGCAAAATTTTTATTTGTAATGCATATGTTGGAGAGTGTAGTTATTATTGAAAGAACAGCTACAGCACACTCCACATCAGTACATAATCAACTCTATGTGAATTACTTTACTAGAGAACTTACTATACTATTCAAAAAAAGTAGGGGATATTTGATTTTGGGGGCATAATACTAAAATATGCAAATGACTACGAAAAAAGTCACTATAGAACCTAACAGAAGAAACATTTCCAGTTACATGTGACGCCCAAACGCACCAATAGCTACCGCATGGAATGCAGGTGATGCTTGGGATCATCATGGGGGTCCAACCCAAGATTTGCACGACTCTGACTTTGAATGTTACAGTCATTGTGGCATTGAATTCCAGGGTGGAAACATCAGTTTAATTGTTTTAGTGACCAGAAAACAAATTTTGATATGCGTCGGCTTACCCAAAATGAAAGGTTACGTGCCCTTGGCATGCTACAGATCGGCACAACACAGGCGGTTGTGGCGCGGACGATGAATGTTTCTCAGTCTGTCATAAGCAGGCTATGGTCCAGATACCGTGATACACAATCTGTACAGGACAGACCACGCTCAGGTCGACCAAGGGCGACAACTCAAGCCCAGGATCGATTTATCCGTACCTTGGCCTTGAGAAATCGTGTCATCACAGCAAATCAGATCAGCGCTCGTCTTCAAACAGACACTGGTGTGAGAGTGAGTGGCCAGACGATTCGGAATCGACTGCATAGGGGTCACCTTCGCGCCCGACGTCCTCGCGTGATCCCTTGTTTGAGAGATCATCACATTCAGGCAAGACGTCGTTGGTGTAGGGATCGTCAACACTGGGATAATCGACGCTGGAGCAATGTGATGTTTTCAGATGAGTCAAGGTTCACTGTTGATTTTTTGGACAGACGTAGGAGGGTGTGGCGTCGTCGAAACGAGCGCTTCCAAGACGTTAACGTCATCAGACATGATCGATTTGGGGGTGGTTCTGTTATGGTGTGGGGAGGCATCACTGTTGCTGGAAGAACGGCTTTACATGTTGTTGCAGGGCGTGTTACTGGCCAGAACTACCGGGACAACATCTTGGCAGTCCATGTTGTGCCGTTCGCACGACGTCATGGCCGCCGTTTCATCTTCCCGGATGACAACGCAAGATGTCACAGGGCCAGGATCGTTACAGGTTACCTCCAACAACAGAACATCACCACATTACCTTGGCCAGCACTGAGTCCCGACCTCTCCCCCATCGAGCATGTCTGGGACATGCTTGGACAGAGGTTACGTCAACGTCAACAACGTCCTGCCAATGTCCAAGAACTTGCTGCTGCGTTGCAACAGGAATGGGACAATCTGGACCAAAATGACCTTAGACGTCTCATTAGGAGTATGCCACGTCGGATCAATGCTTGTTTGGCAAACAGAGGAGGATTTACCCGTTACTGACTTGGTTGTGATGCTGTGGTAACTTTGCTGTTTGACCCCGGGTATCATTTTACCCTTATAATGGTCAGTCTGTGCCTTACTTAGTCTAAGGATCATTTGGAATAAATCGATGAATGTGAACTTCATTTCATTTTGTCATTTGTTTCTTTGTCAGTTTCATTAGGTGACTTTAATAACACTTAAAAATCAAATATCCCCTACTTTTTTTGAATAGTATATATTTAATTTTAGTCTCTTGCAATAATATGTTAACGTAATGAAGATGAATTCTTTGATATTTCAGATCTTACAGTCTAAAGCTAAAAGTGATGAATAAATGACAAATGAATATTACAATAATTATGTAAATTAAATTGGTTTGATTGTTTAAGCTATGCAAATTTATTTAAGATTGATATTGAATGAATTGTAATTCTTCTAAATACAATGTTTACTATTGTAATTAATTGATTTTACTTGAAGTAAATGAACTGCTATTTATTAGGATCTCATTATACAGATTTCTGGTTTTATTGTGTTATGGGATTTTTCTTGGTTTTATTTAAGTGTAAATTGTGCAGTAAAATGCATCTCAGCAGTGAATTAAATTAACAATAATGTTATATGATTAGAAACATTATTAACCCTCCAGGAGTCTATGTATTTCAGTTTGATGAGGTATGGAAAGAATTACTATTAAGTCAAAAATATTATCTACATGTCAGTGTAATATATAGGATACAATAAAATTATATCCAATACGATTTATACATTATTTTTTATACGCCAACAATTTCATGTGGATGTATATTGTGGTCGCCCCTGTGTGCCCACAATTTGTTTGTGGACACTCTACAGGTCACAATTTTTATACGCCCACATTGAAATGTGGTCGTATATTGTCGTAGCCTCAGTCGATCTGGCGTCCACAATTGCTTGTGGACGCTCTAGAGGCTAAAGTTAATATCCAATTGATTTTAAATTTATTCACAGTGTTTAAGGTCATGAGACAAAGAAGCCTATTGATTTTCAGTAATTTCAGATAATTACTGTCAGAGTTATGTCCCTTGATCACTTTGAAAATTCTTGTTGACACTCTAGAAGCCAAAGTTAATATCTGATTGACTTTAAATTGATACACAGTGTTTAAGGTCATGAGAAGAAAAATCCTATTGATTTTCAGCAATTTCCAATAATTACTGCCAGAGTTATGGCCCTTGATCACTTCAAAAAATCTTGTGAACGCTCTAGAGGCCAAAGTTAATATCCGATTGACTTTACATTTACACACAGTGTTTAAGGTCATGAAACGAAGGGGCCTATTGATTTTCAACGATTTCCGATAATTACTGCCAGAGTTATGGCCTTTGATCCCTTTGAAAAATCTTGTGGACGCTCTAGAGGCTAAAGTTTATATTGGGTTTATATTAATTTTATACGCAGTGTTTGAGGTCATGAGACGAAGGATCCTATTGATTTTCAACGATTTCCGATAATTACTGACAAATGATTTTCAATGAATTTTGATAACTTGAACAGCTAAATCCATGATATTAAATGTTTCATATACTAAACATTAGCATGGGGCAGAACTTTTTAAAAACCAAACAAATTCTAATGATTTTCTGATAATTACTTAATGAGTTGTTACTCTTAATCAGATTTTAGTGTATTATAAATGTTTCATTACCGAAAAAAGTAAAAATATGCGACAACTCTTGTTGACTGCCCGGACGATTTAGGTGCTGTGGGTCGTATGTTTCGTTGCCTGGCAACCTATCTTTATCTGGTTTTGATCTTGGTTTATTTCGATATTGGTATGTATCAGACCGAAACTTCATGGATTATGGCCCCTGATTGTACGAAAAATCACGTTTATAGCTTGTGGACACTCTAGAGGTCACAATTTTTATCCGATTTAGATGAAACTTGAAACTGTGTTTATAACCCAAAGATCTTGGTTCCTTTTGATATTCGCGCATATTGGACTGCAAATTCATGGATTATGGCCCCTGATTGTACGAAAAATCGTGTTTTTAGATTGTGGTCGCCCTAGAGGTCACAATATTTAAAAAAAACCACTCAAATATATTACTGTTGCAGCATAATGATGATTGATTTTGAATTTTGTGAAAATCAGACCGAAACTGCCCGACAAAAGAGTGTAAGAGTATGGTACAGATCACAATTTTGATGAAACTTTAAATTTATGTTTATGTCACGAAGATCTCGGATCTTTTCGATATTCACACAATGGGTCTGTAACTTCCTGGATTATGGCCCCTGATTGTACAAAAAAATCCTGATTTAGCTTGTGGACCCGCTATAAGTCACAATTTGAATTCAGTTTTTAAAACAGTTCAAACATATCACCGTTTGTTGTACAATAGCAGTTCATATAAAATGCTGTCTCCATTTTTGAAAATTACAAAAAAAGAAAGGCCCGAAAAGTGTGAAAATGGAATGAAATGGAGTTAAAAGTCGTGGGCTAATGAAGACGAGCAAAGTGTGGGAATCTGCCCACACACATCTATGTCTTGATAAATCCCTTATAAATCCATTTGACCAAAATCCCTTTTTTTCTGCTCACATTCTATGAATGTTGTTGTTGTAAAAGGCTTAGGTGTAAAACAATGCTGTTATAAAACCAATATCTTAGTAATTCATCAGTCTGAGTGTTGTGCAGCATTTCCATGTGGCCTCATGACGAAAATTGTTCCTTTTTGATGATATGTTAGCCATTTCATTTGAGGTTGTAGATGGATGGATTGCATAAATGCGGGAAATTACTGCAATAGAAATGCCAGCGACGATTTATGGTCGGTCTAGACCTATATTATCACCAAAAAGAAAAGACCCAGTCCGAAATCCGTGTCAAATTGGCCGCTGGTTTTGGCTTGTAAATTTCAATTTCTACCCAATTATCATAATATGATCGAGTTTGGTATCAAAATATATGTTTTCGGGGTAACTGAATCCATTTCCATACATACTTTTGTGATACGTGTTACCGCTGAGTCAATATTGGGAGTTATTCAAGATGGCAGACAGTTTTGGCGGGAAAGTTCGAATTTTACATAAGGATCAGTTTTGGTGTCAAAATATACGTTTTCGAGGAAGCTGAATCCATTTTTGTACATATTTTAGTGATTAAGTGATTCCCTGTGTCAATATAGGAAAAATTCCAATTAGGGATTTAGATTACCGATTTGGGAATGGAGGTTAAATACTCCTACTTAAAGCTAATACAATGACATTCATCAAGTATCAACTCGGGCACGGATCCAGGATTTTTTGCGGGGGGGGGTCTAGGTTGGATAATTGCTTAAATAATTGCGGTGAAGGCGCTAAACGTTGTAACGGGGGGTCTGGGGGCTCTCCCCTAGAAAAATTTGGTAAATTAGATTCAATTTGGTGCATTCTGATGTATTTCCAGAAGGTAAATTCCAAATCGCCAATAAAATCGCATAAAATGTCCTTAAAATGTTGATGGGGAATGCTCCCTTCACAGGTGAGGATTGATGATGAATTTAGTTTATTGTTAATCTCTAATTACCCGATTTTAAACACACGCAGCAATTGTTTTAAATGCGCGTATAAAAATGTCTTACGAATGACGACCTGTAGTAGGCCTACCTTCCACTGTTTCGCGGTAAGGGCATGTTCCAAGTTCACCTAAGACATTCTCTTCAGGTAATATTAATAATAATAATAATAATAATAAAACATAAGCGGTGAATATGTTATGTATCAAATTTTTAAAAAAATCTTATAAATTCCGCTGGCATATTTTTTTTTGTTTTTTTAAATTTGATAAAATAAATGACCAGGTTTTTTTTCTTATCAACGCTACGATAAAATTAAAAAGCAATCACAACAATATTCAACGTCAACAGGCGAATTTATGCTGTCAACATTTTTGGATTGCTAGAGCTGTATGTGACTATTTGTTTTTGCCCACAATGGAATGAAGTCATGACTCAACTCAGTGTATACAAACTCGCAATTTTTGGGTCAGATTCAGGCTTTTAGATTGAAGTTTCTCGGACCCTTCAAATATTCACGCCTGAATTGTTATCTCCGCTCATTATTGAACTTGGGGGGTTGGATGGCCAAATGGTTAGCACGCGGGCGCTGTATCATACAGTCGGTCATTGAATCAACTGGCGGGGTTTCGATTACCCGGTTGTACGTGACAAAGAGTAGGTCGCCTGTCCAACCTCGTGGGTTTTATCCGGGTCCTCCCACTGCTAAAGACCCCTATGCGCAAGCAAATTATTGAAATAAAATTGAACCATGTGTTAGTCCCGAAATGACCTAGTTTGTGTCAAGTGGATGTTAAACCCCATTTCTCTCTCTCTCTCATTATTGAACTTAGGCCAGGGATCTTAATCGGCTCATTGTCGGCATCCAATACCCGTTGCCTTTCCGTCATTTTCGGAATGGCGATAGGCAGTGCATTATCAAATAGTTCACTGCATATCGGGATCCATCTGTGTCGTATTATTTGAATCATTTTGTGAAATAAATTCGCTGCCTGCTTCAATAGGTTTGGTTATCCACATATTCTGATCTAGGGGAACCAGTTATTACCAAAATGAGAAAATGAGTCGAAAATGGAATCAGCTGCCTCCAATATGTATATTTTGACCCCAAATGTGGTCGTTTTGTAAAATTCGAATTTTCCCTCCAAAACTGGCTGCCATCTGGAGTTATTTCCCAATACTGACTCCGCGGTATAATTATTCACCAAAATGTGTATGGAAATGGATTCAGCTTCCCCGAAAGGATACATTTTGATACCAACAGGGCCGTATGTAGAATTTTAAAAGTGGGGGTGCAGCGCCAAAATAATGCCAAAGTTACCCATTGGAATGTGGGCGCCCTTAAAAAAAGACCGACTGATCAGTGCCTTAAGAGAATCACTCTGTGATCATAATCAAGTGTATTATTTTATGATTGAAAGGTTATCAATTTTTTTTTTTTTTTTGGGGGGGGGGCACCGTTTCTCTGGGCGCCATATTTTTCTGGGGGTGCAATGTACACCCTGCACACCCGCTAGGTAAGGCCCCGATACCAAGCTCCATCATATTATGATAATTGGACACAAATTGACATTTTCCAGTCAAAACCGACAGCCATTTTGAATTTTGGCCAATTTGACCCATTGATGTTGCCTATATAATAGCATTGTCTTACACCTAAGCCTTCTCAAACAACGGCTTTGATAGAATATGAGCAGAAAAAAACAGGATTTTGTTTGACCTCATATTTAGACCCTTTGCGGTAGCTCAATTTCAGATAACCCTAAGGAAATGCAATACGTTTTCTTAGGGTTATTCTGCAATTTGACCCTACTACCTTACTCTTAATCAGATTTTAGTGTATTATAAATGTTTCATTACCGAAAAAAGGAAAAATATGCGACAACTCTTGTTGACTGCCCGGACGATTTGGCTGCTGTGGACATATGTTTCATTGCCTGGCAACCCATCTTTCCTGTTCCCCATCCATCTCTTGCAAAATGTGTGCATATTATCTTGCATGGCAATCACTTGTAGGAATCTTAAATATTATTCTGAATAATATATGCTACAGAACAAGAAATGTTTGTTGTTTAAGTCTATTGAAGGGAATTGAATCTTAACCCTATTGCATGAATCTGACCACAACCCAAAAATTGTGAAAAGGCATCCCTGCATGGTTCTTCCCGATTTTCTAATGAACAATTCCCGTAATCTCAAGTCTGAAGCATCCCTACAAATTTGATGTGTTGAACATCATGCACCGAACCCTTGTTATGTAAATCTGAAACAAAGGAAAGTAACTACAGCTGCTTCATGGATTGATATATATATATAATATATATAATGCTTTATTTTATTGAATGTTCTACAGAACCATATCTGTATGAAGATCATTAAACAATCAATACACCAATAGGGTGAATGACATCTTATTGGTGCTAATTGTAAGTAGTAATAAATACAGCTTTAGTAACAGAATACATCCTGCTGTATTTAAACTGGTATCCCTTTACCTATTAATCCTAATCCCCCAACACCTTATTAAAGCTATCAGTATTTTCATAAGATAACATATAATACAAGAAGCCTTTCCAGATGATTCATTTCATTGTACACTATGTGTTAAACAATTAATCATTAATTTCAAATTTAATAACATCTGAAAAGGCAGAAGAAAAAAAAAAATTAATGTCTTGTCTATAATACAATAAACATTATAATTTAACAGAGAACATAATCAAACAACAAATTGCATTATCTCTAAACACCACACTGTCTACAAAAAGCTTTACCGTTTCACATATAAAACAAAATAAGCACAACAGTTACATAATTTGCAAAATGTACATGCATCAGTTTAGAAATTAAGACGACTATGGAGAACAAAGAATAGGATAACCACATGGATATCAGCTGCTCAGGTTAATATCCCTGATCAGGAATAAAGAATAATATTGAAATTATTTACTTAATGAATAGACAAACTGAAACAATCGATAAACTATATTGGTTTCACGCACAATTGATAAAATGGTTTTGTGCTGAATAACTTAAGCCAAGTAACATGCATAAATTTAACTTTACCAATATACAATAATTTATTATACATTTTAATTAGCACTAATCATTTCATTCCCATTTAATTAAGTTGTCTATACCATATCTTAATGTTTTAACCCCCCAAAAAATAGAGGACACTTGCATATTTATCTTTTTATAAAGCATCTAGCAATAAAACTGTTCATCATTCTGCAGAAAATGCTGATTATCAACCTTGATTACAGTACTGATGTAACAAAACTATACACACATCACTGCCCTTTAATTAGGAACAGAGTTATTGTGTTTATAGTCTTGACTAATCAAATTGATTATAATCAAATTGATTACATAAAATGTTTGAACATTCTACCTCAATTAAAAGAGTTACTGTGCTGCAAAAGGTGTAATGGGCAGCAGAGTTATTGTGTCTAAAAGTATTGATCATAAAATCTGTTTAGCCTAGCTGAAAATGTTTGAACATTCTGTCTCAAAGAGTGTGATGGACAAACCTTTTTTCATAGTCAAGAACAAAAGTAATACCGACATAATATGGAGGTCTTGCTAATTTTTTATTTGAACAGTTACTGTGTGGAAGACAACAATAAAGTAAACTAAGACGATGCATATTAAAGCGATCAATAACTGGATTCTTTGCAAAACAAATTCACTAATATTTCTCTTTATAATATATATTATTAATAACAATTGCTACATTGAAATTGCAGAGATTGTAGTTTGAGTAAATTGAGGTATATAGAGTTCTAGCATAAATAAAATATATAATTACAAGTACCTTTATAAAATACCAATGTTGGGAGTAAGATTTGTCTTGAAGTGAAGAATAAAATTTCTGCTGGTTATTAACCATCTTATATAATTATGTTGTATCAAATTGAAACTTTACAAGGAGACACTAAATTTGGAAGATGGATGATATTGTGAAATCCGACAAAAACATTTATGTACAATAAGGATGATATTGATAAAAAATATAGATTGAGAAATTATGATCCTTGGACAAGAAAATAAAACTTTGTATAACACCATTGGAAAATATCTCTCTACATCATTTATTTTATGTAAGGAAGATTTACCTTGCATATTTAAGTAGTTTGGGAAAACGAGTGCTTTATTATTTGTTTTCAACTGATTCAATTTCATTTCACGGAATCATTCGTTATTCTTGAATATCATGTCTTTACTAACAATAGCTGCATTCATTGCCTTAAAAATATATTCCTTTGGGACTAATTACCAGTATGTGACTACTTTATATTTAGATTACAAAGAAAATGAGACAGTTCAGGAATAATGGCTGCATAAAATCTACATTTTTATTTATCTAGTTCAGAAAAACAGTTGAAATTTAAGTAAGGAAACATATGTAAGGAACATATTTTTCGATTGTTTGTATAGCTTAACGTCCGCTTGCACAAAAGGATAAGATCACAGACAATGTAACATATCTCTAATAACTTTACCTTCATACAGTATACCAATAAACCAACCCATGGTTCAAACAAGCAATCAACAAAAGGACAGTAATTCTGTCATTGATACAAGTATGATACATAACACACTAAAATTTCTATTTTACATAAAAATATTGTACATAATTTCATGTTATCTACATTGTATAAAACATATATATATTCAATTCCCTTCCTAAATGTATACAAGTATTTTGTCTTTAACAACTCTTTACAAACACCACATCAAAAATAAAATATTTATTATGACGTTAATATGATAAATCCCATTCTTTCACCTAACAAGGATGGGATGCATGATTTGACGTATCTTTATACAAATGTGCAAACTTAGATACAATGTAGGATATTACATCATTACCAACAGTGATAATTGTTTTAAATCTAATTGATTTCAAATCTGTCAATGTAAAATTGCAGTTCTTCATATGTTATCACACTACAAAATAGCCATTTCAAAGATGTTCTAATGCTGTATAATCGATTCAGTTTTGAGCAACCAAATTCTTTCAATCATGGAATGTGTCTACAGATAGAATATAATTTAACAGTTTATAATATCTTTTATTTGGTTATAATATCTGAGACACGTTAAAATGAACTAAGGAATATGATGTGAGTGACTGATACAAAATAACAAAGAAAGGCTGTAAAATGGTTTAAATTTGAGACAGTTGTTTAAATGAAAATAGATTCACATTTTGTCTTTTGGTCTACCATTATTTAATCTAAAGACAATTGTTACTCCACTAATACATATTGTCAAGATTTTTCCCCACCATAATTTTTTGGATTCAGAACTATTCCATGCCATGAGTGACCTTGACATTTCCTTTGCGTCCTGTGCAGCATGTCTAATTCAATTTTGTAACAATAATGAACATCAGACCATCAGATATAGAATGATCACGAGACAAGCTGAAGACTACTGACAACTGGTATATATGTAGAGTAGATTAACTTTAACAATAGTAAGGTACTTATACTGATTTCATAATTATCATAAATCTATAAGATACATATAGGGTATATTTGCAAATACATACGTCTATTAACAGATGACTTGCAAGGACGGAGAGATAAATTATTACAGCGGCACATGTGTTTTTACAAATAATTTTAATTTCTCATCTGCAATTTTTTTAAACATAGAAACTCATTATCCTAAAATGCTAAAACAAAAGCAAAAGCCTTAGAATCATTTTAAACCTAGGAAATAAATAGATCTGTTGTCTTAATTGAAATCATTATCAGGTAGAAAAATAGGTTCTCAAGGAAAACTTAATAAATGGACATGGCTTGGTATTTGTTTTCTAAAAAACATTTTAAGAAAAACAATCCAATAATGTTAAGTTATAGTAAACGAAGTATGTTATATCAAGAAAATATCTTATAATACGAGGTACTTCACACTTTCGTTCAACGAAACCAACTGGATGAGCTTAACATGAATGATTGATGAAAGAAAATGATGCAATATAAATCAGACACAACCAGTATGCAAATTCAAAAAAAATAATATTCAAATAAATCATTATATGATTTTTATTACTTTGCCTAGTCAATCAACAGTGTTTTTAACATTATACAATAGGAAAAACTTCAATCATTTTGTATCAGGTGACTAGCTGTCGGTTGAAACCCACAAGAAATATCTAGGTAGAATGATTGGCAACTGACTTGACATAATTTCAAATTTCTACCATTGAATCAAATCTTGTATTTCCTTAAAAGGAAATTTCTAGACAACTGTTTTTGAATATCCAAAACTGGACAATGTGTCCTTGGCTGTAATTCAAGGGATTAACTTTTTAAAGCCATTGGATTTTAATTTTAATATACATCCACCTAATTTTCTCGTCTTGCTTTTTTCTTCTTGGTTTTTGGAGCATCTTGCCAAGAGGCTGAAATAAAAAAGTATAATTTTTTGCAACAGTTTTAATAATGGCAATTCCCTCCATGACGGGCCAATTCTCCAATTTGGAGATAATACAATATGGATTTTGTATGGGGTATGACTTGAAGAGAAATCCAAGCAAATCTTAAAATCCTTGTATACCATTGACACACTTCTGAAATCGAATTATTATTGAAGAAAAAATAAAGAATTTCCATCAATATCCCAGTCCTGTATTACATTTACAATGAGTAGATATTAGAAAGTCAATAACGTGAAGATTATAGTTGGTTATTGTATATGTGTATTGATTAATTATCGAGTGAATAAACAAAACTAACCAGGTGTGTTGGCTAATTCATCAAATACTACTGGTTCATTCGATCCACTAACTTTTTTATTTTCAACTGGAGTAGCACTAACTTTTTTATTTTCAACTGGAGTAGTTTCAGCTTTAGGTAATACTTCAGTTGCTTCTATAATATAGAACAAACAATCATATAAGAGATTGAACAGAACATAATTATTGATTGAAATGTATTAACATTATTATTGATCAAAATGTATTAACATTATTTATTGATTAAAATGTATTATCATTATTATGTATTAAAATACTGTGACACTCCATACAATAAAGATACTATAATACAGATTACATATCACCTCATATATATATTTGCTTTTACCTTTAGGAGGACTGGGTGTTTTATCTTCTTTTTCCTTTTTACCTATTGGTTTTATCTCAGTAAATTTCTCTTCAAAAGCAGGCAGTGTATCTTCTGCAATTGGCTGAATAAAATAATGACAATGATTACAGAGTGATATAAGCCAATAACACATAAATATACCACTATTAGAATATCAACTTTAAAGGCTCAATACCACTCTTGTTGTAACTGAATAATATGTCCCAATCTTTATTCTGGTCAACAAATTGTACTATTTTACAATATTCCAATTAATTGGTGATACAAATTTCATCTTAACACACCTAATTTAAAAAATTGGAAAAATTCAACTAAATGATTTGAAAAGCATAACGTAAACCTTTTCTAATGTGACCTGGATTTAAAAATATTTTCGAACCCTCTGGACAAGTAAAATAGGATGTAATGGATAATTTACACAACAGGTAGGACACTTAACCATCTAGTACTTAGAATAGGGCTATTATTTATTTTCTGGAGCTGTCAAGCCAGCAAGAGTGTTATTGTCCCTTTAAACAAGTAAACAATGAGGGTGATGACACAAATCGCACTGTTATCTTTTTGTAAAACATCAAGCAATGAAACTGCGTATATATGCTTATTCATTTCATTGTAAAGAGAAATGGGGTTTAACGTCCATTCAAGGCTAATCATGTCATTTTGGGAATAAAATATGGTACACATACTGTTTTACTTTAAAAACTACTCTGCGAAAGCATGTGAAAAAAAAAAGACACCCAGAGAAATCCTAAGTAATTAGCATTAAAAAAACCCCAAAAAACGGGATATAACTTGTGACTTGTAAAGATAATACTAAAAGGCCTCATGATATACAGCACATTTTCTTTAGACCACTCAGTCACTAAACCCCTCTAGAATAAACAAGCCAACAGTGAGGCTGATGTCCCCCGCCGAAATAGGAAAATAATTAGAGGACACATATAAAAATCAAATTGCGTATCGCTCTGCTTACCCTGAGCAGAAAATGCTCATTATCAAACTTAGTCAAGGTATTACTGTAATGAAACTATACACCAAGTTTCATCAATCTCACTTAATTAGAACTAAAGTTATCGTGTCCCAAAGCATCAACCAATCAAATTGCTTATCTCTGCTTACCCTAAGCGGAAAATGCTCATCTTCGAACTCCATCAAGGCATTGACCTAATCAACACATACACCAAGTTTGAACATTCTAGCCCAATTAGGAAGAGAGTTATCGTGTCCCAAAGCATCAACCAATCAAATTGCTTATCTCTGCTTACCCTAAGCGGAAAATGCTCATCTTCGAACTCCATCAAGGCATTGACCTAATAAACACATACACCAAGTTTGAACATTCTAGCTCAATTAAAAGTTATCGTGTCCCAAAGCATCAACCAATCAAATTGCTTATCTCTGCTTACCCTAAGCGGAAAATGCTCATCTTCGAACTCCATCAAGGCATTGACCTAATCAACACATACACCAAGTTTGAACATTCTAGCCCAATTAGGAAGAGAGTTATCGTGTCCCAAAGCATCAACCAATCAAATTGCTTATCTCTGCTTACCCTAAGCGGAAAATGCTCATCTTCGAACTCCATCAAGGCATTGACCTAATAAACACATACACCAAGTTTGAACATTCTAGCTCAATTAGGAAGAGAGTTATTGTGTCCCAAAAAGTGTGACGGACAGACAGACGGACAGACGGACGGACGGACGGACGGACGGACGGACGGACGGACGGACGGACAGACAGACAGACAGACAGACAGACAGACAGACAGACAGACAGACAGACAGACAGACAGACAGACAGACAGACAGACAGACAGACAGACAGACAGACGGACGAACCCATTTTAATAGTCCCCTGCTTTCTTCGAAAGGCGGGGGACAATAAAAGAACATTGTCAGAAAGCTCAGAAAATGAAACTAAGTTAACATTATTGTAGGATATTCATGACTCGAAATGTTCGCCTGTCTACTTGTCCCTGACAACAGCTGGGCTAAATTTTATTTGATGTTCAGTAAATTGACACAAGAGGTTAGACCACAATACTCACGTCCACGTCACGTACATTTAATTATTCGTTTTTAAAAGCAAGAATTAAGCACGGAAATACGGCGAAAAGCCACCATTTGCACAGTTTACATTTCGCTCTGTCGCAGGCTACAGTTACTCTCACAGTTTGGAAGTTAAAAATTTTATAACAATGAATTTCACACCATCTACGCTTGTTTTCATCTGCTTGACACTAGATTATAGCATATTATGAAGTATTATATCTACATAAATTAAAATGCACCCTCAAGTCATCTGAAATAATTCTACCGTAAAGACACCACAGTAAATATAGTGGTGGCTGGAATGGAAATGCACATGGCTCATTGCCTGGTGTATTTAATCATTTAAAAAGTTTAAAACAATTTCCACAAATAAAGGCTATGAATAATTTATAAGACAATTTGACCAAATCAAATAATTAGGTCGGCAAAATATTTCATATATAAATATAATTTGCAGCGTAAATATTAGACAGGATATGTGAAAAAGGAATTCCAGGGGGGCGTTACCTGTCCTCTGCACGTGGTACATGTAAATACGGTATCATGCACAAGTGTGATTTGTGTTTTGATATTCAATTTATTACGGATATTTTAAAATCTGAATTCTACACCTCAACGGCGAAGTATTCGATTTAGTACATAAGTTGTGGTACCATGATACTTGGCAGAATTCACGTGGATACGGATGATAGAATTGTACGCATCTTTGACTCGTTGAGCCAAAGCAGATTCGCCGACTTTCAAAATTTTTTAGGCATTCTGATGGCGAAGAAATGAACAGGTTTCATATTACGATATATTTATATGGAGCAATGTACATCAAGAAATAAACAATTTAAGAGGGTGTGTGTACCTACATGTATGGATATGTGTGAAGTGATTGGTCTTTGATAATTGAAAGTGACAGGTTATTTACTGAAGCGACAGGTATGAAGAAAAGCTGTCAGCTTTTTTTAAACATTCCGAGGCCTGATATTACAAACAGCACTATTCCACGGTACTCTTACCTCGTGTGTATTTTTCTTAGACCTAGGCTTTTTAGGACTAGTAGTCTGGGCTTCTGGTTTACTATCATACATTATAGGCTGGAATTCTTCAGCTTCAGCACTTAGTTTTTTACCTTTACTTTTCTTCTTATTAGGGCTAGCTGGTGTATTTTCCTGTAAAATATCAAAATTGGATTATACTTTCCTCTAGAATAACAGACCCAATTAAAAAGATCTTAGCATATTATCTAACACTTTCTCAAGCCCCATGTACAACAAAACAAACCAAAACCTGGCTATAATATACAGATAAACACCAAAGACTACGAAATCCAATGACTTTATAAGTTTATCTTTTAAATATAAGATGTGTTCACCTATGTTGATAAATTACAAATAACTCATACATTTTAACTTACTTTAGCAGCATCTTTTGTTTCAGTTTTCTCACTGTTACTTTCTGATTTAGCTTTAGATCTCTTAGCAGGAGCTGCTTGTTTCTGCTCTACAGGTTTTGTCTCTTCTACAACAGTTATTGGTTTTGGTTCTTGTTTAACTGGTTCTGGTTCATGTTTAACAGGTTCTGGTTCAACTGGTTCTGCTGGTGGTGGTGTGCTTTCAACAACTGGTTCTGGTTCACTGGTTACTTCACCCTCTGATTTCTGTTAATAATCACAATACAATCATTTATAGTAATTACAAATGTATGCCGAAATCTTCATACTCTATTTCTTAGTGCAGGCAATTAAGGCTTTCAAAAGCAATAAATGGTTGTCTAGTAAGAATGCATCTGAATGTTATTTTTTCTTAATATTTCCTGCTAACATTTTCATTATACACAAGTGAATCTATTCAAATTGTGAATAATATAAATTTTGAATGTGTAAAATCATTTTTAAACAAAAACAAAACAAAAGGTTGATCCAGAGACTACTATTTTAATAATATAAAGAACATGTCCGCGAGAGCACCATGCAGAGGGTGATAACCCTTTGGTTGGGGATTTGGACCAAATTTTTTCTGTAAGATGGGTTAGTACCCAGATACATCCCCACAAAATATTAGATTGATTCAGTTGATACCAACCTGGCAGATTGGAAAAATATTTTTTTTAATAGAAAAATACTCAAAAAAGGGCTAATTTGGAACTAAATTTGTATGATCTGTTATTCGGACAATAACTGATTTGGACAGACGGAATTTTGGGCATTAGTAGGACCACCCAGGTTCCTCTCACACACAGAGTTTTAAGTTTCTACTGCCAATGATATTTTGGTACAGAGCTGAGGCCAGATACTCAACTCGCTCTGAAAACTGAATTTAATGAAAACCAAAGTGTGAGAGGCTATAGTTCGTTCTTGGCAAGGACTAGGACCAAAGTTGAATGTTACCCACAACTAGCAACCTTCCTACTAACAAAATAAAAAACAAAAATAAGCGCCACAGACATAATACAGAAATATATTAAAAACACCAAAATTTGGGATAAAATGTTCCGTTTATCAATACCCCAGATGAAGAGTATGTATGGACATCTATAAAAATTTAATATATTCCATTTAATCATTAGAAAGGATGATTTAGACTTGAGGGGGAGAAAAGAAATTGGGTTTAACGTCCACTGGACACAAACTAGGTCATTTTGGGAGGAACATGTCGATGCATATGTTTGATCATCTTTACAAAGTTTATATATTCCATTCAGTCATCATTAAGGATGATTTTGACTTGAGAGAGAAATGGGGTTTAAGGTCCACTGCTACTAACTACAGAATACAAATGAGAATAATTGTTGGCTGATTCTGCAAAATTATACACCAGTAACGCCCCAGGCTTCCCTACGATGATTGTGAATGTTTGATTTTGTCACAAAATAACATATTTAACCAAAATCACATATTTGGCACAAGGAACGTTAAAATAACAAAATATGGTACTACTGTTGATAATCGATGGCCATTTGAACTCTTTAAGATAGTCGCCAGTCATCGCATGGAAAACACTGATTTTTACACATTTTCAGAATATTGTAGCACACTAGTGGGTTTAGTGCCGGTCAATTTGTTTCTTCTGACCTATACATGGACGAATGCCCTTCATAACCACACCCGATAATTCTAGGTCAGGCCCCCCCAAGAAGCAGCTACATACGTTTTAAGATGACATAGTTTTCAACATACATAAATTACAACTTTAAGATAACTCACAGAAAATTCCACGCGATCCATTCATTCCCAAACGACTGCAGGATTTTAAGTCTACCATTTGGCCTATCATACCTGACCAATATCAAAATTTTAGGGTCACAATATTTCAAGTAGGAGCGTTTTGAAATTTGGGCAAAAAATTGGTCGCAATATGGCAAATCTTGACCAAAAACAATACACAGTTATACCGGAAGTTGTCATTTAAAATTTGTTTCACTGCATCGAGGGACTTTTGTCACTTAGGGGTCCCCATAGAATAGACCAAGTATGACTGAAAATTGCTACCCCCCAGGGTTATCAGGTTTTTTTTTCAATTTTTGCATGGTCCTCATTCTTAAACTATTTGGTTTTCGTAGCGTTTACCTTGGATTGTCTCTTTTTTTTAGAAGGCCTCTGATCCTGTGGTGCTTCTTGTGGTGTTTCTTCTGCTGTAACTGGTTTCTCAAATCCAATATCTTCTAAAGTAAGCTTACTTTCAACATAGTCACTTTTCTCCTCTCTCTTGCTTCTTACTTTCTCTTTCTTCTTAGAAACAGCTACACTCCATCCCTCTGTATGGTACATAACAAACATGATTAATGTTCTATATTCATGTAACATGCAATATGAAAGAGAGAGAGAGAAATGGGGTTTAACGTCCACTCGACACAAACTAGGTCATTTCGGGACTAACATATGGTTCAATTTTATTTCCATAATTCAATTGCGCGTAGGGGTCTTTAGCAGTGGGAGGAAACCGGAGGACCCAGAGAAAACCCACGAGGTTGGACAGGCGACCCTACTCCTTGTCACGTACAACCGGGGATTCGAAACCACGCCAGTTGACTCAATGACAGACTTAATGATACAGCGCGCACTTGCTAACCACTAAGCCATCCAACCCCCCTGCAATATGAAAGACAAACAAGTATTAAACCAAATATATGGTCTGAAAAGAGTTCTTCAGATAATAATCTAATTGATTGAAATAAAACAATTAGCTTACATACCATCTTGGCCTCATCCTTAGATAGAAATCAAATATTCACACATCAACAGGTGATTACAAATACAAAGTTAGCACTGTCAAATTACAAGGAAGTAGACTTTACTAATCTTTGGACCAATAAGCTAATTGGTAAGACTACTTTTTATTCTATTTGGTCAGATACTCTCAGTAATTCTGGAAAATTAGTCCATAACATTCTACATTAGTTTTGAAGATTACAATCTCAGTTGATTTCACTTATTGCTATTCGATTGTCTTTCAATAGAATACATACCATCATTATCATTTACTTCTGTTTGCTGTGGTCTAGACCTTTCTGTCACAGTTCTTGCTGGAGCCCTGTCAGCTTTCTTAGTCTATTAAAAAATACAAACATAAGTTGCCAGGCAACAAAACATACGGCCACAGCAGCTTTAGAAGTCGTCCCAGCAGTCAACAAGAGCTGTCGCATATTTTTTCTATTGTCGGTAATGAAACATTTATAATACACTAAAATCTGATTAAGAGTAACAACTCATTAAGTAATTATCAGAGAATCATTAGAATTTGTTTGGATTTTAGTTCTGCCCCATGCTAACGTTTAGTATATGAAACATTTAATATCATGGATTTAGCTGTTCAAGTTATCAAAATTCATTGAAAATCAATATACTTATTCATCTCAAGACCTTAAACTCTGTGTATCAATGTAAAGTCAATTAGATGATAACTTTGGTCTCTAGAGCATCCACAAGATTTTTCAAAGTGATCATGGGCCATAACTCTGGTAGTAATTATCGGCAGTCATTGAAAATCACTGGGCTTCTTCGTCTCATGACCTCAAACACTGTGTATAAATTTAAAGCCAATCGGATATTGACTTTAGCCTCTACAGCGTCCAAAAGATTTTTCAAAGCGATAAAAGGCCATAACTCTGGCAGTAATTATCGGAAATCATTGAAATTTAATAGACTTCTTCGTCTCATGACCTTTTAACCACTGTGTATAACTTTCAAGTCAATCGGATATTAAATTTAGTCTCTAGTCCACAAAATTTTTCAAAGTGATCAAGGGTCATAACTCTAGCAGTAATTATCGTAAATCGCTTAAAATCAATAGGCTTCTTTGTCTTATACGTGCAAGCGAATTATTGATATAAAATTGGCTGGGCTAATGAGGACAGATTGTCCACGAAACAAATTGTTGAAAATTGATAGTCAACAGTGTTAAGATACATGTATTCTGTATTACCAACCGAAACAACACAACAAATCAATCCAACTCAACAGCTCTTTTCAGATTAAATCTGTCCTTTCAGATTTTTGTGACCCATCTTTCAGAATTTGATTCGACATTTTAAATCCATTTTTACTTAATAGTAAGTACACTGGGACTGCACCACACATAATTTACACAAAACAAATCTAAGGACAAGACACAATACCCAGAAATCACAAACAAATGTACATATCAAATTAAGTGAATGGATCCGGGGCTGTACAGTCCCGGGTCTGTAGTGATACAGACTTTACTCAAAATTGAAAACAAACAATCTGGAATATAACCCTGAGAAAACCATTGTGAGTTACCCAAACTTTTCTGAACTACTAATACTACCTACTAATTCTTCCTGACCTATGAAGATACATATGCAGCCGGCAAATGTTTTCAAGGAAACCGACTAGATCGAATCTTATGGAAAGATGATGGTGCAGCAGAAACATGGCTGAGACAATTAGAAGAGTCAAACATCAACGGAAAATGGCTAAAGCCCTGACTGCTATATAACTGTACAGCGCAGTGGATGCTTACGGTGCCAATAATACAATGGCAAACTGTCGGTGATATCACTTCCCTTGAAGCAGGCATTCAATAAAGCTATGTCACACACACACACACATTAATGGCACACAGATTCAGAATATGCATGTAACACTTTATAGGACCACCTTTAAATAATTTATGGACTAACACTATCAAATAAAAAGTATATATTTTCCTTAATGCAAATAATAATAATAATAATAAATCACCTTTTTTTCACTTGCTGGTGATTTAGGTTTAGCTGCTTGTTTTGCTGACTTTGGGGAAACACTTTTCACAGCTGCAGTCTCTTCTTTCACAGTCACTGCATGTCCATTAGTCTGACCTTTAGTCTGAAATTATTTATTGTATAATAATACAATTAATGCGATTTGTAGAGATAGTCAGCCATTAAATTAAATATTTACTGCAATCACATGATTTTAATCTGGGACGTAGTAACAACGGCCAAAAAGCAAAACAGTCAAAATTCACTTTGGTCAAATCAAAACTGCGAATACTACCATATCTTGGTCAAAACCGAGAAGGTTTAGTCTAATGTTAAAAGTTGAAGTACCGTACAGGTAAATGCTTAATATTAAAAGCTTATCTTTTTCATTTCACCCAAGCTATTTGGAGACATTTATGTAAATAATATCATTAGATTGGCAATTATTATTCAACAAGGATTCAATAGGACGGTTCAAAGCTGAACCGGGGATCACGTGGGTAAGACGCTGGCTCGCTAGCCTGGAGGTCAGGTGTTCGATCCTGGCATTGGCCGAGAAAGTTCATCCAGATTTTCCGACGTGGTTTCCCCTTGTCAGTGATGCAGGACGGAGGGCCTGACAAGGACAGCTGTATAGTCGTTCGGATGGGACGAAAAACCAAGGTCCCGTGTATATATTGGCGTGCACGTAAAAGATCCCTTGGCAGTTGGAATTCGATATAAGAGTAGGCCGTAGCGCTGCTGCCTGGGCAAAATTTCCCTCATAGCACACTGTATGGCGTATGCCCGTCTTCATTAGCCCTGTTTAGGAGCAGAACAGTAGGAGCAGGACGTTAAACCCCATTTCATTTCAGAGCTGAACTATCCCACAGTGTAAGTTAAAAAACAAAGATACAGGGATTTTCTTTTACAAACAGCAGTATAATCTGCAATAATGGCTAATACTGCATGTCTTAAATGGTGTCTATAAAATTCATACAAACCTTGGACTTTTTAGTCTTTTTTTGATTTTTTTTATCTTCTGAAAAATCAAAACTGGGAGGTTGAACTGGGGATCTGAAGCCAAACGCAAAAACCAGAAGAGCACATAACAAAACGCCAATTACGGGCAATGCTACATGTGTTGACACCACCTCCGTCAATTCCATGATGATTAAAAGTTACCTTATCAACTTAATAAAGAGAGTTTCAAGAAAATATGGGAAAACAGTCACATGAATTCTCTAAAGAGGTGCTCGTACGTATGCAGGTTCAGTGCTTCATGCTGACGTCGCCTGCTGCTTACGTCACGATTTTTTGTGTTCTATCGAAATCTATATTTTTTTTATAAAATACACAAACTATATTTTTTTCGTGATATATCAAATTATGTTGCTAACATTCTAAATGAAATTAAATAAATAAAGAAAATAATAAATTTCAAAACCAACGCCCCTATAATAGTGACGTCACTGATTTGTGTTACTAATGGCGTCGTGTAACTGGAAAATAACTTAGTCATTTATATATTGCAGAAAATAGCCAAGTAATTGTTTATTTACACCTTATTTATGTTAACATCTATGGAGTTTAATTTCAACCATGTAGCGTATGTCTAATTTATTGGTTTTAGATGCTGGAAGCTTCATTTTATTCTGTTCATAACCCTCTTCTGTCGTTTGTTTACATTTTATTTTCTTAATCTGATTCTTACGTAGGCTACTGTACTGTAGTCTTAAGGGCCACAGGCATTGCCTGAGTAGAGCGAAGCTGATTATTGTCAAATATAAAACCTTCCTAATTAATTTTCTCAAGTGATACAAAAAATGTTAAATAATTTAGTTTTTATTGAGATCTAAATTTTATACATTAATTTTGTTTTTAAAAAAAGAACAAAAAAATGTGAGAATTATTTTCATTGACCTAAAAAATATGTGACGTCATTGATTAGACGCGTCATAGAAATAGTTCTATGAGGCGCGTAATCTCGCTTGGGCGAGATTTAGTGGATAGAATTATTTTTGTTAGTTACGTGATCTCGCTTGGGCGAGATTTGGTAAGTTGACATGCGCATTGCCTGTTTTGCCCAGTGTATCCGGTTCCGGTCTGAATTTTTTTTTTAATCAACAGTCTGTGGGTGACATTTTCAATTACGCTCCTATGTTACCGGAAAAGAGCTTTGCTTCGTTCTATATGAGTACATGTAGGTGGCCAGTAGCAGGTCTAATTAGTGAGCTTGCATGTACATGATGTGATCAGACCTACAGTATGATGTCTTGAATCTTATCAAAACTTACAGGGAGGAAGTTTAGAAAACTTTCTAAAACAATAAAATTAATGTGTTTTGATTGAACACGTCAAATGATCAAATCAGTATGTCTATGGTTCTAATTAATAAATTATATCTATTCTAATCTATGAATATGAAGCAATCCTGGACAAGAATAATTTACAACAATCACTGATCCCAAAATATGTAACCCAATATTCATGTATGTACCCATACCAAAAACACATGACCCAGAATAAACAATGAACATATAACAGGCAATGCTTTAAATTTTAAAATAAAACTTACAGAAATAATACAATTGTGTGTTTTGAACGAAATTTTCAACTAATATTGCAAATGTAAACAATTATACATGAATTAAAACAACCAGGATAAGGATAAGGATGATATTTTGACATTTTATCGACAGCCATGGATAGACAGAGTTGTGTATTTTTAAGTCTCTACAATTTGCTATCAACATTCACACAGTTATTACATGTTAATGGATTATGAAAGACCATCAAAATGCATTAATAAAATCTGTAACTTATGAGTGTGATGACTACTTTTACAATAATATCAATATGCACATTTTTCATCTTGGACTCAGTAAATGTCGTAATTTTTTTTCCTAGATTGTTTCATATTCATACTTTTTGGTTTTGTTAAAAAACGATTTATCTATAGATTATTTCTGAAAGTTATATTCAAGTTGTAAATGTTCTTTGATTGGCATTTAATAATTGAACATATTAACACAAGGTACAATTTTATGGATATACAATTACTGAGTTTAATACTAAGAGATGTTTTGACGAGGATACTCTTGTCTTTATCATTTGCTTCATAACGACAAGAGTATCCTCGTCGAAACGTCGCTTAGTATTAAACTCAGTAATTGTGTATCCATAAAATGGTACCTTGTATTAAGTTGTAAATGGGCTGACAGAGAAGTTATCTACCTGCAGGGGGAGGGGTAGGGTTGTTTACAACATGTTGGAGGACTGTTATGCATTAGATAGGTCAGCTATAAGCTTATATTTAATATGTGTGCTAAATCATTGGTGATTTATGGAAAATTTATTATCAATTACATGCTTATTTGAAGTTGAACAGCTTTACATATATACTGTACACAATGTATGTAGAATAGTCTGAGAATATTCTGTAAAGCCATTTTCAAGATTGCTTTTTTGTGAGGTATATCTATAACTTCTGTCATATTTAGATGATATAAATTTAATTTTTTAAATGCATGTAACTTCTCCTCTAATAAATGTAGACGTCTTTACTTGTATTTGTAGGGCAAATTGCCTTTGAAAGACTTCACGTGTGCAGGACTTCTGTCACTTAACTTATACATTAACTTAAATGAATACACTACTAATTATTAGCCAAGCATGAATACTATTAAGGCCAACTGGTCTAAAAGCTCAGGGGGGGGGGGGGCTGAATGGTTAGCACGTGCGCGCTGTACCATAAAGTCTGTCATTGAGTCAACTGGCGTGGTTTCGAATCCCCGGTTGTACGTGGCAAGGAGTAGGGTCGCCTGTCCAACCTCGTTGGTTTTCTCCAGGTCCTCCGGTTTCCTCCCACTGCTAAAGACCCCTACACGCAAGCGAATTATTGAAATAAAATTAAAACCATGTGTTAGTCCCGAAATGACCTAGTGTGTTTCGAGTGGACGTTAAACCCCATTTCTCTCTCTCTCTCTCTCTCTCTCTCTCTAAATGCTCAGATTGTCTTATGAGTTATGACTCCTGTATATCATTCAGAGTAGCACAAACAAAAAGAACCCAACAGACTCTTAATTCACATTACTGCATGACAAAACAAACATAAGATTGAATGACTAATACTACACTAATAGTAATATTAGTAATCTGTGGGTTATTTCATTATTAAAATGGAACGAGATATTACAAATGGAACTAGATATTTCAAATGTAAGCTTATTTTTAAACAATTAAAATTAATTTGAATAATTTTGTTATTATTTTCAGTAAAGTAGAAATGACACATGATGAAAGTGATGATGAAGATAAAGATGGTGAAAACATTCATCTATCTTTAAAAAAGTTAAAAATTGACCCTGATTGGTAAGTTTCATCCCACAAACGTGTACATGTAGGCTATGTAGCTCAACTCTAAGAGTTTTATACATGTACTACATGTACTGGTACCTCCTTTTATATTTAGTTATTTCATTCATATTATTATCAAAGGACAAATGATTCAAAATATACAGTACTAATAGTATACATGACCATAAATACTTTTAGTTATAATTTTATTCAACAAATTCTTGAGTACAAAAACATACATAATGAAATAGACTGGCTTACACATAAAGATAATGTTGTGAAATCTAGAGAAACTAATGTATATTTCAAATTGTGCCTTAACTGAAAGGGTGCCATTATTCAAAATTAGAAGTGGATGAAATAACTGAGTAGGTTGTTACTCTTCATTTCTTTACTTTGAAACCATGTGTGATTTCTACTAAAATTTGTTTGCTTTTTCAGGGACAGTTCAAGTATTTCTGAACACTCACAATGTGTAGATATTCATAGAATATGGTTGGGGTATGTGTTTCAAGAGAACTGCAATATATTTTTACATTTCATCATGTTTCACAGTCCTTATCAAAACAAATCTCAAAATTAAACATACATTATGCTATGGAAGACCAAATGGGACAATATTCATGATTCTTGTTTCTACATTCCAGTTTGAACATTTTAGACACAAACGCAACATTCTAAACTAATGATTCTTGTTTCTACATTCTTATGTCAACATTTCATGCACAAAATCAACATTTTAAACAAAAAATTGACTTTATGTTTCATTTTCGGCATTTTATCGGTAACTTTTATATATCATTAAATATTAAAATTAAAAAATAATTTCTTAATTTTACACGACAAAGAAATCAATTCATTGGTTTCTGAAAATATCAACAAAAAAAACGCCCTCTGGTTTTATAATGTTGATAATTCATTATATTTTTCTGGACATTTACATTTCATGATTTTAACTTCAAGACTTTTTGAAACGTAGAAAATATTTTTATAAGAGTTCAAATTCCAGATTTTTTTTTTAGATACTTTCAGAAACCAATGAATTGATTTCTTTGTCGTGTAAAATTAAGAAATTATTTTTTAATTTTAATATTTAATGATATAAGCTTATAAAAGTTACCGATAAAACGCCGAAAATGAAACATAAAAGTCAATTATTTGTTTAAAATGTTGATTTTGTGCATGAAATGTTGACATAAGAATGTAGAAACAAGAATCATTAGTTTAGAATGTTGCGTTCGTGTCTAAAATGTTCAAACTGAAATGTAGAAACAAGAATCACGAATATTGTCCCATTTGGTCTTCCATATTATGCAAAAGCAAAATCTGCCTATTGCAGGTCTTTCTTTAGGCCTGAAATGTTATCTCAACTATTAATTAGACATAACAAAACAAGACCATAATCAACTCTCAATGGCATCGGATACTCAAGATTTTAACTAGATTAGAACGGTTCGCCATTTAAAAATTTAATTTAAAAATAGGAAAGCAAGGCTAAGACTCCAATATACCAGTGCCCTGGTTACCACAGTGCACACATCTTGTCAAATTAATTTGAATGAAATTTTCAATGTTTTTATTTTACATTATCTATTTTTGAGCTATTATAGCAAGAATGTTCAGCTCTTTATGTAAATCTTATATAATGTATCTTTAATATGAAGTTTATAAATGAAGAAAGTATTATTGTGGACGTATATTGTCGTCGCCCCTGTCCGTCCGTCCGTCCACAATTGTTTGTGAACAGTCTACAGGTTACAATTTTTATCCGATTTCAATGAAACTTGAAATATAGCTTTATCACCCTAAGATCTCGGTTCCTTTCGATATTGGCATCTATCGGACCGTAACTTCATGGATTATGGCCCCTGATTGTACGAAAAATCACGTTTTTGGCTTGTGAACACTGTAGAGGTCACAATTTTTATCCGATTTTGTTGAAACTTGAAATGTAAGTTTATAACCCAAAGATCTCGGTTCCTTTCGATATTAGAGCATATCAGACAATAACTTCCTGAATTATGGCCCCTGATTGTACGTAAAAACGAGTTTTTTGGCTTGTGGACCCTATAGAGGTCATAATTTTTATCCGATTTAAAAAAACGTATTATTATATCACCGTTAAACCCTAAGGACGGTTGAGTTAAAATTTCGTGAAAATCGTCCCAAAACTGACAGACAAAATGGCCGCCGTTCGTTCTCAAATAGCGTAAAAATATGGTATATCAAGGTTGTGGACCCTATAGAGGTCACAATTTTTATCCGATTTTGTTGAAACTTGAAATGTAAGTTTATAACACAAAGATCTTGGTTCCTTTCGATATTCGCGCATATCGGACCGTAACTTCATGAATTATGACCCCTGATTGTACGCAAAAACGCGTTTTTTGGCTTGTGGACCCTATAGAGGTCATAACTTTTATCCGATTTAAAAAATCGTGTTAATATATCACCGTTACACCCTAAGGATGACTAAGTTCGAATTTCGTGAAAATTGGCCCAAAACTGACAGACAAAATGTCCGCCCTTCGTTCTCAAATAGCGTAAAAATATGGTATATCAAGGTTGTGGACCCTATAGAGCTCACAATTTTTATCCGATTTTGTTGAAACTTGAAATGTAAGTTTATAACACAAAGATCTCGGTTCCTTTCGATATTCGCGCATATCGGACCGTAACTTCATGAATTATGGCCCCTTATTGTATGACAAATTGCGTTTTTAGCTTGTGGACCCTATAGAGGTCATAATTTTTATCCGATTTAAAAAATCGTTTTATTATATCACGGTTAAACCCTAAGGACAGTTGAATTCGAATTCCGTGAAAATCGGCCCAAAACTGACAGACAAAATGGCTGCCGTTCGTTCTCAAATAGCGTAAAAATATGGTATATCAAGATGGTGGACCCTATAGAGGTCACACTTTTTATCCGATTTTGTAGAAACTTGAAATGTAAGTTTATAACCCAAAGATCTCGGTTCCTTTCGATATATTCACGCATATCGGACCGTAACTTCCTGAATTATGGCCCCTGATTGTACGGAAAACCATGTTTTTAGCTTGTGGAACCTATAGAGGTCATAATTATTATCCGATTTAAAAAATCATATTAGTATATCACCGTTACACCCTAAGGACGACTAAGTTCGAATTTCGTGAAAATCGGCCCAAAACTGACAGACAAAATGGCCGCCCCTCGTTCTCAAATTGCGTAAAAATATGGTATATCAAGGTTATGGTCCCTATAGAGGTCACAATTTTTATCCGATTTTGTTGAAACTTGAAATGTAAGTTTATAACTCAAAGATCTTGGTTCCTTTCGATATTTGCGCATATCGAATTGTAATTTCCTGAATTATGGCCCTTGATTGTAGGAAAAATCACTTTCGTTTTAGCTTGTTTTCTATCCATCTCTCGAAAATGTAGGCGTATCCTGCCTGACAGCCGCTGGTTCCCTTTTTTGTTTTCCAAATATTGGATGTTCAAATCAATTTACAAAAATGTTTATCATTATAAAATGATGTTGTAAATATGATAATTGAACACACTAATTTATTCGTTTTTAAAATGTTGGGGGGTTGGATAACCGAATGGTTAGCACGTGCATGCGCTGTATCACAAGGCCTGTCATTGAGTCAACTGGCGTGGTTTCGAATCCCCGGTTGTACGTGATAAGGAGTAGGGTTTCCTGTCCAACCTCATAGGTTTTCTCTGGGTCCTCCGGTTTCCTCCCACTGCTAAAGACCCCTACGCGCAAGCGAATTATTGAAATAAAATTAAACCATATGTTAGTCCCGAAATGACCTAGTCTGTGTCGAGTGGACGTTAAACCCCATTTCTCTCTCTCTCTCTTTTAAAATGTTGAATGTGAAAAAGAAAGGTGAAAATTGTTCTTTATTTAGTCTAATTCTCAATGTTTATAAATGTTCCAGGGAGACCTCTAACAACTGTAAGCCATCTCCCAAACGTCCAAAACATCGAGTATCGCCAAGCCGTAGGACAGAACCTTATCCTGCTGATTGTGTGGTGTCATTTGAACGCCTGTGTTTGCGCAAAGAAAAATGCAATAAAAAATGGTGCCTATGTAAATATGATAAAAGCAAATTGGTCTCTACCACCTTTGATCAGAAATTGAATTATGCTGTTGCTGTCGGTAGTCAGCGTAAATTGATTCATGATGCTAGATTAAAACTTCACCATGCACAGAAAGATCACCGACAAATTATTCGAGCAGCTAAACTTCAATTAAATGAGGCCAAGAAGATCAAAGCAAATAGGGAACATAGTAAAAAGGTCAGAGACAAGTCCATGTTAAAGAGCTCTTACCCCAGAACAATTTTCGGATCTTCGTCCAAAATGGTTGCTAAAAATTTTTCAAATGTGGATAGTGTCAATAAATTAGCATGTGATAGTGAACTGCCTGATAAACACGAGTTCAAAGGCTATAGAGCAGGTACATCAGGCTTTTGTTTTACATCCAAAGATGGTGCAAACACATCAAATAAACCAGGATCTTCTTCCACGGATACTTCACCGAATAAAGTTGAGAAAAGTTGTTCTCAAGAAGCAAGTATAGATGATTTAAGTGTTGACGAACTGGCAGGATATTTTGATGATTTTGTTCACATCCCTAAAAAGATGTCTGTTATGGCTGAGATGATGTATACTTAGATATGTTGTGCTAAATTTTGACATTATACATTTTGATAATCTTATTTTAAAGTATAAAGTGTAGTAACGATGTCCTAACTATCATATTGAGTTTTGGACTACACAGCAACTCAACCATTGCAAAACGAAAATTTGAAATTAAACTCGAAGTTTGAAACTAATTTCATCCAAGCCATATGCAAGTTACTCATAATAAGTCTTCACTCTTATATAGCTTGGAATTTCCATAAAGTCTGTTCTCAGAGGAAAATTTGTCAAATATTTTTTTCTTTTATCGAAAAAGAAATAAATAAATCGAATAGTGTAAAATATGATTTTAATTTTGTTTATGTTTATTTAGTTAGGGCTGCATATTTTAAAACCCCAGAAAAATTTGAAAATAATAAATTTAAATTTGTGCATGTTATCCTGAAAATTTTTTTTTTATAAATTGATGAATTAGACCGTAGTTTCACAATAGAAAGCAATAATATGTCCTATGAGTTAGTTTAGTTCAGTCAGTAATGACAAACTATATTTTCTTAAAATATATATTTCTTAGATACAATATACTGTATTGTTTATAGTATGTTGTATACATGTATGTAGCTCTCTACAAGGATTAAAAACAGTGAAAGATAGTAGTCAACAAATACAAAATAAAAAAATGCCCTTTTTTAGTATAATTTTACACAAATGATTCCCAGAATCGCATACATGTATGATATCAACAAATAGATGATAATACTAATAAATTACAAATTTCCATCATGTCATATGATGTGGTTTCAATCCTATACTTGTGTTTGACAAGGAACAGTGTCATCTGCCTAATCATTGGGTTTTCACGGTGATCCTCCCACTGCTAAAACAGCCTCTGTGCAAACAAATCACTGAAATATAGATCTACAATGTTACAGTTGGTCTCAAGATGACCTTGAATTCTCTCTCACAGACTCTCATACTCACTAATATTTGGAAAGGATGTCATATTCACAAAACCTATCGAATACCCAATTATGTTGACCTCTGTAATGATAACTTTATGTATTTTTAACAGTTAAATATTAATCTGAACGTCTCCGGTAAGTTTTGGACATTTAGACTTTAGTGTGTGATTAAACTACATTTGGGTTTCTCTATATTAATTGTAATTGTATTGTTCTGTATGGAATATACTCTTGATTTTGTTGCGTGTATTTATACCATATTTATGATTTTATTAATCCTTGTGCACTTGTAACAAGTATAAACTGATTTCTGTATGAATGAGTTAATTTATTTAAAATTCTCAGTATTTTTTGAGATAACCAATTAATGCATTTTTGTTTTCGTATTTTATTTGAGATAAGATAAAATACCATAGAGTTATAGTTATAATAGTAGATATGTGTTTCTTTGTAAAATTGGAAATTAAACCAATTACCATACTTTGGGGCTTACCAATTTATTGAGAACCTGTTCTCAAGTGATGACATGACCTGATCTGCTACTAAAGGACCCCATTGGAAATAAACCAGTGTACATTGTGTAATTTTTGCTGGTTTTCATGGGTTATCCTTAAGAAGCAGATTATTCATGACATATCATAAATCAAGCATTTTGTATTTTTGTCATGAATGTATCTGTTTCTTAGAATATAAATAAATAAAAAAAATGAAAATCAAACATGAAAGCCCTTTGGATTGAACTAATACTTAGTGATAATTTTCTTCTTTGAAATTATTTGATGATGTTTTCTGAAAAAGATAGTTCGCAATATTAAGTTATCATATTGAAAAATAATTGTTTGTAAATGGTGTTAATTCCCTTGGTATTTTTTAAATACATTTCTTCACATTAGTCATTAGAAATGATATCTAAAAAAATATATACTATTACTTCTTGTGTTTGGATCGGATATGTATGTGTAATATTTGAAAGATTTTTGTCTCTATGATATTATTGTTTTATTATAATTATACTGAATAAACCTTTCAGAAATAAAAATCAGTTGTTGTTAAACATGGGAGGAGGCATTAGAGTCCGGGACTCCGGAGTATCTGACTTTTTCCCTGTCCTTGTATGGATAGATACTGTGATAGTTGACAAACTGAGAAGGGTCAGAAAGACAAGGCCCTGTTTTTTGTTAAGATTTTTCACATGCATTCCGATCTGATATAACCATATACATGTATACTGAGACGCAATGAAAACACACTATTTTTGTAAATGGATGATTGTAAATCTGAATGTAACGGTGATGACCACTACAGATCAATTTTCCAAACACAAACGATAGCCACGCGACAGCACTCTCTCTCTCTCTCGAAAAAAAGATAGCCGTAGACAGCAGGTTACATGTACGAGGAAGCCTGGGTTTTCAGAGCCTGGTTGTTAGGTTTTGTTTATCTGCCATAGGCAAATCGCCAGCACTTAGGTGTGGTAAAAAAAACAGATTTCTTAATTGACGCAGATATTCCATAGTTCATCCATCCAGTGTTTTTTCCATATCAGAAATCTTAATCTTATATGGTTTATATTTTGTCGGCACAGTTTCTGCTTAAATCCAACTTGCTCATCTGCAAGCCTTGCATTTATTGCCACTTTTATCCTCTTCGGAATGGCTCAGCTGAATGCAAAGTTTTGCTATCTATAATTTCCCCTTTGGTATGGTAACTACATTTTGTAGACCATCTTCCAATCTTGTGGTACCACATCCTTGTCCAGCACACCTTCTAAGAGGTCAAGCCGTCGGATGTATATCGTCTGGGCCAGGTGTTTTCTGTTTATTTATCTTTTTTATACTCTTGTATATGTAGTTTCATGATGATTGTAAAGATAGTTTGCCAAGCAACGAAACATCCGCCGATAGGAGCTAAATCGTCCGGTCGGCCGACAAGGGTTTGCGCATATTTATTCTTATGTAGGTTATTGTGGACATTTACAAGGCATTTTCATACAGATCAGATTATAATTTTCGTCTTAACTCTGGAAGTAATTTACAGAAATTGTTGAAATTCGAAAGACATTTTCATTGCACTAATCTAAATGATGCATATAAATTTCATGCAGATCGGGTGATAACTTTCGTTGTTAAAGATGTCACAAGGAGCAACAAAGTAAAACAAGTCCCATAACTCCAGAAGAAATTAACGGAAATTGCTGAAATGTATATAAATTTCATATAGATCGGATGATAACTTTCGTCATTCTGGCGTTGATAAAATTCAACAAAGTGAAACAAGGGCCATAACTCTAACGGACATTGCTGAAATTCAATAGGATTCTTCGTTTCACTAATTTAAATGATGCATATAAATTTCGTACAGATCGGATGATAACTTTTGTCGTTAGAGCGTTCACAAGATTCAACAAAGTGAAAAAAAGGGCCATAACTCCAGCAGAAATAAAAGGAAATTATTTAAATTCATTAGGCTTCTTCATCTCACTGATGTAAACACATCAATTTCAAAACAATCAGATGTTAAATGTAGACTGTAGAGTGTTCACAAGAAATTGTGAACGGCGTACGGACGGACGGGAGCGACGGCATTATACGAACACATTTCAATGTGGGCGTCTAAAAAGTAATCAAACCTACCAGATCTCAATGAAAGGATATATTGTTCCCATTGATCACTTTGTAGTCTTGTAAATGTTCTGACGACAAACGCTACTATCCGATCTGCTAAAATCCTGCAAAGTTATTGCCCTTAATCTCTTTGAATAAATTTACGCGACAAAAGGTATATATATTGTTCGAATTAGTGAAATGAAAAGTTCTATCGAATTTCAACACTTTCCGTTTACTTCTAGAGTTATTTCTCTTGTTCACCTTAACACTCTAGCGACAAAAGTTGTCATCCGATCTCTTTGATGCGTTGATCAGGTAAAGAAAATTTCGACATTCATTTTTAATTAATTTATTGCAATTTTTTAAAATAATGTCGATGTTTTATTATTGCGTCGCATGTCATTGTAAAGGCAACGTTGGGGTATACTCATGGGCGTCACACATAGGGGGTCCGACCCCCCCCCCCCCAATTGTTTTTCGGGGGGGGGGGGTCTGAATATATTTGGACCCCCCAAAAATTTACATAGTAGGTCCAAACTTTTATTTACGACAATTATTTGGATTAGTTAAGATTCTATCTGTATAAAACCTGTACATATCCCAACACTACATGGTTTCCATTGCTAAAATAAAACACAGAGAGAATCATCCTGGAAACATGTGTGAAGTAACTGTGTTCCATTAAATTGTGTCTAGTTAGCCTGTCAGTAATATTTTGTTCTGCCACTTATCAGAGTGAATCGCATGTAGGTACCCAAAAATATTATCGCCTAAACCAAATATTTATCGCCCGCTCAGCCAGCCACGTAAACCATAATGCTTTGCACGCGGTGTCTGGCCAATCAGCAAACGAGTTGTGTAGACAGCATGGCCACATGGCGTTTGTTTATAATTTGTAGGGGTTTAAAAAAGGGTTAGGGTTAGGGGTTAGGGTTGCGCCCCCCCCCCCCCCAATATATATTTCACAGCTACGCCTCTGGGTTTACTGTTTATACAAATCTAACTAGTCTCTTATGGTCAGCGCTCTTTTAGTTATCAAGCACCTGTTTTATGGAATAATCTACCATTTAGTTTAAGATGCTGTACATCTCTATATTCTTTTAAAAAAACAACTTAAAACACATTTATTTAATCAGGCTTTTAACTGACTCTGTATACAATCGTTAACATGCCCATAATCTTGTTGTTTATGTGTGATTTACATTGTCACTTTGTTAAGTGCCCCTGAACATGTTACATGAAAGGGTGCACTATAAATATGCTGTAATAATAATAATAACTACAGTAGTATCTCTTTTCGCGTTATCTAATCTTAGAAATAGGTCATGGATTATAAGTAGGTAAGTTTATGGTGTCCAAAGTGCGCAACAGGTTATTTTGTGTAATTCCATACCCAACCCTATGTCCCTACCTGTAGTTAGTACATTTTTGTGCCTAGCCAGAACTGAGGTGGACAGTCTATATCCAATTTTGCCATTTCATAAGAAATATAGGCTACTTTTACCAACAATAATTAAACTAAAGAATAAGTAAATATTAAACCACGAAAACTGTTATTTAACGGGCTTCGGTTACTGAAGAGAACGTCGAAATCGTTCGAAGCACGTACCCGTATCACCTGAATAAACTAAATGTTCATATGTTTGGGCCTCGGGGCAAATTTTATAACATGGTGATGTTATCAATATAAATTGTTTTCTTTTCTATCTGTACCTTCTATACCTTCAAGGTTGAGTTTTAACACAATTTCGTTTTAACTGAAACATCAATACAATATTTTACCATAAATTAAATATCAACACCAACTGAGGGCTCAATCATTTTATTCAAATAGTATTTAATGCATTTTGCATAGTTTATCTGGTATCTGAAGATTATGGTTAAGTCAAACAACAAATTTACACGTTCACCCACTGGTAAGAATAATCTTTAAGTGGCTGGTAAGAAAGTGAATGCACTGGTGAGTTGTATCCGACTTTCTTTGTTAAACCCCCATTTGAACAATGCAGCAAGTAGCCCATATCATTAAATTTTATTTGGATCAAATATTTTCTAGAACTGTTTAAGTGTATTATGCCTTACCAAAACTGAACTGAAATGAAATGGGGTTTAACGTCCTACTGTTCCGCACCGACTGAGCTAAGGCCCTGTATCCATAGGCTGTTCCCTTGTGGTGTATTCCCTTGTGACCTTGTGATGCGCCACAAGGACAATGAACCTTTGTTTTGTAATGTGCCTGTCCCCATAGGTTGTACCCAGGGAACATGTGGCCTCGCGCACGGAACATGTGGTCTTGTGACCGGGAATACAGACAATGAACTTGTCCATTCTTTTGCAGCTGCACAAGGAACACAGACAATGAACTTGTCCATTCTTTTGCAGCTACACAAGAGGGAACACTCCATTACGAGTACGAGTTCTTCATCACCAGTCTGTTTCAAGGTCTGGAAACTTATGTGAAATTCACCCAGTTCATTGCGAGTTCCAAAAAATGGCCGGACCCAGCACCGTGGGCGTTGTCTGAAGACATGTTGTCTTCTGAGATGAGCACCAGCGAGGAAAATAAATGCAATAGCGTCATCCTCCTCATCCTTTCGATTTTCAGTAGTTGAGTTCATCGTCGAACTATCAATAAAACAACTGTTCGCATAATGATAGTTGTGTCTTGTGTTTATTTACTTTCTCATCAACGTTCGTATGTAGACTTTTCTTTTACCTATCCATCGTACATTGCACATGCCACACGGGAACAGCCTATGGATACGGGCGGGTACAGGGTCAGGTTACAAGGCCACAAGGGAACAGCCTATGGATACAGGGCCTAATGAAGACGGGCATACGTCACACGGAGTGAGTGCTATAATCAAAATTTTGCTTCACAGTGGCATCACGGTCTACTCTTACGACGTCAATGTGTACACGAGACCTCTATTTTTCGTCCTGTCGGAACGACTATACGTTGTCCCTTGCCAGGCTATTTCCATAAAAGTCTGTCAAAAGAACTATTTCTCTCTTGGATCTCCAGGAAAAACATTAGAAATTTTCTGCAGAAGAAAATATTCTACCAGCGTGGTTTTAGTACACTCGTATTAATTCATAAATAAATTACACAGAAACATTTTGAATAAATTAAAAACATCTATTAACACGCGGTCTTTAGAAATTAAGTAAACTGAACTATTTTTACAATTTTTGGCTTAATCATAACATTTACATGTTTGGGGCAAATAATTCAATCGTTTAGAAAAACTGAGAGTTTAAATACGATAAACACTAATATTATTCCAAGAACCATTAAATTTTTATAACACGTTCCTTATATCTCGTATATTTAGTCAGGCGAATAAATGCCTTGGGGTCAATAATGACTTTGATGAATATTTTAATATTTCGACATTGTTTAATTATTGATGAGTCTGACGGCATGCTACTTGAAACAAATGCTATCATTTGAGTGGCACACTAAACACGTGTCATGGCATTAAAGACACGTGCATTGTCATGGTAACTTAATAATCTCCTGGAAACTAAAACAATTAAATGGCTGCAATCTTTGCAAAGCTATTTTCTTTGTTGTATTTTCAACACAGGCGTGCGACGTAAAGTTGGCCAATTGGTCTAACCTTAAACAAGATCGGGGGAAAAGCCAATTTGAGTACGGTGGCGTTTGCCGAAATTTTTACTAACGGTTAAGATCTGGAGACTATGACAGCATGTTATGAGTTCCCATCATTTGTATATAACGAGATCCTATGAGATATTTGACAGGTTTGACGCCTATATTATAGTTAGGACACCCAAATGCGTCAAAATAGTGACATCTATATAAGTATATGTGCCAATCTGTCAAAGTATAACTAATGACAGTATATAGATAATTATGACGTGTACAATTTATGGGCAACGTATAATGTATGCAGGATATTATGACCCTTGGCATTTAAAAATACTATATACGCAGACCAGTGATGAAAAGGACTCAATTTACTCTAATATTATTTGCTGTTAACATAAATTATTGTTTAGTTGTGTGTATTATATCGGCATTATTATATTCAAGATTAAATCAGTGGTGCAGTATTTAGGAAGGGATCCCGACTTCCTGCTGTGTGAAAGGGTAAGAAAAAGTTGTTACTGATTATGTAATATTACAAGAGTTAACATTAATATGCAGGATAAGCTATCAATATTTGATTGTGACAAATTGTTGATCCTGTTTTGATCAACTAAAACTTGTCTTCTCATGTTTTAATGATATGAATGCATCGTGACGTAGTTACAGTACTTGGCCAATCGTGTTGGCAGTGAGAAACTATACAAGGTCGCCCATAGCTCCTCCATTGATTAGATTCAGAAAAACTGGTAAGTCAAATTCCATTTTAGTTATTTTAAAGACATACTTTTTTCTAGATATCAGAATTTATTAATTTGGTTGAAATCACACACAACAAAATGATTTTCAAATGTCTAAATATGATTTTAAAAGAGACACTAAAAAATAATTTCACAGATCTGACCCAGCCCAATTAATTTAGTGCACTGAAAGGAATTTTCATATTCATAAAGTAATAGATCTTTTCTCCAGCGTTAAATGTAGGGGATATAATTATTTATTGAATATATTAATTTAATATATACGTTTAACACAGGGTGTCCGTAAAAGTACCTAGAAAATCCCTACCAAATGTCTGATTTAGCTTTCTGTAATTATAGCTTAATATCACATCCGCCATTGTGGTTGAATCAAGACAGAGATTATTGTTTACCGTTAGAGGATTTCTACCAATATTACGTATAAAATCAGTGCCTTAATCTTGGTAAATCAAAAACGTTTGAAGACGACGCTTGTTGTTACTTAGACCTTGTCTAATCTTTTAAGGGGGTTAATGATCATTCCACCATATTCCGTATTATCATTTCTGTTCAGTGACATGTTATGTTTGTATTCGGTATAGTTCACTGCTCCATATAAAGGACCAAATCGCTACTTTTGTAACATTCCATAGAACAAAATACAAAACGTGGACACGTATATATATTTTGGCGCACTAAATCTAGTAAGATTTACTTACTTATGAAGGTTAATATTGCACCTCGGGGATTATTCAATATGCATTTTTATGACGCCGTGAAACTTTTACAATTAGATCTAACTTGCACAGACATGAAAACGCCCTGAAATGCACACAAACTAGGTCAGGTATCGCGTCTTCAGTACCCCCGCAGAAAGCCCGCCAAAAATGAAGTGTAAAATTGCGCCTTTTTAAACTAAATGTTTAATTCTTTTGAAATAGATCAAATAAGACATTTTTGGTTTGTAGTACTATATACTATATAAGTTATCAACTATGTCTGTAGAAAATGAACTTGTAAAAGTTCGATAAAATAAGTTGATATTGTTAATTTGAGGCTATACCCGACTTGATCTTAAATTTCCATAGAGTATAGTCTACATAAATATCATATATTTTAAACCGGAGACAGCATCTGGTTCATTTCATTATTAGATATATTATCATCTCATTTGATCATTTGATGTTCTGTACTTCACTACCTGAAAAAATGGAGAATACAGAAAATCATTATTTTGTTGTAATAATAGATTAAACCACGTGTTATTGAGATATTAATCGATATCCGCGACACACACACACACAAACAGGTGTACACGTGTCCATTATTTGTGAAAAATTATTTTTTCATTTTCAAATAAAACATGTGACTTAATTTTCTAATAAAAGTACATTTTGTTGATTATATAATATAAATATTGACCTATTTATCTTTGTCAAATATTGTAATACAGTAGGGTACGAGAATGTAGATATATTGACACATATATTGTGTGAATGAAACATACCGCTCGAAAGATATAACAAGAATATTGATAGTCAGTGTATTTTAATATATGATATTCAGTGGTACGCAAACCTGTATAAGAAGTAAATCCTCGATTTGTTCATATCTTAGTTACTATTTGGGCCTCCATAAATATCGATCCAACAATTTATTAATTTTCATGCACTGCAGAGATCTTAAAGAAGATGTTTTAATTGATTTTTAAATAATGAAACACGGTGTAATTAAGTAACGTTAGACACAAATAAATACATAATATGTTTATAACTTAAAGGTACACGTGCTTCGGTACTTCCGCTAAGTGCGTGTCACATCATTGAAGTTTTCGCCTAACACAAATTATGCCGAAACCGCTCGTTCATATATTTTGAAACGATACACAAAAAACGTAAATATACATTGGTATCAATAAATGATCTTCTTCAATTAGCAAATTACGAGCATTTAAATATAGTTAGCATTTGAAACAAAAATATACTTCGGAGACTAAAGGGGAGATAATTTGTTTAAAGATTGTAGCCTCGAATGTCCAATCTAAAACTGCATAGTACTTTATTTATGGAATCCTTGAATTCGCAAGGAAGAGAGAGAGAGAGAGAGAGATGGGGTTTAACGTCCACTCGACACAAACTAGGTCATTTCGGGACTAATACACGGTTCAATTTTATTTCAATAATTCGCGCGTAGGGGTCTTTAGCAGTGGGAGGACCCGGCGAAAACCCACGAGGTTGGACAGGCGACCCTACTCCTTGTCACGTAATTCGCAAGGGACTAGATCAGTGGTTCTCAACCTTTTTTGGCCAACGGCACACCTTGGAACACATGAAAAAAATAGTGACACACCGTGCTAAATATATATGAAAAATATTTGAATTTTAAAAAATAAAAACATGATATTAATTCAGACGGCATACAACCATAGGCAGAGACTAGTCATAGGCACATAGTATCGCTCAAACTAAATAAAGAAAAACACAGCTATGAACTTATCAGTTGACACCAGTAAATACTCAATTGGGGTCACGTGTTTTTTTCATTTTCTTAGTGTGCCGTTCAAAATTTCGCGGCACACTTAGGAAGATCTCGCGGCACACCTGTGTGATGTGGCACACTGGTATAGAATCACTGGATTAGATAATATTAGTAAGTTAGTGTGTAGAACTTAAAAACTGAACTTGATTTTCTTTTCGAAAAAAACCCCCCAAAAAACAATATGATTTTTGAAACGAAAAAAGTAATGTTCATAAATTATATATCCGTAATAAATAAAAGCCTTATTCCCCTACCCGAAAACACAGAAATTCGATTTCAAATGGCTCCCTAACTTCGCGGTTGGGGGTTCGATTCCGGAGTTGGCTGAGAAAGTACCTTGGTTTTCCAGCGTGATTTCCCGTTGTCCGTGATGAAGGACAAAGGGCTTGACAATGAAAATTGCATAGTCGTTCGGATGGAACGAAAAACTAAGGTCCAGATTACATATATGTAAAAGAACCATTGACAGTTGAAATTCAATTGTTGTTCGGGCAACACTGTATGGCATATGGCAGTGTTTATTAGTCCAGTTGGCGCAGCCTGACAAGGACAGCTGTCTAGTCGTTCGGATGGGACGAAAAACCGAGGTCCCGTGTACAGATTGGCATGCACGTAAAAGATACCTTGACAGTTGGAATTCGATATAATAGTAGGCCGTAGTGCCGCTGTCCGGGCACAATTTCCCTCATAGCACACTGTATGGCGTATGCCCGTCTTCATTATCCCTGTACGGAGCAGAACAGTAGGACGTTAAACCCCATTTCATTTCGTTTTCCAGTTGGTGCAAAAAGTGGGGCGTTAAACTCCTTTTCATTATTTCATTCGTTTTGGCCATTATGCTTCCACCCAATATTTATACGCTTACATTCAATGCGTTCGTCGTCCGTCGAACCCTCTTGCAAACGTTCGATACAGTATCCTTCTTGTCGGGTTGTTAGTTTGGGGGCAAGGATGAGAGTCATCAAAATTCAAAAATTGTAGATTGCAAATTTCAGTGCTTTTTACCCACTTCCGTTTAAACCAGTTTTGAAACTATAGATGGGATTGTTCATTTGGATATGAGGAAGAGCCTTATCGATTTAGGGTTAAAATTTCTACTATGCTTTGACTTTGAATATATTCTTTGAATGGCATTTAGTAATTGGAACATAATCAAAAACACACTTTTATGGATAACAATTACTATGGTTTATTTCACTGCGACGTTTCAACAAGGTTTCACAAGTCGTTATCAAGCATATACACAAATAGATAAAAATGAGAAAGATATGAATATATATACAAACATCAGTGCGAACTATCCAATGGAATGCAAGGTGAGTGAGCATGATTAGCTATAACAAGCTATTGATGTAACAAAGGTGCATAATCATATATATTAGAGTTGGCTTATTGTACAATTAAAAGATGAAAGAGGGGATTAACCGAGATTAACAAATATTGAAACCATACACATTGTACCATAACTGAAACCAGTATATACTAAGAAAACATTCAAGAAGATCAAACTGAGGGTTTATAGAACTATATCGAAACCATAATCTTTACATTAATTATAACAGTTAAGAAATATAGAATTTTATGGTTGTGTTTTATAGTTAAGTAATAAGTTGCATATATGTATTTACAAGGTAAATATATATCAAAGTGTTGAGTAAAATATAAATAAATAACGATAAATTAAGCCGAATGCCCTATGATGAAACCTTTTATAATTATAAATATGAGTGGTAAGATATTGTAATTTGGTTACATAGACATAAAATACTGTGATTAGCTAAATAAATTGTAGAAAATAATTGAAACATACAAATTTTACATATTGATAACAGAGGATTATAAAATGTGAGGGTTGTGGGTATGGAATATACAATCGATTCAGTATTGGAAAATGCGAGTAGTTACATATGGTTTTGCATGGGGAATTACTTAGGGGGACTGTGTTTACAATTTAATAATGCGGTCATATGCTCTGGGGATATAGACGCCTGGGTCTCGATTCAGTTTCGGTTCATGTCTTCTAATGTTGATCGCCTCATGAATCCTTCTGTTTCTTTTGTTGTGGTGGTTCACAGCCAACGTTTTAACTTTGGTCCAATCGACCCGGTGCCGTGGGTTGTCATTCAGATGTTCAGCAACTGCAGATTGATTGGTGGGGGCTTTTCACATGTGTTCTTTCAGTCGGATATCTAATGGTCTTTTAGATTCTCCAATGTAACTTTCCTGGCAACTGCAGTTAATTTTGTAGACACAGCCTTTTGGTGAGAAGGGTTTGGTGGGGTTCAACTTTCCATTCGCTTTTGCCAAGTCTTTGGTTGTTGCGCCCTTCAAGAAAGTGGTTTCAATATGTGCTTCCCTTTTCAATAATCTTCTGATTTGGTGGGAGATGTTGCCGTGGAAGGGTATGAAGATTCTAATTGGAGGTTTATCGTTTTTGGGTTTATCAGGTTTTGGTAGGTCGGATAGTGTGGCATTGATGAGCTTGTTGACCATTTGTTCTGGGTATCCGTTGTGCTTGGTGAATACTTCTTTTAAGTGTTGAATTTCTTCGGGAAGGGATTCAGGGTCACAAATATTCTTGGCTCTTTTGGTTAAAGTGGTGATAATGCCTGCTTTAGTGCTGATGGGGTGATTAGATTGGTAGTGGATATATTGATCTGTATGTGTTGGTTTTAGGTACACTGATGTGGTGATATTGGCGTTCTCTCTTCTTACCAGTACATCAAGAAATGGGAGGCTGCTGTTGGTTTCATTTTCAATGGTAAACTTCATTCTTGGATGTTGGTTGTTGAGGTGATTCAGGAGGACGATCGCATCTTCTTCTTCTTTTAGCATGACGAAGATGTCATCAACCCTTCTGAGCCAGACCAGCGATTGAAAAGGAGCGGTTAAAATTGCTTCTTCCTCTAGTGATGTCATGTAGATTTCAGAAATCAGGGGGGATAATGGGCTTCCCTTAGGTAATCCATGAATCTGTTCATAATAATTATCTCCCCATGTAAAGTAAGTGGATTCCAGACATTGCTTAATCAGACGAATAATTGTGTCAACTTGTAGAGATGTATCCAGCGGTGTAGCGGACTGGTGGAGACGGGTTTCAAGAACTCTCAATGCTTCTTCTCTTGGTACGTTGGTGAATAGATCAACAACGTCGTATGTGAGCATTTTCCCAGGATTTCTGACATCTTTGACACGAAGACAAAATTCATTAGAGTCCTTGATGAAGGAGTCAGCTGTTTTCCCTAGTGGCGCGAGTAATTTGGATAAATACTTAGCTGTGTTGTAATAGACCGAGTCAATGGAACATATGAGGAGTCTTGCTTTGATTGGATTTTTGTGAATCTTAATTGATGCTCTAGCATATGGTGGGTGGGGGTGGTCTGGTTTAAACTTGTTGAGGATGCTGTTGGTGATTTTTTCTTCTTCCAAAAGTGACTTCAAATTTTTTTCGTAATTTTTAACATGTGTGTTGGTTGGATCTTTTCTGAGGCGTCGGTAGGTTGAGGTATCTTTAAGTAAGTCTTTAACAATGGTATGATATTCATCTGTGTTTATTACTACAGTAGCTTTCCCCTTATCTGCTGGCACGATTGTTATCTTTGGATCATTGCGTAGTTCCTTTAGTGCCTTCTTCTGCTTCTGGGTGATGTTACTTGGTTGCGGTTTGGCTTTAAGAAGTAGGTCGGTTACTTGATGTCTGAGGTATACCACTTTCCCACCTGGTGCTAACTGTCGCAGTCCCTTTTCAATATTGGCTATAATGAATTTTGTCTTCGTGTCAAAGATGTCAGAAATCCTGGGAAAATGCTCTCATACGACGCTGTCGATCCATTCACCAACGTACCAAGAGAAGAAGCATTGAGAGTTCTTGAAACCCGTCTCCACCAGTCCGCTACACCGCTGGATACATCTCTACAAGTTGACACAATTATTCGTCTGATTAAGCAATGTCTGGAATCCACTTACTTTACATGGGGAGATAATTATTATGAACAGATTCATGGATTACCTATGGGAAGCCCATTATCCCCCCTGATTTCTGAAATCTACATGACATCACTAGAGGAAGAAGCAATTTTAACCGCTCCTTTTCAACCGCTGGTCTGGCTCAGAAGGGTTGATGACATCTTCGTCATGCTAAAAGAAGAAGAAGATGCGATCGTCCTCCTGAATCACCTCAACAACCAACATCCAAGAATGAAGTTTACCATTGAAAATGAAACCAACAGCAGCCTCCCATTTCTTGATGTACTGGTAAGAAGAGAGAACGCCAATATCACCACCTCAGTGTACCGAAAACCAACACATACAGATCAATATATCCACTACCAATCTAATCACCCCATCAGCACTAAAGCAGGCATTATCACCACTTTAACCAAAAGAGCCAAGAATATTTGTGACCCTGAATCCCTTCCCGAAGAAATTCAACACTTAAAAGAAGTATTCACCAAGCACAACGGATACCCAGAACAAATGGTCAACAAGCTCATCAATGCCACACTATCTGACCTACCAAAACCTGATAAACCCAAAAACGATAAACCTCCAATTAGAATCTTCATACCCTTCCAGGGCAACATCTCCCACCAAATCAGAAGATTATTGAAAAGGGAAGCACATATTGAAACCACTTTCTTGAAGGGCGCAACAACCAAAGACTTGGCAAAAGCGAATGGAAAGTTGAACCCCACCAAACCCTTCTCACCAAAAGGCTGTGTCTACAAAATTAACTGCAGTTGCCAGGAAAGTTACATTGGAGAATCTAAAAGACCATTAGATATCCGACTGAAAGAACACATGTGAAAAGCCCCCACCAATCAATCTGCAGTTGCTGAACATCTGAATGACAACCCACGGCACCGGGTCGATTGGACCAAAGTTAAAACGTTGGCTGTGAACCACCACAACAAAAGAAACAGAAGGATTCATGAGGCGATCAACATTAGAAGACATGAACCGAAACTGAATCGAGACCCAGGCGTCTATATCCCCAGAGCATATGACCGCATTATTAAATTGTAAACACAGTCCCCCTAAGTTATTCCCCATGCAAAACCATATGTAACTACTGGCATTTTCCAATACTGAATCGATTGTATATTCCATACCCACAACCCTCACATTTTATAATCCTCTGTTATCAATATGTAAAATTTGTATGTTTCAATTATTTTCTACAATTTATTTAGCTAATCACAGTTTTATGTCTATGTAACCAAATTACAATATCTTACCATAAGCCAACTCTAATATACATGATTATGCACCTTTGTTACATCAATAGCTTGTTATAGCTAATCATGCTCACTCACCTTGCATTCCATTGGATAGTTCGCACTGATGTTTGTATATATATTCATATCTTTCTCATTTTTATCTATTTGTGTATATGCTTGATAACGACTTGTGAAACCTTGTTGAAACGTCGCAGTGAAATAAACCATAGTAATTGTTATCCATAAAAGTGTGTTTTTGATTTGACTTTGAATGTTTGTAAAAGAGACACAGAACACATTCGCGATGGAATGTTTTAAATTTTTTTTGAACGCAAATCACGGAGTAATCCGAGCGTTTACGTTCACATTATAACATCCTGTGAACATAATGAAATGGGGTTTAACGTCTAATTGTTCTGATCCGATTGGGCTCATGAATAAGGGCATGCCACATACAGTGTGCTACGAGTGAAATTGTGCCCGGACAGCGGCACTACTCTTATATCGAATTCAAACTGCTAAGTGTTCTTTTACGTGCAAGCCAATGTGTACACTGTACCTCAGATTTTTGTTCCATCCGAACGACTATATACTTTGTCCCTTCCCAGGTACTGACAAGGAGAATCACGCTGGAAAATCCCGATGAACTTTTTCAGCCAACACAGGGATCGAACAGAGGACCTTCAGGTTAGCGACCCAACGTCATACTCACTGAGTCATGGCGTCTCCCTTGTGAACATGATACACATGTAATGTGAGTTCTGGAAATAATATTTCAATCTTAAAATTGCTTATTCTAATATAAGAAAAAACCTGTCGAATTCCTAGATGGAATTTATTAAAACTTCATCGGATTGCTTAAGGGGATAAGGGTATACCTTATCGACATTCAAATTCATGAAAATTTGTGAACGAGATACAGGACAAAAGATTTTAAGGTTTTATGGTCTCTAAATAGTAGCAAATGTATGTTATCATTGGCTATGTTATTCAAATAAACCAAAGGGAAATGACAAGACAAAAGTTTTTGATAAGATGATATTGTTCGCGCGGTGATAACTCATCATTTCCTTGGCTCTTCACATTTATAACGTTACACAATGATATTCAAATTGTATCTATTATGGGAAAATCTTAAATCATTGTGTAAATATAATTTACCCCACACTGATTCGCAGTGAATATTCGCTAGGATTACGAAAGTGAAACAGATTGAATTTACCCCCCGTTACAGCTGATGCCCTTGGCTACGTCATTTCCCAAATGACATACCAATATTGTCTTGTATTCACGTCTCCTCTGACTCACCAGATTTTTTTTTTTTAAACTGAATGGAAAAAATATTTTATATTCGAATGTTTTTCATGAAAGTCCCAAATATGTAATATTTGTATGAATATATCAGTGATACGTTTGATTTCTTGGATTGGATATCATAATAGAGCCTACGCGCCAGTTGTTCAAAGCTCAAATTAGTAAAAACTGTTATGCGTTCAGTTATGAAACAGGAACTCTTCAATGAACTATTGATTATTGGGTGTTAGCTTGACCTGACGGACACGATCGATCTACACAAAATAGCTGATCGGTGGTCAAACTTGACTAAGCGCCGATGCTTGATGAAAATATGAGGACATTGTCATATCTTCGTTAATTTATGTATATTCACCACAACAATATATCGAAGATATAGGTCTTTGTAAATGATGTAATTATCACTTTCATAAGTTGTCACAGATTCACAGTACTTTGTACGTTCTTGCATAGTCCTCAATTATACTCATTTTATAAGTGTTTTCTGACCATCAGAATTCTGCAAAATCCAGGAAATGGCATTCAGGAGGTTCTAGATTCAAAAATATGTGGTGCTCGGCTCGTAGCTGCTTCACCCTTATTAGGGGTCTGTGCATCAGTCGGTCTCATTTTTGCTAAACTCTCCCCAAAACAAAATCGACATGTACTCCCCTGCTTATGGAGGCCATAAAGTTTTATGATAGGGGTGGTCTTAATGTGCGCATTCAGTTTTGTCTGTCCTTAAAAAAATATAGTTTAACATAGTGGGTTTTTTTTGTGACGTTTTCGGTTAAAATATTTTCTTTTTTTTTCATTTTTCAGAACAGTCCACTAACCAACAGTAATATTTCAAATTCTTTACGTGGTAAAAATGGCTCGTGAACTAGTGGATCTGGAAGAATTAGTTCGAGAATGGGTGGACGACTTTCCTTTTGACAGAGCCCAGAAGAAAGAATTTGACGCGGTTAAACCTCAGGATATAAACTGGGACCACATGAATGTTACCCATAACCCTTCTGAATACTTCGACTCGAGCAGGGCACAGAAACCAAAATCACACGTTCTGTTTACTGCTCATTTTACCAATGATACCGACAGACAACAAGTCTATGCTCTTAGGACAGAGCGGCGCACCAATTCCACCTGCGCCATATCATTGATGAAATCATACACCATTGGGGCCAGTGTGGAAATTAAGCTTACGCCCCCAAATCCCATCATCGAAGCTAATGCTGGGTTCCATGGTGAACTTTCTATGGAAAAGAGTGTAGAAGAGACATTTGAAGAGGAATTGACATGGTCTGTCGATAACCAAATTACGGTACCAGCTGGATTCATCACACAAGCTGATCTCGTCATTAAAGAAGACAGTTTTACGGGAGATTTTAAATCGGAGACAAAGTTTGATGGAAAAATTCATGTTGCATTGAGAAGTAGGAAAGACAATTCGGTAATCAATAATATTACTGGACGAGTACAAGATATATTTACCAAAGGCAAGGGCTTTAAAGTGGATAAAACCGGATGTTATTTTACTACAATTGGAAAGTGTAAATGCCGATTTGGTGTAGAACAGCACGTTAAACTATCTCAGAAAAGAATCAGTGTTGAGGAAGGAAATGAAGATTAGTTTATTTCTAAACAGTGCTTTCTTATAAAGTGATGTTCAGAATCTGTGTTCCTTTAAAACAAAACAATTATGGTGCAAATATTTTTTTTTATCAAAATCATATTATATGTGGATTGTATAACTCCTTGTACAGATTTTATAGTGAACATAATTGAATTGCTTTAAAATACTAGGAATGGTAAAGGGTTAGATGAGATTTAAATCATAAGTCTAATAATTAGTACCAGTCATAGTTATGCTCCTTTTACACCATGCTTCATAAATAAATTGTAATGTATGCACTAACTTCATCAATAAGAATCAAGAACAATTACCAAATGAATTATAACTCTTTTTGTGGTGGTGATTCTGATTCAATTGTATTTTTGGGTAAATTCTTAGAATTCTTACAGCCCAGAGTTCGATTGTCAAATCTGGTGCTTTGGATATTTACACAAGTTTTCTCTACATTATGCATGTTGAAAAATGTTTTCTTTACATATAACATCTTTTATATCAAGTGTAAGCTATTCTTAAGAGCATCAATATCACAGGCACTTGAAGGGATTAAAATAATACTTCTTACTACTGCTTTATTTTAATCCCTTCAAAGTTTTATTTTAATCCCTTCAAGTGCCTGTGATCAATATCTATAAGGTTAGCTCTCTCTCTCTCTCTGGGGGGGGGGGTTGGATGGCTGAATGGTTAGCAGGTGCGCGCTATATCATACGGTCTGTCATTGAGTCAACTGGCGGGGTTTCGATTCCCCGGTTGTACGTGACAAGGAGTAGGGTCGCCTGTCTAACCTTGTGGGTTTTCTCCAGGTCCTCCGGTTTCCTCCCACTGCTAAAGACCCATACACGCAGGCTAATGAATGAAATAAAATTGAACCATGTGTTAGTCCCGAAATGATCTAGTTTGTGTCGAGTGGACCTTAAACCCGATTTCTCTCTCTCTCTGCCAACAGTTCTTTGTTGATAATCCCTCTTCTATCTATCTTCAATGGAGCCAAAAGTAGGAGTTAAACCCTATTCAGTTATGTTGAAAATATTAAAAAAGGAGTGACATAAACTTTATCAAAAGATTTTATTCTAAAAGATAAAAGTAGTTAACAGATTCAAGTTACAGAGAATAAGAAAATAAAATTACACCTTGATACCCAAAAAATATAAAAGGCCAGATATTAAAAAAAAAGAAAATGATATTGAGCACAAAAATAGATATACATTTATAATCTATAAAAAAAAAAAAATAAACCTGAATATCTACAAGCCTTCAAAGTATAGAAATAAAATACCTTTTAACAAAAGTTTCTGTGACAATATAAGATGATTAAATGTTGAAGAATGAATTACCCAAATCTTTATAATAACATAATACATTTATCACAGTGTTCATTTGCCAACATGAAATTGTACTGTATTTATGATTTTCGAAATCTTACTGTAACATATCCTGACAAAAACTAAATAATTTTCAATATTGCATCTATTACATATTTTAAAATAATTGCTTTATACTTTCATTACAGTTTTTTTTTATATGTATCTATCCATCTTTAACATAATAATACTAAAAAAAAACTAATAGCAATAATCCCACCAAGATTATCCTATATATATATTATCCATATATATTCAATATAACCATTATTTATACAATATAAAGATGTTAATCATCTGTTTCAATACCACTGCCTTCGATATAGGTTTTCCAGGATTGATTACTGTCTGACTTCTTAAGATAAACCAAAATCCGATCCTCCTCTGGCTAAAAAAAGAAGATAAGAATATCATTAAGATACACATGTATATAAATATATAATAATAATTAATGCACAGGTACACTCAATAATATATATATTCATCTTTTCATTTGTTGGCTATATTACATTTCTTATAATGTTGCTTGTTAGGTAAAAAATAGTATTATAGCAATATGAAGTTATATATTTAATTTCCGAAAACAAGCAGTGCTGCTTTCTTCTATATTCCACCTTGTGACAGTGGTTTTCCAACAGTTGTTGACATGCATGTCCAATGTCTGGCTGTAAACAAATGAAGGCCACATGTGGAAAACAGGTCGCTTGTAATGTGGGCACAACACCGTCACAGACAGAATTCTAGCCGTTGCCGTTCAAATGTTGGCTATATAGTAAAACATATGCTTTAAATAAGTATAATATATAGGGTATGAAATTGTGGGTCCTCAGAATGCTTCTATCTATGTTTTCAACTGATCATTAGTGTTTTTGACGATATCACAAATTTTTAATCATTTAGTGTTATAATGTACCTCTATATAGCAGCTTGATGGTACAATATCATACGGCAGTCTCTTTATATCCAACTCTATATTAGTACCAGCTAAATTATCTTTACCATCTACTTTTACTGTTACTGTCCTGTCAATATAAATGTATAAAATAAATGTTCCATCTCCATTAAAAATGTTATTTTCATGCTTGCCCAAGTCTTAAATTAGTCTTTTTATCCTGCATTTTAAGAGAATTATTTTCTGAACTCAATTTAAAATAACTGGGAGCATAATTGTAGTAGAAGCTCTGATTAGAATTTGAATGTCTTGTTCTCTGTGTAATACCTTGAAAATGTTTTATCATTATACAATAATGTAATAGGCATAATTGTATTTTCATGAACCCCTTTCAAGGAAACGTAGTAGAGCTTTGTGTGCAATTATGGCTTAAAGGGGAATGCCTTTGGATGTTTTTCAGAGGTAAAAATTTACCTTTCACCAAATGCTGGCTCTTCAATATTTGCATTTTTAGCAACTTTTTTCTTTCCGAACAGTCCTCCTTCTTTCTTTACTTTCAGGCCTTTTACCTTCATAATAATATAAAGCCACCCTGAAAACTTCTTTTCATCCACAGCTTTCAATATAAAGAAAAATTGAAGCAATAAGGATATATTTATCAACTCAGCTTGATTCATAAAAGTAATTAAATGAAAATTTTGTGTTGCGTTACTTCCTTATTAAGCAACTGTCATATATAGAAAGTAGGTCTACTGGTCCAGGTGGGTCCCGCGGAGCCTATACTAATACAGGAGAGAACCTTTACATTTAAAAGAGTAAATTTTCTTCAGAAATGGCCTCAGATGCAAGACATTTGACTCAGGCTTTCAAAATTTTCTGGGAGAACACCACCTTCCCTGAAGGCTATGCGGTCAGTCACACCGGAACAGACCCCCCCCCACACACACACACCCCGGATCATTTTTCTGCACACACCCCTGCGATCGTCATCTTGTCGGAAAGCAGTTTTATTCAAGTTGACATAAAGTTCATTCATGTCATATTATTAGTATTATTTTGTCTCGGGGGCGCTTACTTGGTCTCAAGCCGACACCTCCCAAAAATGCACACCTATTCCTTAGCAAAAATCTTGCAATGGTTATGGTTGTCCTTAGTGATTGAATGTATTGAGGTTTGCTTTACATTTCTAGTCTAATATATCTGATCCATTACCATATGATGCCTCAGTATAGCCTTCTGCCATCCTTCCTGGCTTCTTTATCTTTTTGACGTGTAGTGTCGGCTGGCAATCGTAGTAGAATAGTCACGGTTCTGGCAACCTTGTTTTCAAGCTAATAGCTATATTACCATTGCCTTCCTTGTTTTTGTTTGGTTGCTAATGCATATTTCATTTCCTTGGCTGCAGCATTGAAAATTTCTTGGAAATAAAAAGAGATTTTTCCCCGAAACCCAAGTGAAAGTAAACTAGTTTACACCAGCTCCCTCTTGTGGAATCAGGTTACAGTTATTCCCCCTGATTATGGTAAGATAAGATAACATAAGATTTTGTTGTATCATAACACCCATTCCAGGCCGCATACAATTCATATACAGATAAGATAAGATAAGATAAGATGTTTATTGCATCTAAACGTCCATGAAGGACAGCATACATTCATATACACTTAGACATAGTCATATACATTCAATAATACGTAATATATAGACAACTCAATACATTCATACAAACAGTATACTACATGTACAACTGTATATCAAATAGTAAGTGCAGGAGGACAGCACTACACGCAAAACAAAAATCTACAAGATAAACCTGCGGACAAGACAGAAAATAGACATTGCACCAAATAAACAAATATCAAACCAAGTGAATGGAAGGGGTTTCAGTTACATGTAGTTGCCACCAAATTTGATTTAGCTCTCTTATCAAAAGCCCAAAACACATTTAAAGCCACTGCCTTGGCAATCAATTTTGGTAGTGTAAAGGGATTAATAAAATTGTAGGAATTCTTAAGATTTGCCGAGAAGGCTGGGTATAAATGGGCTTGGCGTATTTCTTCATACTTGCTACAGTATAGCAAAAAATGTTGCTCGTTTTCGATCGAATTTAAATCGCAAAATTTGCATAGACGCTGATCAACAGGAATTTTTTTTTGTATCGGCCCCTCTCTATTTCTAAGTGATGTGTACTGAGTCTAAGTGTGGTCATAGCTTTTTTATGATCTCTATTTTTAACCGAATATAAATAGTCTGGAGAGTTGGTAACAGTCTAGGTTTTGAGATGAAATATATATGTACGTAATTTGCTGTTATTGGAGTTAGAGGATATGTGGTAGAAGGAGTTAAATTTTGATTCGAGGGATTTCTTTATATTCTCTTTATTTAGCAAATGAACACGATTTATTTGGAGTTCCGAAGTTAAATTATTGATTGCGGCTGACCAAGATAATTTTTCATTTTTAGAGGATATAATTTTATCTTCAGTATAGGCTGCTGAAAGTAGAGGAAATATTTGTTTCATCCTGACATCGTTTAGCCTTTTATGATACATAAGCATGCGGGTATAAGTGTCTAACGTTAGTGGGAAGATTCCTAGTTCCGCAATACATCCAAGGTTGGTCGACTTAAGTGGTTGATTCAAAATGGATTTGCATATTTTTATACATGACATAAGGAACATAGAATAAATAGCAATATATACATATTTTATATATATATTTATAAGCATACGAAACATGAAATACAGGTTCGTGAAAAGTGAAAATATATAGCCTATCAGATATGAGTGGGGTTACACGGTTACCGAGGTTACACTGCAACATCATATGGAGTTCATATGTCCGACCCACACACACATCTATAAATGACAACCCCGTTACCTCCAACGGTCGTTATTTATTGTTATTGACTATTCAAATATTGAGGTTGCACAAACTAGAAGTAGATTAGACTTAGATGAAAAACATAATTATGTGTGTATGTACGATGTAAAACCACGGACCTAATGATAAAACAAGAAAGAGCAATATACATTGTTCGAGATGTATCCCGAAAGTGTGCTTTTAAATCCACATACCAGGCCCTTATTGGACGCAATACAAAGCCAACGACCAACGTGCCCATATCAGTATGGGTACCCTATAATTATAAAGCCGAGTGACATTAAATTGGTTGGGCGCCCACGACGAGATTGTCACTTGGTTTTATCGGCGCAACGCCAAACCTGTCGTATGTGAGGCGCCCCAAAATGGTGAACACGACAGGGGCAACAAGGGTTTTTTTTTCAAATTTGGTGTGAAGCTTGGTGTCATGAAAGGGTGAACCTTGTCCATTTTCAGCTTTCTGCGATCTTCTTCTCTGAAGTTACGTCCTCTTTTTTTGTAAACCTTCAGAAATTTGATAAAGGCTACTTTTTAAACAGATTTCTATTTTTGGAACTGATTTGAATTAGTTTTTATTAGGACTGTGAGAGGATGAACGCTATTGATTCACATTTGGGGGTGTGAAGGCTTGGGATCTGAGGGGATGAACCCTGTTTATTATCAGCATTCTAGGACTTTGTGTTCCAGAGATATAATATTATGTTTCCAGAAACGCTTATGAACACAGCAGAGATCAGAGTGATAAAGGCATATGCCTTATCAAATTTCGTCAACATCCAAGTTTTCCTTTTGGCTATCCTTTTTTTTTTGAGACAAGGCTGTTGTGTGGACATATTTCCATGTTTTGCATGGCTATCTTTTATTATGGAGAAGGAGAGGAAGAAAATATTGGAATTTAAAGTCTCAATATCATCCAACGTCTTTGACATTGAAAACACAAATTATTTGTCAATTGATGTAATCTTACCAGGAAAAGATGGGCTTCTGATATCCAATATGTAAAACAAAATAAACATTTTACCATTGGCACACAACCGTGTACCATAATGCGTTTCAGCGCCATTTGTGACATAGACTCGAAGAACGAGGCTAGACATATACCACATGCCAAACGGTGACGGCATATTCTTATCTAGAAACCATGCACAATAAATACTATCAGTGTAGACTGGGATTACCAGATGCTAGAGATTGCCATTCGATTGAGACTTCTGGCATATTTCGCTGAACATAACTGATTTGAAATTAGAATAAAAACGGAAACGATTGAATGTAAATCAGTTTATATACATTCATATTACATTATTATATGTGTTGCGACCATTTGTGTCAATTTCTAGGTCCCAAATTAGCAATTTAGCTCCTTTAACATCAAACTAAGTGACATGGTATACCTTTATATCATTAATTATTGGGCATAGCATGTTTGCAGGGTGGGGTTGACCGGAGAAGCCCCAAAGTGTTGGGGGTTTGCAGTTACGAGCCTATTCTATGTGTCATGTATAATCGTGAATCGAATCACAGATGATCAACCGTAAGTCCAAAACTTACTAATATGCCAAACAAAAGCATATTCCTTAAGCAATGGCCCGAGAAATGCCTCTCTGGCCATTGCTGGGTTGCTTTCTGATAATTAAGCTTTTGAGGGAGTGTGTCTATTCGTCCCGTTCAATCAAATCTCCTAAGTACATGAAGCAACATGACAGCCCTTCGTTTAATCCGGGGTTTTCCCAAAAAAATTAGACAGTGATTTAAGGTATTAAAAACGGCGTAAGTAGTGTTCGTCTCCAAGGAGTATTGTTTATATTGAGCCGTTTTGATAGCCTCGTTTGTCACGCAATTAGTTTTTCTGCAATATTATGTTATGCACTGTTTAAACTCGAATGATATTGTTATGCAGTTAGGTATTGGTTATTAATCGGACTGCATCCTCGGTATCCCCAGTGTTGTCATTCCGTTCTAGTCCATTATACCCTGGGTTAATCCATAGGGTTTCCACGATTTCAAACTATCTGCCATAGCCTTGATTGTAGCTAAAGTCTACGAACCAATCAAAAAACAGTTTACAAACCAGTCATTTCACCTTCGTTTTTATAAGGGTAGATAACCATATTCATGTTCATTTACTGAATGATTTATGTAAATAATGTATATATTTCTATTATCAAAATCTGTAGTATGTTTAGCTGATTTCAAATATGTATAACATCTATATGTTTGACTTTTCTTATTATTATTACAATTACTATTCGTTCTTTGTTTTAAATGTGTTATGTTTATTATTATTGAACTTATACTTGTCAATTTGATCAACAAGAACTTGTCTACAATATCACGTGGATGTAAAACTCCGCGAACGAACAATTCTCAATAAAACTCTTGAATCCACATATATACTCTTCCAAAAAAAGTTGGGGATATTCAGAAACAATACAAAACTGCGGAAATGCACTGCTGTTTTTATTAGAGGTAACTGGTGTATGTTAATAACATGCCAATTGCCTACACATGAACATAAGTGAAAATGGACGTTTTTGATTTTTGTCTTCATAATGAGTAATTGCTTCACCAATCCTCAGACATTCAGCAATTCTCCCGACCAAATTAGCTGTAACACACTAAAGCAAAGATACGCTAAACAGTAAATCTTATGCAAGAACCGATAGGAAAGCAAACATGGATAGATAAATCAGCACGCATCAGTTTTCATCAACTCTTCTTTGAAGTGTCAAATTTGACAATGAACCCCTCCCACGTGTATGGCGCTATTGCATGTTGCATGTGCAGCTCAGTGGTTCTGTTGGGGTGATAAGTTCTTCATCATTGAACATACTCTCAAAGCATGTCAAGTGTCCATGACTATTTATCATATCACAACCTGCATAGGTATTTGCATTTCAATATCCCCTACTTTTTTTGAAGAGTATAAATAAACGTCTGGTCTTAATTAATATGATGTTATATAATTTGTTGTTAATAAATACTCATTTAGAATAATTTGGACTACTCTCATTTAGGCTAACTCCTAACCTTGTCCGATGAGAGTTACTTCCCTTTGCCAACTTCCTTTACAATTAATGATTTATGGGATTGGTCGATAAAAATAGCGTAATCATCAAGGGTGGATAACTTGAAAATGTGCCCCCCCCCCCATAAATTAACCCAGCCAGGGGTTAGTGGAGTAACGGAATGAAACCACTGGGGATACCGAAGATGATCGGACTATTGTCTGGTCATAATTTGGAACAGAAATTTGCTTTTGTTACAGCAGTGTTTGAGCGGGATTAGGTCTAATCAAACGAAACACTGTGAGGAGTATGAACAAAAGGTATTATTGGTGGTATAAGTAAATAACTGTAAGCTACGAGATAAATATTGTGCTAACAATAACTCAACCGATGACAATATCCAAATTAAAATAATTAAGAGGAAATAGGCACAAGCAGGTATTATATTTGAACATCTTTGTCTGCCACTGGAGATTATATTTAACAAAACACAGAAACTGTTCATAAATCTATTTATTTTCTTAATATATCCTGTTATCAGTAAATGTATTTACACACTCACTATATATTATACTAAATAATAAATAATTATATAGAC